TAGGGCAATTTGGCAAATGTGTCGAAGCTTTAAACGTGTATATACCCAACATGTATATATCCTTTGACCCAGCAATTCCAGTTCTAAGAATTGTCCTATGTGACTAATCCTTGATGTGCACAAAAATTTAGCTATTACAATTTCTTTTTTATAAGAGCAGAAAATTTTGAAAGGGTTGAAATGACCACCAGTAAGTGATATGGGTTACGGTAATAAAACTAGTGGTAAGGTGTATAATGAAATACAGGGTGGCTCTGAAAAGTCAGGCTGATGGAAACTGTGTATTGGTGTGTAAAGACATTCATGATACATATTTCCTTTATTTTTTAAAAGTTGTGAAAATATGCATATATACATATGCACATACACATGTGTACACACTGAGATTAAGGGTATTAACTGTTTATTTTTCTTTGAGATTTTGTGTGTGTGTGTTTGTCCTTTGTGTTTTTCCATGTTTTCCAAGTTTTTGACTCTGATCAGGTGTTATTTTTGTAGTCAAGAAAAAAAACTTAAGGGATTTTTTTAGTTTACTTGAAAAATATGGAAAGTGCAAAGCAGAAAACAGTAATCATATTCTCACCACCCAGAATTAAGCGCTACTAACATCTAGCATATTTGCTTCCGTTTTTGTCTTTCTGCTAATTTTTGAAATATAGTTAACACCAAAACATTAATTTTGTTTATCTTTTAGATGTGAAACAGTGGGCTGTTTGGGGTGTTTTTCCTTCTTTTCTCTCTCTCTTTTCTCTCTTCTTTTCTGTCTTTTATACTTTACTGTATTTCTCAACTTTTCTCTGATGAGCATGTTTTACTTTTTAAAGGGATAAACTAATTAACTGTAAAAGATAGAATATTTTAAAATGCCAAATAAAATCTTAGACTTTTAGAAGAAGGTAAGCAAGATTTTGGACTTGAGAACAGCTTTGATGAAGCTGGAAGAAGGGGAAAGCATTCCATATGGGTGGGGTGGCCGTAGTCCCTGTTGCCATAAACAGTCCAAGTTTTATGCATGTTGTCCTGATGACATTATTAATGACATTTTTGCACTCAAAAATGTCCCAGTTGGGGATAGGAAGTTGTAAAGCATCTGGATTTGGGGAGTAATGAACAGCCACTTGGCTGAATCAGAGTAGTTGTATTGGGTGGATGGGAAGGAAGACTGAAGGAAGGTTAAGACCATATTATAGGGCACTGACTGCTGTTTTAAGAAGTTCCTCAACCAGTTCTAGGGCTGGGTACAAGATAATGAGTCTGGAGCATCTCATAGTCCAGAAAGTAAGGAAGTACTAAACAAAACACATACATGTGCCTGCAGAAGCACGTGCACACACACACACACACACACACACACACACACACAGATGTGGGTATGTCAGAAGGACGCAGAGGCCAACTGAAAGAGCCCCCAATGGCCAAAGCTGGAACAGCTTGAGCAACAAAATAGTGTTGGATTATAACCCAAAGTATAAAATAAATACCTATGAGTCCATACTGATATGAATGATTGAATAAATAAATAAAGAGGCCTGCCCGGTAGCATAGTGGTTAAGTTTGTGCACTCGGCTTCAGCAGCCCAGGGTTCATGGGTTCGGATCCCAGGTGTGGACCTACATACTGCTCATCAAGACGTGCTGTGGCAGCATCCCACATACAAACTAGAGGAAGATTGGCACAGATGTTAGCTCAGCGACAATCTTCCTCAGGCAAAAAGAGGAGGATTGGCAATAGATGTTAGCTCAGGGCCAATCTTCCTCACCAGAATGAATGAATGAATGAATAAGGGAGAATAAAAGTCTCCCATAAAGAATTCCGAATAATTTATACAGCTATTCTGCCCTCAAAGAGGTGGAGTGTAATTCCTCACTCCTTAAGTGTGGGCTGTGCATGGTGGCTTCCTCCCACAGAGGGGAGTGTGGGAGGAGGCAGGGAGTCACTGTGTAGTGGAGAAACCTGGGAAACAGTGCTGCAGCCAGGTGACAGAGGTTAATGTCAACAGGAATAAGTCATGTTGATAGCTCAGACCCTAAATATGGCGAGGTGAGAATGGCACTTCACCTCTTCCTCCCCAAAACTCATAACCCCAGTCTAGTCATGAGAAAACTATCAGACAAATCCCACCTGAGGGACATTCTATAAAATACCTGACCAGCACTCCTTAAAACTATGAAGGTCATCAAAAACAAGGAAAGTCTGAGAAAATACCACTGCTAAGAGGAGCCTAAGGAGACTTAATGACTAAATGTAATGTGGTAACCTGGGTGGGATCCTGGAACTGGAAAAGGACCTTAGGTAATAACTAACGAAATCTGCTTAAAGTGTAGCCTTTACGATATCAGTATTGGTTCATTAATTATGACAAATGCATCGCACTAATGTAAGATGTTAATAATAAGGGAAACTTGGTGTGGGATATATGGAAATTCTGTACTATCGTCACAATTGTTCTGTAAATCTAAAACTTTTAAAATTAAAAGTTTATTTTTTCTAAAAAGGCATCCCTCCAGGAGGCAGAGATGGCTTTTGAAGAGGCAGATGGAAAGTAATCGGAGCTGTGTTATGCAGCCACGTGTGACCCGAGGAGCTGCAGTCCCCGTGCCCTCCTCTGCGTGTTCAGCACGGCCTCCCTCCTGATAACACTGCCTTCTTTCATCTCCACTCTCTCAAAGGACAATGAACCCCTGCTAGATCCCTGAGTATTTTAAGATTAGGTATTTCGGTCAGATTATTTCTTCCTAGTTCCCAAATACATATAACAAATTCATGTGAAAGAGTATTAAACCATGAGTAGTAACTGGACTGGCAGGTGGGGTCCTGACTGCTTTCTCCTGGTTTTGTTGTGAACCAGCACAACGACCCTGGGCCAGTCACTGAACCCCTCCAGGTCTGCTTTCTCATCTACAAACTGAGAGGGTTGAACTGGAAACATTTCTATGGTAACTTGCAGTTCTAAAAATACTGTGATTCTAAATTAAGATGTAGAGAGAGGCTGTGGCACCACAAATAATGGACTCTAAGTGCCGAATCTCTGCACCTCGCCTGGAGTACTACACTCCAAGTGGAGCCATCTGAAGACCACTCGGAATTCTTTAGAATTCTCTTCCTACTCTCCGTGTTCTTGAATGCAGATTCAGCTTAGAATTCAAGGTTTAGATAAGCTGGAAGGGCCATCTATGCCAACTCCTTTGTTCTATAGTTTAAGAAACTGAGCTCCAGAGAGATTGGGATTTGTTCAAATCATAAAACTAGTCAGAGGCAGAGACCAGGCTGACCGATACTGCTCCAGAGCTTTTTATACCACCGCGTGCTTCGGACAGAACAGGATCAGTCTTTTCGAATGCCACCAGGACCTCATTTGCACTGTCACCAAAACGGTCCTTGAGGGCAGTTACTCACTGTCGAAAACCATTCTGTCAGTCAACCAAATCCGATTTGGGGAAAAGTAACGGGGGCGGGGGGGTGAGTGGAGGGACAGCTAAGGAGCTCGTCCCCCCTTAACCTTTCTTCTTTAGGTCTGAAACAGGGAAATGGCTGTTTCATTTTGTCTTTCTTTTTCAGTTGCATAGCTTCCCCTTCTCCTGGTAATTATATATCCTGAGATTATTTGTTTACAGAAGCCACGTGAATCAGCCAGCCACCAAAGGTTAACACTCCCAAATTATGGGGCTGGGTTAACAATAAACAGGATGTCCTCTAGAAATTAAATTTAAACCACTGTGAGTCAGGCTGGTCCATCCTCTCTGCCAGATCGTTGTCTGGGGTTATTATCGGTGGTTAATTATACCATTGGGTTTAGCAACAGTATTGGTCAGTTTGGGGCAACAGAAACCAGGCTTCAGGAGAAGGGGGTGTGGGGGAAGGGACCTGGTGGAGGGGTGGTGCAGCAGCGGGAGCGGGCTGTTTGAATAGAAGAGATTGTTGAGGTCCTGAGCGCTGAGAAGACAGTAGTGAGTAGGGTCTCACCTGTACCCTCAGGGCTGCGGTAGCCTCTTGGCTGAGCTGATCCTGGGCTGCTTGACTCCCTCCTGTGTGGGGCCAGAGGCCTGCATTTCTGTTGCTCTTAGGATGTGCTGGTTTACTTTCTAGCCTGGCCACCCTTCTTTGCTTCTTAGAATTGTAGAGTCATAGAATTTTCCGCACCTTAAGGAAGCTTCTGAATTACCTAGTTTAACCCTCTCATTTCACAGAGGAGGAAATTGAGTCTCAGGGCCATCATTGCCTGCCAAAGGGCAGCCTGCTCATCAGAGGTGGAGGCGGGGTTAGTGCTCAGGCCTAGACTCCTAGACTGTGACCTTCCTTCCTTCCATCATGCCAAGCTGTCTTCCATCTCTGAGTTGGGAACCTGAGGTGCTGAGCTTCCTAGCAAGGCAGGCTTGGGCTGGATTTCAGATTCTTCTCTGAGTTAGCTGCATTTAGATTTTGTCGGTTCTCATGGGACATAACCCAGCCTGGCTGGTCCTTAATGCCCCTACAATTTGTCATCCCTCCCCAGCCATACAAGAAGCCCTTCAGATCCACAGTTTGTCCCTCTATAGAGCGCTAGTGAAGCACCTGATACAGACGATAAGCGGTTTTTATGATGTTTTTTAAAGGCATGTTTTCAAGGATGATAGCTATCAAGTGAGTCTGTCATTTCTGACTTCAGCTCTTCAAGACACAAGGTTTATAGTGACTGTTATTTGTACAGTTATCTCCCCTTCCCTGCCTTCACCTTTGCAATGTATTTAAACGACAGACTATTAGTAAGAAAGATGCCCTGGAGCAGAAGGTGGTGCCCCAAGACCTCCATCTGACGCTGTCCACGAGAGGATCCCTCTTCCAGAGCCTAGCCTGGCTGCTGATAGTCCTCGGCCAACAGGGCGCCTTATACTGGGCTGGGAAGCAGGCCCCTGCTACTACTCTTTACCCTCCTGGGGGAAAGTGACTCCCGTCATCAATTCTTTTCAGCCACATCCTTCTCTACTTCTCCTAACATCCTTCATTGTCTCTTTCCCTTGTAGGATTCCTTTCAAGATTGGGCAGCCCAAGAAACAAATTGTGTCCAAAACAGTGAGTAACCCAATTCTTTCATTCTGGGACCCAATTCTGTCTCACATGGCCTTGGCCTTGTACCAGATCTTTGACTCAACACATCATGAGGCTGAGAAGGCAGAACCTAGGCCTTATTATGCCCAGTCATCTGGCTCTAGAACCTCCTGCAGACTGGGACTTGAAGGGGCCTCCGGTCCTGGAACATTTTCCTCCCTCAGATCCGCCTGAGCTCCTTCCCCTCCTTGGGCAGGTGGAATAGACGGATTACAGAGGCGAGGAGGAATACAGTCATGCGTCGCTTAAAGACAGGCATGTTCTGAGAAGTGCGTCGTCAGGCGATTTCATCGTTGTGTGAACGTCGTAGAGTGTGCTTATGCTAGGTGGTATACCTGCCACACACATAGGCTCTATGGTACTAATCTCATGGGACCGCCGTCAGTATGCAGTCTGTCGTTGACCAAAACATCATAGTGTGGCACATGACTGCACACTCCTTCTGAACAGCCCATCTGTAGGATCTACTGTGGCAGTCTGCACTTTCCTAGGAGGGCTCCTGAAACATAGACCCTTGCCAAGGGCATGTCCCAGGCCTTTATCTCTGGACACTTGAAGCTGCCCGAAAGACCAGGAAGCTTCTCTGGTGAAGGCCCCTTTTTCTCCACTGCTAAATGCATTCTTAGACAGGAGCCAGAGTCACTCAGTGGGAGGGGGGTGATTGAATCCTACGCCCCTTGTGAGCCCACAGTTCACAGCCCTATCGTATCTCCAGAATGGGAGAAGAAGAGAATCTTAGACTCTTGGAAAGCTAGAACTGGGAGCCCACCCCGTGGCTGAGTGGTTAAGTTCATGTGCTCTGCTTCAGCAGCCTGGGGTTCAGAGGTTTGGATCCTGGGCACGGACGTGGTACTGCTCATGAAGCCATGGTGTGGCGGTGTCCCACATGGAAGAACTAGAATGACCTACAACTAGGATCTACAGTTATGTACTGGGGCTTTGGGGAGGAAAAAAAAGGAAGATTGGCAACAGATGTTAGTCCTTAGAGATCATCTGGTCCAACCTCCTTCTTGTTCCTGGTGAAGAAACCAAGGCCTTTGGAATCACAGTGACTTTCCAAGGCTGTGAAAACCAAATGCAAACAGAGCTGGAATTAGAACTCCAGTCTGAGCCTCTGTTTAATACTCTTTCCATTGCTTTATACTGCCTCACTCAGTCAGTGAAGCCCTCCTGAGGTTTTGGAATTCTAGTAAAAAATGGCCTCTTCAACCCCCTCACCCACAAATCTTAGCAAGGCTCCTGGTTTTAACATGGGAGTAAGTGCCTCTCACTGTGACAGCTCCAGGAAGCCGAGCACCGTCAGCCTGGTGGAGGCCCTTGACTGTCATCTCAGCCCCTGGCAGTACTCCTTGTCTTAATAACCTCAGCCCTCCTTGGCTTAGGACTCAGAACTACAGGAAAGATATTGCCTCAGTTTGGCAGGAAGGGAAGTTCAGCACACATCTGACCAATGGCTCTATCATTGGGAAATCCAAAATTAGGTTACTTAAAAGGAAATGGGCGCACGTTGAAAGAGTCCTCCTCTTTTTCAAGCAGAGGCAGGTCCTGGCGAGGCTGAGAGTTTACCTCCCATGCAGAGGCTGACCATCTGTGGAGCTCTCAGCTGAAGCGCAAAGAATCTGGGCGTGCGAGTGTTGGGCTCTAGCCGGCTACAGGAAGTGGGAAGGTGTGGCCTTGAGCCTCCAGAGTTTAATCCAGGGCAGATTTGAAGGGAAGTGGTTTTGAAAAGGGTCTTTTATTCCCAATACTCACTACCAAAAAACAAAAAACAAACAAAAAACCCTTCTAAAACCCCAACCTTTATTGAGATGGCCTTTGTTCTCCACAGAAAAGTAGAAGCTAGAATGCAGTTTCCACCTTCTCTGCCAGAGTTTGTTGGCAGAAAGCTCTCTGGGTCTTTTCATCCGAGGAACGGCAAGGACTCTCCAGAGGAGGGGCAGATGCACAGTCTGAGAAAGCCCTCAGCGCCTGCGGATGGCCTCCTGCAGCCCGCGGCCTCCCTCTGCCCCTCCTGGCATCAGTCTCGTTTCGGGTGGAATTGTAGTCCTCTACCTCCTGGCATCAGGTGCCCCACAGCCTGGGCATCAAATAGTGCTTAAGAAGCCGGATTTGGAAGCTTCCTTGCCTGGATTCCCATCCTGGCTCAGCCACATGCTGTCTGTGACCTTAGGCAAGCTCCTTGCCCTCTCTGAGCCTCTCTTTCTCCTTTGTAAAGTAAGGGTGATCCTCGTACCTGTGGCGTTGACGTATGATGTGTCTTGCACAAAGTGGGACATGTGAAGCCCTTAACACAGTGTCTGGCACATAGTAAGCCCTCTGTAATTATGAACGACATTACAGGAAGATAGTTGATTTGCCTCTCTTTACAAGCCCCTGGGGACTCAGCCTGTCCCCAGCAGCTGGATTCTCCAGTGCAGTGGAGCAGTAGGCTGGGCCTTTGCTCACTCACAGGGAATCAAAGCTGAGTTACAGCTCAGAATAGAGTTCTTTGCTTCCTCAGCTCCCCAGAGGCACTGAAGTATGTGTAGCAAGATCCTGCCTCTTCAGAGTCTTGTTCTTCACCCCACAAGCCCCCTTTTGGCTCCCAAAACAGGCCAGGGCTGTGCGGTTATCTCAGCATCTCCGGCAGCTGCCCCCAGTGGTGACACACTCTTATTCTTGCCCAGACACTCTCAAGGAGGGAAGCAGATGGGGCTGCCTAGGTTATTGGAAGTCATGGCCCCCTGTCATGGGAAGAAATGCTCATGTTATCTTCAGGGAGTTTCAGGAGGCTGTTGGCTCAAGGCACCCACCTGTCAGACACAAAGAAAGCATTGTATGTTTGCCCTTGCTGTTCTCCTGTGCGCAGGTTATTCGCGCAAATTCCGGTATTGTCAAGGCTTTGGCTAAAATGGCATGTTCTCTGCAGGGGCTGACCATTGGAGCTGAAACAGAAGAACAAACATCTCCCCCACCTCCAAGTCCTAGCCTTCTGCTTAGCCACCTCCCACTCCCCCAGTTTATGAAGTAGCTGGAGCATCTTGGTGTGGCGAAAAGCTGCGCCTCCCTCCATAACCTGGGAGCATGGAAGAGCTCTTTGAAGCAAGGATGGCCCTGGGTCTCACACACAAAGGAAAGCACACACCTGGATTCATAGCTGGCTAGGCGCTCTGTGAAGTCAAGGCAGAAGAGAGTCCCACCACACTGAACCCTCACTTGAGAAAGATTTTCATGTGCAAAATGGAGGCACCTGCAGCTCGTTCCTTAATCCTGTTGTAACATACCAAAGGGAGGCTGCTTTCCGCCCGAGCGTCCCTTGAAGAGGGACTCATCAGAGCGGTGAGTGCTCCCCTGCCTCAGCTCTGAGCTGACACACAAAGGATTAGCGCCCTGGCCCTGCCTGCTGGTCTCCTTTCTCACTTCACCATGAGTGTGAGAACTGAGCCCATTCAGTCATTTAACAACTCCTGAGCTCCTGCTCTGTGCCAGCCTGACCTAGGCGCTGGGGATAGAGCAGCAAGCAGCACAGTCCTTCCCTTCCACCCCAGCCTTCAAGAATGCAGGGAGCAGCCGAGGCAGTGGTTCGCTGCTGGATTCTCCCTGCACTAACCTCGCCAGGCTGCCCCTGTCTGCCCCGCCCCACTGAGAGTCCAGCACATGTGTTTACACTTGAATCGTTGACTGCGGTCCAGTTGCCTTTTTGGCAATGGCATCAAGCATTCAAAGATGCTCAGATCTTTTGTGTTCAGCTCTTTCTCTCAGAATGGATATCCCTTGGAATGAGACTCCAGTGTGTCCCTTTATTCCTTGTGCATTATCTGAGGGCCTAGAATCCTGGTGGTGTCCCCTTAAATCTCTCCCCAGTAGAGGAGAGAGGTCTCAGGACCAGTGAGCTAGAAAAGCAACCACAACCCCGCTACAGAGGCTACCAGAAGCAGAGGAGGGGAAATGTTCATGAACTTCTCTTAGGCTGTCACATGTCGAGTGGCATCGAGTAGAAGGATTGAGCTCCCACTCCCAACATGCTTCTCAGCTTCCAGTGGGAGACCTCAAGTTTCTCATCAGCCAGAATGATCCAGCCCAGTGGGAAACCTGCAGTCCATCTCTGTGCAAGTCCATGCAGTCCCCCGCCAGGGAGACCAGGTGTTCTCTGACATCCCACACACATCAGCACACTTGGGGATTGCAAAAGAGGGTGCCAGGAGCCAGGGCTGTAGCTCCAGGGGTTAGGCAGGCTCTCTGCCTCCTGTCCCAGAGCACCTACTCTGGGTTCTTGGTCTTTAGAAGAGCTGGATTCTGGCTAAGACGTCCTTAATTTTAATTTCATCCCTTTGGAAAAAAAATACTTTTCGTACGTAAAGACTGCTCAGCTGTCACCTCTTAGGACGTAAGAAAGGAGATGTGTCCAGTGAAGGGAGGCCCCGGTATAGTCCTGGCACAGGACTTCAGGCTTAGCCAAAATCAGGGTTTATCCTAGCTGTCAGTTGACCGTGTGTTTTGTGCTGCTTTTTCTCTCTGCCAAAGTAGTGACAGACCAGTCTGCACCCCCGGACTGCTCTGGTCCGCGCCCCACACCAGTGTGTAGGAGAGGAACAAGGAGACACCGTCCATGGGCCAGGCACCTTGCTCTGTGCTCTACATAAACTGCTTCTTGACCCTCCAACAAGCCAATGCAGCTGACACTGTCACTGCATTTCCTTGTCAGCCACCTGAAATTTACATGGGATAAGTCTAAATGAAATTATCCTGCTTTACTAGAAAAGAAACTGAGACTCAAAATGTTAGGTAGCATGTTTAATGCTCTACAGCTAGCGTGAGAGTTCGTGTCTTATCTGTCTCTGCTCATTCCTCTCCACCACCTTCCCCCACAGCACTGTTGGAGAAAGGATTAGACTAACCTCAGTGCGGACTTGGAAGGGCCTGGGCACAGCCCCTTTGGTCCAGAACACATCTCCCAGCTGCAGTTGCACCGAGCTAAGACTTTGATTCCTGCCCCCCTACAGGCCTGTTGGGTTAGGTAACACTTTTAACCTTCACTAGGCATATGTGCCTTAGTGGGAGTGAATTTTGAATTTTCAAATTTTGGGTTGCTCTTAAAGAGCAGCTTTTGATGGATCTTAAGGAAGGCGATGATGAAAATTTTGGGTTCTTGGATGGAGAAAAAGTGGATCTGTTAAAAAGAGGGAAACAATTGTAGGATAGGAGGCTGGGGCACCAGTGGTGAATTTTCCTTCACAATTTTGTGTAAGGTTCTAGATGCTAGCATCATAAAGTAGGGAAATGATCATGTGTTCCTGCTTCTAAATTTTACAGTTCAGATGAGGCAGGCTAGATATCTCCATGCAAGTGAGACACGTTGTGGTGCCTTGAGGACCTTAGCTGAGGAATTCCTCGTGTCGTTCCCTCACCATCCCTGCCGGGCCCCCCATTCAGCTCCCCTGTGTGCACTTGTCTGCGTGTTTGTTTGTTCTGTCTGCTCCACTGGAGCCCATCTCTGTTGTATTCGCTGGTGTATCCCTAGCACCTGGCAGAATGCATTGCGCTCAATAGGTGTTCAGTAAATGTTTGTGGCATGAATGAGTGTAGTTTAAAAAAAAGGCCTGAACTAGGAGTTGAATTCTAGCCTTGGTTTGCCACTAACAAGCCCTGCGTCCTTATGTCAATCATTTCCCCTCTCTGGGCTTCATCCACCTCGTTTATAGCGTGACTTAATTGGCCAGAATAATGTTCTGCCATTCTGTGACTTTTTTTTTTTTTTTGAGAAAGATTAGCCCTGAGCTAACTGCTGCCAATCCTCCTCTTTTTGCTGAGGAAGACTGGCCGTGAGCTAACATCCATGCTCATCTTCCTCTACTTTATATGTGGGATGCCCACCTTAGCATGGCGTGCCAAGTGGTGCCATGTCCACACCCAGGATCCAAACCGACGGACCCCGGACCGCCAAAGCGAAACGTGTGCACTTAACCACTGCGCCACCCGGCCGGCCCCTGTGACTCTTGAATTTACCTAAATCCAAGCATGGAGTGTGAGGTGGGTGGGCTTTTAGAATGCTCTTTCACTGGGGGCACTGCTGATGGAAGTGTGTGTGGTGAAGAACAGGGCGGGTTTTAACAATTGCTGCAGGTTTGCACTCCCTGACCTTCAACTTTTGATGAGAGTCAGAGTCAGGATTTAGGGCTCTCAGGGTAGCAGCCAAGAAGGCAGCTTTTTCAGTCATGGTTTTAATGCATCAGCAAACGCCTTTTTTTCCCTTTTGGTAGAATGATGGGTCAGAGCACAGGCTTTGGAGCCAGGCTGCCTGTGTTCAGATGCCAGCTCTACAGCTCACTAGTGACGTCACCCTGCACAGTTACTCCCCTCTGTCCCAGGGATCTCCTCAGTGCCGTGCGGGCCACAAGTGCACGTGCCTCCTAGATGAGGTCTGGGGGAGAGCCTGTGGAAGCACGCAGAGAGTGCTCCCTGACTCTTAACTGGGTCACTTCACAGAGCACCTCAGTCCAGAGGCTCATCAAGCCGGCCAGGGAGCCGGTGCTGCCCCTGTGGAAGAGAACGAAGGAGAGGCCTCGAGCTTGATCCCCTCCTTTGGGCTCCCAGATGTCATTTACTTCACAGGCCCCCACCGAGAGACCGTTGCCGAGGCCCCATTTTACAGATGGAGAGACTCAGGCCCTAGGACTGCAAGGGACTTTCTTGACTTCACCTGACATGGTGGCAGCAGAATTGGGTTCAGGACTCAAACCCACTTGGTTTAAATATCTCTGGCATAGGGGAAGTCTGATAACCAATCAAGAATTCAGAGACCTTGCTTGAGTCCATAGTAATAGCGTTTGTGTTCGTGACATCCCAGCATTCAGAGCATGGACACATGATCTTTCTTGATCCACCCTGAACCTAGCAGGTGGTAGGACCTGTGAGGAAACAGGGCTGTGACGGGAAGGTGACCTGCTCCGGCTCAGAGCTGCTAAGTGGCTGAGACTGTGCCAACTCCAGACCCGCCCGCTTTCCTCTGTACCCTGCTGCCTCCCTGCATGGGTTTCAGTCACATTCCTAGCACCTCACCTGCCACAGGACGGGAGGGTGAGAAGAGGGAACACAGCTTGGCGCCTCGCCCCCTGTGGCAGAAGAACAGAGCCATAATCCGCGGTACTTGCCTGGCTGGCCCATGGGAGGAGAGTCTTTTCACGCTAAATCAAACACTTAATTAATTTGGGAACACAGGGGTACTGTGTGGTTAAAGATCTGCCGGGGCTTGTATGGACTGGACGGCGTTGTTTTCTGCAGACTGGGGGAGGCAGTTTCAGGAGGCTAGCAGATTTTTTCCAATGTGTTGTCATTTCTCCGATGATTGAGTTATCTCTTTCATTACAGGTGGAGAGAGACTTTGAAAGGGAGTATGGAAAACTTCAGCAGTGAGTGTCAAAACCCAGAAGGATGGGGTGCGGGGTCAGAGAAAGACGAGAGCCTTCTGCCAGGTCTCATGTCCAACACTGCCCCTTCTGCTCACCAGCTGTTAGTGGGCTGCTCGTTGCACCCTGGGAGCTGAGGGCAGCGCAGGTCACCACGTGCCAGAAATTCTCCCCCAACTGCTGGCTGTGTGACAGTCGTTCGCTCGTAGTCTTTGGGTGCTTGGCTCCATGCAGAGCTTGTAGTGGCCCTTCCGTCAGTGGGGAAAATCCCCACAGAGAAGGCAGGGCCCCTTCTCCTCCCAGCAGGCATTCCAGAGTGTCAGGTTGGGCTTAACTCAGGTAGACACAAAGAAAAGGGGCCAAAAGGTAGTTGGCGATGCCAGGTACCCAGGCCTGTGCCGCTGCCTTGCAGGCTGGAGGAGCAGACCAAGAGGCTGCAGAAGGACATGAAGAAGAGCACCGATGCTGACCTAGGTAGGTGGCACTGCCCCTGTGACTGACCTGGACTGGGCCGGGCAGAAAGGGTTGCACTCCACCCTCAGTCACTTTCGGGCTGGGTTTGAAGTACATACACTTAGTAGATGCCTGACAGATGTCCCTGAGAAGTGGCTTGAGGTCACGCTTCACTTAGCAGTTCACCACCACCACTGTCCCCACTGCAGCCGGAGGCACTGCCTGCCTGCACGGAGCGCCAGCTCCCAAGGCTGGTGCTGCAGGTGCTCATACCGCTGCTCGTCCAGAGGACACGGGCCGCTCTGATGTGGCCACCTCTCACTCCTGGCGCCTAGCGTCTCCAGACTGTGTGTAGCAGGCCAAGGGTCTGATTTTGGAGTCCCTCTGTCACTCGTTTCATCAGTGGTTCTGCGTTACCTGGGTCACGTCTTTGTCATTCCCCACTGCCTTTCCAGTGAGGGAGATGCTGGCCCTATTGCTGCCTTTGCTTCCTACTTCTCCAGACAGCTGCACCAGCAGAGTATAAATGAAGGAAGGTAGTTGTTTTCATAGTGAGCGACTTTGGAAGCAAGTACAACATCAAGGATCCATGAAATGGAGTCTGGCTACAGAGAGCGTAGTGTTCCAACAAAGAAATCAGGATAAACGTGGGGCCCCTGGAGCCTCCTTGGCCTCCTCTGCCCCAAGTCAGAAGTGGAGTCTGGGCAGCGAAAGCCCTCCTGAAGCAGTGGTGCCTCAGCCCATCACAAGACCCAAGTCACAGTCCATGCAGAGAGCCTCGCATGTTGGTGCATCTGAGTCACTGGAGGGCTCCCTACAATGCGGATTGCGCCCCCCCCCGGCCTCCCTGCCCCGAGCCTTTCCAATTCATCAGGTCTGGGCAAGGCCTGAAAATCTGGGTTTCTAATAATTTCCCAGGCAATGCTGATGCAGCTGGTCCAGGGACCCCACTTTGAGAACCACTGCTCCAAACAATTGAGGGGACTCAAATTATACCCTTCCTGATCTTGGAATCTCCTCAGCTGCCTGGACAATATCTAAAACCCCAAGCTGTGGTTCCAAAACAAGGTCATCCCGGGTGTGACCAGTGCCTGTTGGATCTCTGTTGACTCTTACATTCCGAGGTGGTATCAGGGCTCCAGAGACCCATGTGGAAGCCCAAGACCCTCACTCTCTCTAGGTTCAAAGACCACCAGCCTCCCAGTTTGTGCTGGGCTGACCAGGCCCCTCCGCTGTCCCTGCAGAGGCAGAATGAGGAGTGTGAGCTAGCCCGGAGGAGAGCAGAGGCCACAGCGCCCTGCTGTGCCCGCAGGGCCGTGATGTCCTGGGGAAGGATTGCAGACACAGTACTACACCAGTGGCTAATTGCCTGAGGGGACACAGGCTGTGAACTGACTTGGGAAGTTTCGAGCAAAGAAAGAGACAAAGGCATGAAGAGGTGAAGGCTTTAGGAAAAAAAAGGAAAGTTGGGAAGAAAGTCTTTCCCCCCACCCCCTGAGGGTTTTCTGGTTTTTTTCCTCAAATACTAAAAAAAATTAATGGAAGAAATTTTCCAAAAACATTTCCAGTTTTGTCCAGGTTTTTATTCTTTCAATTATGTTGTCTATGAAGACCGTTTCATTGTCCAGTCGGGCTACACGTGATGTTTGCTCCTAAGCCTACAGAGTCACTTTGCAGATTTATTTAAAGAGCGGTTTCCTCCATTGCTTCAGCATCTCTGCGGAGTTTACACTTCCAAGCTTCTCTCACATTTTGCTCTTTTGCTGGGTGCCTGCAGCATGCTTCCAAATTCGATTCAAGAGAAGCCCCAGGACAGTGCTCTGGGTAGCCAGTCATCCATTCTGGGCTTCTTTGCTGGCATGCAGAGGGGCCTGGGTGAGGAGGGACCCTCTGGTTTCTGTTTCTCCCACTCAAAATGTAGAGGCGGGCCCTTCCTCCTGGAACCCTGGGCTTGGGGCTACTTGCTCCTCACATGGAGTGCGAGGGGAGGTCACATCTGTGTTTAACTGGAAAGTGGCCCTTATTTCTTTGATTCTGAGACCTTTTTTGACATTTAACATCTCTGAAATCAAGGTGCCCTAACACTTGATAGTGTGTTCTGTTTTAATTGGCAGCATTTTTTTTTCTTAGTGGTTTATACAATAATGGTATGTCTTAAAAATGATAGCATCTTCAATTCAATGACATAAAATGGTAAGAAACACATTCAAAACCGTGTTTTCCCATGAGAGTCTGAAACTGGAACAGACACTATGGCACAAGCATGGCCCTTCCCCAGCCTATCTTCCTGTTCCTCTAGAATTTTGTTTGCAAATAATGGAGACTTGAAAACCTGTATGGGATCAAGAACTCCAAAACTGCCCACAAGTCTCCATCCTGCCTCTGAGCTGTTCTGTGACTTCCAGGCTCCCTATCTCTCGAACAGGCACCTAAACACATGCACAAGGCTGCAGCAGGGCAGCAGTCTCCATCCACGGAGCAGTGGGCACAGAGAAGACCTGTAACAATGTAAGCAGACACCCCATCAGAGCCTCTCGGGGCCCGCCACTGCTTTCCCCAGGCCGGGTCACCAGGAGAGCAGTGGCTGGGGAGGCGGCTGCCCAGGATCTAGTCTTGGCTCAGCGCTTGCAGCTGTCCAACCTGGGAGGAGTTACAAACTCTCCTGAGCCTCACCCTCATCCATAAAATGGAACCAAAATACATCTACCCTAGATATCTCCTGGGCTGTTTGAGCCCTATGGACGACAGTGGGTGCATGCGAACTCTGGCAGAGGCAGGATGGAGAGCTGCTCTGATTACTGGATGTCACTGAAACCAGGGGTTCCCTCGCTACACCGAATCTCACCTAGTTTGGTCAGTACAGTTTTGTTGGAACACAGCCACACGCACTCTTCAGGTACCGGCCGTGGCAGAGTTGGTAGTTGTAACAGATCCCATGCAGCCCGCAAAGCCTGGCATTTGAGTCTCTGGCCCTTTACGGCGAGTCGGCCGGCCCTGGTGTGGAGCACTGTTACTCTTGTCTGCTGGGGAGGCCCAAACCAGGCTGCACGTCTGAACCGCCTGGAAAGTTGTTTAAAAATATATATTCCTGGATTCCAGACTTACTGAATTAGAATCTTTGGAGCTAGAAATCTGCATTTCTTACAGCTTCCCACCCAGATGATTCTGTTCTAACCCTGAGTTTGGAAAATTAGATTACCACAACAGGTAAAACTGCTCAAAAGAATTACCCAGAACAGCACAAGTTGGTCAGGAATGAACATTATACAATGAAGACTAATGTCTCATGGCTTTGCGGTACTTTGTCGTTTTTGCGGCCTGTGGCGGCAGGTAGAGGTGATCCGGGAGCAGGCCCCTGGACCAAGGGAGGGCAGGGAGTCCTGAGGACAGGACGTTGAAGCCTGTCCCTTCACAGGCTCACTGAGCTTTGACTTCTTACAGCCATGTCCAAATCTGCTGTGAAGATATCCTTGGACTTGCTCTCCAATCCTCTCTGTGAGCAAGACCAGGACTTTCTGAACATGGTGACAGCCCTGGACACGGCCATGAAGCGGATGGATGCCTTCAACCAGGAAAAGGTGACTGGGGCCTTGGTTCCCCGCCTCTCGTGGCTTCTGTCTGGGTGGGGTGCCCGCATGGAGTCCTCACAGGGCTCCGTGTCCTCTTTGGGCACCCTCAGCCCTCTGAGGCCTCTGTCCCAAGCCCTATGAGCTCTTTCCTGGCTGACATGCGTCAGCACTAGGTGCTTCCTGTGGCTCCCATGAGCTCGCACCACACACTGTGAGTCCGTGAAGGAGACTCAGGTCAGCTCTGCCCACCCGTAGCCCCTCGAACTTTCTGTAGTTGCCCAGCCAGCCTCCTCGCTGAGCAAGGTCATTATCAGCCTTGGCGGACAGCAGCTGGCAGAATGCGAACTGACCAGGGACAAGGACAGTGCTCCTTGTTGCCCTTCAGGCTTCCTGGTCATCATCTCCGCCCTGCTTCAGCTGCAGAGTTAGGGGTTCCCCACTTCACCTGCCTGCTGTGGTCTCCTCCCTGCCTGGGGCTCTTGGGGTACCCCGACCGGTCTCCCTTCTCAGGAACTGGGAGCCTCCCCTTTTACAAGGGGTCTGACTTCCTCCCAGTTTTGATGTCAATGGTTTTTCTTTTTACAGGTGAACCAGATTCAAAAGACCGTGATCGAACCCTTAAAAAAGTGAGTAAAGATCAGCCGGGCACCATGGGCCTTGGGGAACTAGGCTCAGGGCTCTTTTGGAAAGACAGGTCAACTGGCCACTTGGGGACTGAATATCGTTTCTAGCAGCCTGTCACAGACTCACATGGGCTGACGGGAAACTGCGGGGATGCCGGCTACATGATCTGTGGCCCCGGGATTGAGACTCCTGGTGGCTGCAGAGCACCCGCCTTGCCCAGAGGCGCTCAGTGATGGGAGGGCCTCCTGACCCTCCACAGCAGCTGGCAGTTGCTCCAGTGGTCATTTTTCATTTTCCCCTTTGTTCCTGACTGGAAACCATTGGGAGCAAAGCTCGCTGAGTTAAGCTAGCAGAGGTCTTGGCCAGCCCTCAGCGGGGATGAGCAAGGCCTTTCATCTCGCAGCCGGATTGGGAGAGCAGCTGCCTGCAGCAGTCAGCTTTTGAAATGTGGGGGTGGCCGCATATGGGGAAGGGCCAGCAGCGGGGTCCCGCCTGGGAAGGTCCCCTAACTCGTGACCTGTCAGGGTCAGAAATTCTTCTGTGAGACTCATCTTCTGTCGGGCAGGCTCTGGTCAGTGATCAGACAAGCCTATTCCCTGGGTTCCCTCAGGGGTGGGCCAAGGGGACAGGCAGGAGCATTGCCTTGAAGCTCCCGAATCACTTCATCTCCTTCCCTCAGCCTCTCCCAAACAGGCTGTGACCTAGAAAGGCCCCTGCTCCCGCCCGGCAGCTGCGCTTTATTACCTCTTCTGTGGTGGTCCCTGGCAGTCGCCTCGCCAGGGCCCGGTAATGAGGCTCTGCTCATTACCATTAGGCCTGGCCCAGGGCCCAGCGGGAGATGAAGAGAGCAGGTTCTGATCCTCTAGCCCTAGTGTCGGGGTTGTTGAGCTCTTCATCCTGTGTAGGTCCAGGGGCTGGGGCCAGGGAAAGCTCTTTCTGAGCTCAGGCTGTCTGGAGGCTCAGCCATGGCAGGGAGGCTGAGCCTCGCATGGGAAGGGATTTGCCCCTGCTCCGTAGCCTCTGCTCAGCCCCAGGTCGAAGGGTCACATGAGGTGAGGGGCTGGGTGCCGAGGAGGCCAGTGGTTCAGGAGGGAGGTGTCAAAAGGAGCTCCATTGCTTGTGGCTTTCTGACCCAGTCTCCAGGACCAACAGTTAAGAGCTGGGTGGGAAGGATCACGGGCAGAGCAGACCCTGCACACGAGGGTCCCAGGGGGCTGCCACAGAGGCTGCCATGGATACACATGGTTGGCTGGCAGAGCTGGGCAGGGGGCACCAGCTCAGAGAACTGGGGGACTGACTCCTGTCTCGATTTCACAACCAACGAGGAGGCCTTGAAATCTGACGCCCAGCTTCTGGAGCCACATGGAGAGAAATCCCGGCTGCTTCCCACCTCCCTAGCAGCCCACCACCTGCCAGGAAGGTGGGTGAGTGGCAGAGGGGGCAGGCACCATCTCCGAAGCAGATCCGCTGACCTCTGCATGAGCCCCCCGGGCCTGCCTGGCTACCGGTCGGCTTCTCTGCATCCCAGAGCCGACATGTGATCTCCCCCGACCACATGAAACCGGCACTGCCTGTTGCCTCCTCTTGGCAGGAGAGCAGCTCCCAGGGACCCCAGCACCGGAAACAGGAAACTGCAGCTTTCCTGTCCTCTGATGAGGAACATTGCCACATGGCCACCCTACCGCCCCCAGCCTCCCCCAGGGGCTCGGCCTCTAATCCCCCAGTCTCTGGGCTGTGTTCACATGGTCGGATGGGGATGCTTTCAATTTCCCTTTCCTGGTGGGTGGAAGATCCCGGCTGTGTGGGCACAGATTGAGGAATGGCAGGCATTCCCCACCAGGGCCGGCTGCTCCCAGCCCACCTCCCAGCCGGCCTCTCTCTCCCTCCTCCTTTCATCGCTGCCTCTTCACCCCACGCTCACCCAGGGGAGGCAGTTTGCTGTTGAACCTTAGGACAGGCAAGAAACGGGCAGCCGCCGTGGGGAGAGCTTCAGCGTGTGCCTGGTGTGGGCCTGGCCCTGTTCTCCCTTCCTTGAGGATAGACGTAATGCAGACTTCAGGAGCTTATGATCCAGTGCAGAAGCCATGATGGTATTCTCAAGAAAAGGGACCAGTAGTATAACTGCCAAGGTGGTGCAGTTCAATGGACATGCGGGATGGGCAGTCCCAGCCTGCCCCCGCCCGACCCATGACCTTGTTGGCTAGGTCCCTGTTCCTCTGAGTCTCTTTACCCATCATGGAAAGGGAGAGCGGAACTGAACTCTTGGGATGGCACAGTCAGTGCTCAGGAGCAGGGGAGGGAGGCCTCAGGGGGCTGAAGTGGCCGGGTGAGCTGCATGTGGGGACGGAGCCTATCCTAGGGCCCTGTCCCAAGGACTTCCGTGTTCCACCTCACTACTGATGATCAGGGGAGGAACAGGGAACTCAGCAGAAAAGGGCTGGCTTTCCAGCCTTGTTTCTTGGTGGCAGCCCAGTACAAGTGCAGACTTCATGCCGCAGGTGAGCTTTGCTCCCATCCTCGTCAGGTGCAGTCAGCAGGTACCTCTTTAGGGTTCCAGGGGCATGTCCATGAGGGGTCCAGGCACTGGGGACCAGCCTACGCTTGTCCTCACTTCCCTGATGACTTCCTTCCTCTGGCCGACAGATGGAGGAAGGTACTACCGCCCTCCACATCTGGGGGGCCCTGCTACTGGACAAACCACCCTCGTCGCACAGCACCGCAGTATTTATACTGCCCGACATACCGCCCAACACATGGAGCTGGCAAAGTCCGTTCTGTTGCTTCTGAGTAGAAAATGGGGAGGTGGAGCCTCAGAGGGGTAGGACCCTGCAGCCGAAGATCAGAGTGTTCATCCTCGCTCTTGTCAGCTGCCTCAGAATACACTGTCGGATCTCCCTGCCTGACCTTAGTTTCCCCACTTTAATGTGAGAAGGGCATGACTCCTGCCCCTACCCCTAGGGAGTCCCGAAGCCAGGGTGAAAGCCACCCAGGTGGCAATGATTCGTGTCCCATGAATGGTAAACTAAGCCATCAGAGCCTTCTGTGGCCTCTTGCTTTGACTGTGAGGGGTTCTTGTGAGAATGGTGAAGAATGGTTGTCGTGGAGGGTCTGATGAGCAGCTGGCAGCAGTTTTCACTGCAGCCGTGTGCTCCCCGCAGAGGACAGGCGACCTTACTTCCAGAAGGCTGAAGGCAGTGTCCTGTAGACGCAGCCCGTCTGCACCACCCATCCCTTGAGGCTGCCTGGCACTGCGTGGAGAGCTGTAAGCCTGGATCCTGCCTTCCTTACACCTCGCGGCCCCGGCCTTGGCCCTGGGGTTGGATTTCTGTTTCCTTTGTGGCTGATCCAGTCCCTGCATTTAGTCAGCGTTCCTGGCTATCGGTCCCTGGCCCTGGACATAAACCCCAGCTGACAACTGAGGGAAGGGGTTAGAGGGTTAGCCAAGATACAAGAGCTGGCGGCCGACCAGCAGGCTGGTAATCCTGTCTCGTACCTGTGCGATACGCCACACACACACTGCTGCATCCATTGCGGTGCCCTCCTTCCTGAGAAGAGGAGCTCCAAGTGATGGGATTGTGGCAAGGCAAGAAAACCCTCCACTTTGTGCCTCTCTGCCTGTCTCTCTTTCTCTTCCTGTCTCTGTGCCAGCACCCAGCCAAATAGACAGCAGAGGCCAGGCACTGGGACCACCCAAGCAGCAGGTTGCTTCTAACAAGAGAATCAGGGTGGCTGCTGGAAACCCCTTGTCCAGTTGGGGTGGAGGGGGAGGTAGCGTAGTGGCTTCTCAGGCCCAACTGTACCTGTTCCTTTGAGCCACACGCTTCTCAGCTGCTGGTCACGCTCCTCCCAGGAAGAGAGAGGGGTTCACCTAGCAACTGAGACCCCATCATAGAAACTGCCTGAGGCAAAAGCAGTGAGGCCAGCTCCTGCCCAAGGTTTCACCTGTTCACACCTTCTCCAGGGGGACCATTTGTCCTGGAGGTGGCAGTCCCCGTATCCAGTTTGCACAGCACCACGTAGGCCTACATCTTCTGCCTGGCAAGTCATTCAAATACTGATTTGACCGCTGTGTGCGGGGCACGTGACAGGGTTCAGAGAAGTGTGGCTTCTTGCCCACTTCTTTAGCATTTCCAGTGGGGTAGGGAGCCTATCAGGGACACGCATCAAGTTAGAAGAATTTGTGTTAGCAGCCTTTCTCAGGGATAAGCCCTTTGTTTCATCAGAATCTCCTTACTCCCCGGGTCTATAGCTGTGTTTGGGGCATTTAATGCTTTGGTCAAATTTATGTTCTGTATTCTCTGGCAAAAGTATTCATTACTCTTATGTCACACATACTCTGGACTTGTTGAGACTTTTAAAAACCAAGTTGATGGTCATGTACTTTTGAGAGGCAGACTTGGCAAGTCATTCTTCATGTGGTATCTGAACGACCTGGTGATGACCCATGCTCTTAGAGACACCCTCCTGGCTCTGAGCACTTGTGAAAGGCTGAAATCAGCAACTGATTGAGGTCCCAGTGAGGAGAGTCCGACCTCATACCTCATTCCTGCCCCCGTCTTTTGTCTTCTCCGGGTTGCTCCAGGAGGAACTGACTCTTCTCCTGGTCCTGGTCCGCCCACTCCATGCTTCTCAACCCCAGATAACCACTGCGCCGTCATGTTCCTCAGATACATGGCCGGATCTCCACCAGCTGCTCGAGCTCCCAGCTTGTGTGGTAGACGCCTCTGCCACCAAGCCCTCCAGCAGCAGTGACAGCACCTCCTGCCCCTCAGGCTTTGCCATCAGGGAAGTTGCCCCATCTTCTCCTGCCCAGTTTCAGAAAAGCTGCTTGCAGGTTTGCCTTGCCATCTCCCACACCCGTGAATCACGGGAAATGCAGCGTCCCTGCCTCGGATGCAGTCCTGCCCTGCGTCAGTCTCAAGACAGCATTGCCCTTCCCAGTTAAAGATGACACTGGTCACAAAGATTATGCCCACAACGGCCAAAAATGCCAAAGCCTCTGCCACTGCTCTTTCTGAGCGGCCCACTCCTCTGAGCATTCCCTTATGGTCCTTTTTAGTCCCAGTGGGGTAGGAAGAGGTCCTTGAGTCATTTTCCTCAAACATCTGGTTTGACAGTTTGGCCATTTCAATGGCAGAAGCAAAAGATTCCTACTTTTCCTGTGCTCAGCTGGTAGAACAGGCCAGGAGTAGGTTCTGATTGCAGTTCTGTCACCTGCTGGGACACTTGAGTTCTCTGCTGGACCATCACTACCTAATTGCGACCTTGGACAGGTGATGCCATCTCTCTGGCCTCAGTTGCTTTCATTGTTTTAAAAGAAGATGTTCGACAGATGACTTCCATGGAGTCTTCAGCTCTGCCATGCTCTATCTCAGGTCTCGGTAAAGTGGCACAGGGTCACACGAGATGGGTAGGTAAGGGGGCAGTGGTGCATAAGTGGCATGCGTTTGTGACGCACTGTCATCCTCTGGTCAGTGGAGTGACCCCCTAGCCCTGTCTTCTCTCCTTTGGCTTACCCCAAGACAGCATTCTCAGTAGCATGAGCTCCACAGGGGCCAGGGCCTCTCTGTCTCGTTCACAGTGAAATCCCCAAGACCTAGGAAAGGGTCTGGCACTTAGTAGGCACTCAATATGTATTTCTGGATGCAGCTCCAGGAACAAGCCCGTATCCAACCCAGCTATGTCCTGCAGGTTTGGCAGTGTCTTCCCAAGCCTCAACATGGCTGTGAAACGGCGGGAACAGGCCTTGCAGGACTACAGGAGACTGCAGGCCAAGGTGGAGAAGTATGAGGAGAAGGAGAAGACAGGGCCAGTGCTGGCCAAACTCCACCAGGTACCAAGGCGAAGAAGAGCTGGGGGCGGACAGCGGGCCACGTGGTTACACCTGGCAAGTTTCTCCACCTGGGTACCAACTCTGGGGCTGTGTGGCCAAGGCGCCAGACGTCCTGATACCCCACAGCAGGGACACTGGATAAGCCAGTGACACTGTGACATCCAGGGTCTTGTTCCCCAGGCCCGAGAAGAGCTTCGGCCTGTGCGGGATGACTTTGAGGCCAAGAACAAGCAGCTCCTGGATGAGATGCCACGGTTCTACAACAGCCGCCTGGACTACTTCCAGCCCAGCTTTGAGTCCCTGATCCGAGCACAGGTGAGGCCACGCCCCACCCCGCCCCAGAGGATGGCCCAACACTTTTCCCTTGGGAGATAGTCCTGGGCTTTGTAGACATGTCTCATGCTGCTCCCCCCCGGAAGGGTGACCTAGCCATTCTCTGCAGAGTCAACATCCCCCCAAGGAAGGGAATCCAGGGGCCTCTGGTGACAGACTTTGGGCGTTTGCTGGAACTTCTGCTTGGGTCCCTATATTGCTCTTTGGTTAATCCCAGCCCTGGGATGAGGTTCCTTTTTGCTTAATGGTTCTTCCCTCGACTCCTCTCTGCCTCTCACATTTCACCAGCAGCAGCAGGAAGAACCAGGCTGCCCCTTCTGCACCTCGTTTCAATGGGTGGGTTCTCTGCCTGGCGTGCTCAGGAGGTCAAGGATGAAAGCCCTTTTCTGAGGACCCTGCACCCCCTAAACCATAATTAGTCCTCGTCTGTTGATGGAGCTAGTCACCTGTGGAGGGGTCCCTGAACCCAGGGGAGAGCCATGTCAGGGCCCCTGCCTGGGTGCCGGACCGTGGTGCCCCTTCCAGTGGAAAGGCAGGCTGGGCGTGGGTGGACGTGCCCAGTGTAGCACTGGGGCCAGGCAGCTTCAGGGTTGCTGCACACAGGCCAAGACCCTGTGTCTCCTGCTACTCTAGGGTGTAAGCACACAGAGTTTGTGCTCGGGTGTAGCTCCTGCCCTCCTTGCCCCGCAAACCGCCCCCGTTCTTCTAGCCAATAGCAGGGATTATTCTCCCCGCTTGTAAAAGAGAAAAGTTTGAGGTGCTAAAGCCAAGAGGTCTCCATGTGGGACCCCTAGCTGACTGCAGGTGCTCTGCATCCTGCCACCTTTCCCACCAAGTAACAAAGCTAAAGACTCACTCATCCTGTCCACCTCCAGCCCACTCCTGCTCTTGGCCTGGGTATCTGGCGCCCTCCAGTGGACACTGTCATTCCTTGCAGTGTCCACAATTGCAGGCACCCAAGGAAAACCTCCCTCCCAGCCTGCCTGCCATCTTTAGCAAACACAAAACCCAGGGGGCCATACACCTGGGATCAGGAACCCTGAGCAGGATTGATGTTGGAGCTGGGACTTGTTAGTGACCGTGTGCTTGGTCATTAGGGGAAAATGAGGCAGAGAACTAATGTGCACAAGGGAGTAGGGGGTTCCCACACTTGCCCCGAGAGCCTTGCCCCTGGAGGGGGGCTTCCTTCCAGCAGCTTCACCCTGGGCCCTGGAAGGAATGTGTTTAAGGACATCTGTGCCTTCCCTCTCCTACGTCATCATGGCTCCTGCTCCCAGCCTCCCAGCCCCCTGCATGCTGCCCTGCCCCCTGCATGCTGTTGCTCACAGGAGGAAGCTCCAGGGTGCCCAGGCTTCAGGGTGCCCAGGTTGGAGCAGTTTGGGGGCTAGAGATTCCCTGTAACCAGGCAGCAGGGTGGCTGGGGGTTGTTCACTGCCTCCTCAGCACCAGCCTCCCCCTGCCGCGGCTGCCATTGCCATTAGTCACTGGAGAAGTGAGCATTCCTAGTGACTCAGCCAGCAGTGCAGCTCTCGGCTCTCAGCAGGGAGTTGCGGGGAAGGGGCCATCCCCCACCCTCCCGAGCACTAGCCCAGGCCCTGTCCCCTGAGGTGAAGACCTTGATTTAGCTCCCTTCAGCCCAGGGGAAACCTAGCTGTGGGAGACAATTCCTCAGAAGCAGCTCAGCCAGAGCCTTGCCACCAAACCTGCCACTCAGGCTTGCCTTGCCAGTGACAGCACTCCCGGGGTCTGGAGTAGAAGTTGAGTTCCTTCTCCCTGGAGACAACTTGCAGCTGAGGGTGATAAAATTTAGGGGTATTTGAATAGTGTGGGGCACTTTCGTGAAAGTACAGACTTTCATTTGCCATGAGGTGGAGACAGGCAGAAATGGCCCATCTTCCTCCCCTGGAAGAGCCCGTCCTGGGCCAGCTCAGGCCCTGGGTCTCAGCAGTCCTCGGCCATCTGGGAGTTGCTGTGGGTCTCCCCCATTCCTCGGCATGCCCCGCCTCACTCTTATCGCCTCTCCTGTCCCACTTCTGGGGCCTACACAGAGGGAAACACGGAAGGAGCTTGGCATCAGCCGTTTTCCTAGCTGCCCCACTCAGGCAGTGATTCACGGTGGGACGAGTGGGAAGCAGCAGAAGGCTAGGAAGGTGTCGCCTTTCTCACCTTTACTCCCTTTTTTTTTTTTAAGGTTTTGTTTCTTCTTTTTCTCCCCAAAGCCCTCTGATACATAGTTGTGGGTCCTTCTAGTTGTGGCACGTGGGATGCCGCCTCAGCATGGCTTGATGAGCAGTGCCACATCCACACCCAGGATCCAAACCAGCAAAACCCTGGGCCACCGAAGCGGAGCACACGAACTTAACCGCTCGGCCACGGGGCCAGCCCTCCCCTTTACTTCTAAAGACTGACTCTTTAAAGACTGAGAGACATGCCGTGGGAGCCAGCCATGCCCTCTCCCATGAACAGAAGCTTCCAGCTTCTCCCAGCTTCTGTAAAGCAGTAAGCCCCTATTCAGTGCCTGACTCCCTAGCCTCCCCAGGACCCACAAAGGGTCCTCTCACTGCCCCCGGCCCCGTGTCTCCTCCACAGCCCTTAGCCCTCAGCTGCTTCGGGAGCTCCACCACCTCCCACCTCACAAGAACCTGCTGCTTCCCTCCCCCTTTGACTCACTGCCACCCCAGGCAGTGCACATTCCTGAAAGACTTCAGGCACCGGCTTCACTCCTCCCTGGTTGCTGTGCCGTTTAGGAAGACGGGCGGAAGGGCAGGGCAGTGGTGGAGGGAAAAGTGGAAACCAGCCCCCTTTGCTCAGCTCACGGAGCTCTGCTTTCGGGAACAGCAGCGGACTGGGGTTCTCTGGCCCCACCAGTCCTGCTGTGCCCAGGGGGTGTGGTGCTGTCAGGGCTTGGTACCCTGGGAGCCCAGCACCTGCCGACTTCCTCCTGCCTCCCACCCCAGGTCGTGTACTACTCTGAAATGCATAAGATCTTCGGAGACCTGACTCAACAGCTTGACCAGCCTGGCCACCCAGACGAGCAGCGGGAACAGGAGAATGAGGCGAAACTAAGCGAGCTCAGAGCCCTCTCTATTGTGGCTGATGATTGAGTCCCCACTCCCTCGAAGACCCTGGGGTCATAAGTCAGCCTCTCTAGTCTTTGTCCTTTTCAAGCTTAGACTAAAGGGTCAGCCAGCAAAAGGCCCTGCCCGGAATAAGTATGGGGATAGTGGCAGCTCCTGCTCTACCTCACCAGCCCTTTGGAATAAGCCTGGCACCGAGAGCCCCAAACAGGCTGCCGTCTCCCCACCCATAGCCAAGAGCTTGCAGAGAGGTAAGCATGCAGAAAGCAATGCAGGAGCCGCCTCATTTCCAAAAGGACCGTCCAAAGTGCATCCTGGCGTAGGGCCAGAGCAAGCTCCCAGCCTTCACCTTCAGAGGGCACGGGCTCTGTCAGCTCACTCAAGGTCTTGGCCATGCTTGCATGGTTGGGATAACGTCTACCTCCAAAAGGCACATCCTGGGGAGTCCAGCCACGCTCGCTGCCTTTCCACTTCAGACTCATCTTTTTTGGGCGAGGCCTGTGACACTGCCCTGGGGAATGTGAGAGCTGTGGTCCTTCAGTCCTGACAGGCCCCTCACTCCAGCCTTCCAGCACAACAAAGGCTGGCTTAGCCCACTTCTATCCCTTAGGTCAAGTGCAAGGAAGAGCCCCAAGTCTTGTAGGTTCCCAAAGAAATCAGGACTCAATTCATATAAATACCCTATCAATCACACAGAATGTCACATAGACTGATTCACAGGCCTCAAAGCAACAACAGTGGGTTTGTGTCTCACCTGAATATTTGGAATTTTATTTTTTCAAGTAAAGTTTTAAATAAAATTTCCACATAGTATTGTGCTGTAACTAAGGAGAGGAGGGGCGAGCCGCCCCAGGTTTTTGTCAGGGTTATGCTGCCCCCTGCTGAATTGGCAGGACCCCTACAGCATTCTCTCTCCTTACCAGCAGGTGGCAGAGCCCCGAGTGCAAGGGACTGGCTCTTCCTGCTGCCCCGCCCCGCCTTCGGGAGGTGACTACACCTCCGATCCAGCAGAGGCTGGGCCGAAGGCCGGGAGGAAGGAGGAGCGCACGGGCAGACCTCAAAGAGGAGGAAGGGAAGAGCTATGGAGGACACTTGGTTTGTTTTTGACTTTGGTTTATTTAAAAAACAAAAAGCCAAAAAAAAAAAACAACTTTATATACAAAGTCAAACTGAAACCATGGGTTATGGAAAGAGGTGAGACTTATGGGGAACAGGGAAAAAGGCTGGGCCAGAGCCGATACCACATTCTGAACACAGGGAGCCAGGGGAAAGGTGCTGGTTTCTTCTAGCAAGTCTGGGTGGCTGGAACAGTGCTCACTGGCAACCACAGCCCAACACTGAGAGCTCACTAGCATGGCCTTCATCCTGCGACGGCCAAGGGAGCCCTTCCCCAAGAGCCTGCTCCTGTAGCCTAGCAGGATGTGTGCCATCCAGAGGAAGGGGCTCTTACCCCCGGCCAGATTCCGTGTCTGTTTCTTCAGTTTATTGGCATCAGACCTTATGACATACTCGAAAAGCCTTTTCCTCCCCTGTCTTATTCTAAACTGGAAGAGGACAGGAGAAAGTCAGCACAAGACTAAAGGGCCCCAGGAGAGATCCCAAGGTAGAGGGCAAAATGAGGGGTGCAGAAGATGTTGGATTTAGTTGTAAGTGGAACCATGGTTCCTCACTCATCTGTCCCACACAGCACAGACAGACCCCCACCCTGACGGCCTGAGCTTCTCTACAGAGGCTGAGCACAGGGGTCAGCCACCCCCTGCCTATGGCCCCCAGGTCCTGCTCCAGCTTCCTTCTGGAACCAAAAGGGCTCTAACTTCAGCAGGCTCCATCGCTGACTTCACAGGATGGCAGCTCCTGCACCAGGCCCCTCAATTGCTAGGTGCTGGCTCCTCTTTCTCTACCCAGCTGTCGGCCTGTTTGAAACAGATGTAACGAGAGTTAGGACTCAAGGAGGAAGGACCAAGATCTGAGCACTACTAACCACTTCCTCCTGGGAGATTCCAGGTTGCAAGCTGCTGACTGATGGCTTCCATAAGAAACTAGCAGACAGAGGAGAAGGCGAGGTGAACCTGGGTAAGGGCAGAAGGGGCTAAGGTGCTGGCTGCCATCCCATCCAAGCCTCCCAGCATGACAGCCGGCTCTCTCCAAAGGGCTCACCTTTTCAACCATTCGCTGCATCTCGAGCTGCAGTGGAGTCAGGCGCCTTCGGAAGTCCTGGAGCAGCCGCTGAAGCTGATTCTTCTGTCGGTCAGCTGTCCGGGCTGTCTCCTCAGCCTCAGCCAGCCGGGTTCGCAGCTCCTGCATTTCTGCTGCCAGTGTCTTATTTGTTACTTCAGTGGCTGAGAAGCGGTTATGGCTCTCCTCTAGTGGGAGGAAATACCAAAAAGACTGCTGCTAAGTTAAGGATTAGAGCACAGGGCAAGAGGCCTGAAGCCTAAGGAGCAGGGTCTCCCCCTTAGTCTCCATGTATACACATCTGCACGTCCCATCTGTGACAGGTCCCTGCGGCTTCAGGCCACTCACCCAGCTTCAGTTCCAGTGTGTGAATCTTGTTCTCCAGGTAGAGCCGCCCACTGTCCTGCTGCTCTGCACGCTGTAAGAGGTTCCCCACATGGATCAGGCTGCCATTGTGGGCCACCAGGCCTTTGTGCTCCATAGGGGCAACACCCGGCTTTGTGCTTTTCCCAGAAGGAGGTAGCAGATCCAGGTTTCCTAGAAGGAGCCACGAAGATGTAAGGGTCTCAGGAGAAGAAAGCAGCCTGCCCTGCCTGTCATCCATGGAAGGCTGCAGAGCACCAGTACGCACCAAAGAGCACCTCCTCAGGGAGCCCACCATCTGTGCCCTCCTGGCGACTGTACTGAAGGCTCCGGTACTGGCAAATGTTCTGGGTCACCACCCTGCTGACCAGCTGTTTGGCCTATAGAAAACACACAACCAAGATACTCACTGTTGAGACGACGCAAGACCTTGCCCCCGTGGCATGCAAGAACACAGAATCACAGCATGTTAAGTCGCACACAGGAGTTACGTGCGTGCTTATGCACACGGATGTCAGGAGAGGCCATCTCAGAAAGGACTGAGGGGGGCGTAAGAGAAGGCACCTGCTCTGCACTGAGCCGGAGCCCAAGGGTAAGCAGGATCCTCTCCAAGTCTCGCCGGTGCAGGTAGCCACACCAGTTGGCATCAAAGAAGACAAAAGCAAGAAGACAGTCCAAAGGGAGCACAGCAGAGGGATCCAGCTCCTTGGGCTGCAAGAGAAACAAGGATGAACAGGATTTACAGATAGCTCTCTCAATGGCTAAACCACCCAAATAGCCCTTTAAAATCGAGCAGTTTAGCTGACACAGTTACACCCAGGCGCACCTTCCAGTTGGAGACATGGCCCTGAACCAAAGGGGTCCCTGAACCTGTAACCAAAGGCCTATTTGGAGCACTTTTGACCAGGGGCTGTCACACACAGTGGAACCTAGTGTGTCCCTAGGTGAGATATCTCACTCAGGTTCACCCTGACGGAGATAACGATGTTTTCTGGATCCTATGAAAGTGCCATTCCATGAGTCAAGAACCACGTTTCGTCTTTAAGATGCCAGAAATGGTTTGGCAAAAGCATCCCTCTCCCAGGAGTGAGTCAGAGGCCCTGTAAGCTGCACTGCCACTGAGGCCCAGAGGGGCAGAAAGGAGGTCTCACCATGTCCTGGAGGGAAGAGAACTCCATCTCTGACTGGTTCGAGGCAACCGACCGGACCTCAGAATCCTCTAGCTTGGCTCCTGCTACAGAAGGCCTGAGATAAGTTTGGAGCCAGGACCACACAGGCCCAAACTGGCTCCAGAGTGCTAACACAGGAGAGCACTACAGCCAGAGAGGCAGGAAGCCGGCACCAGGCGCCTGCAGGCTTCCCTCTCACGCTGCACATACCGAACTCCTCCTCTCCATCATCCCTCAGAAGCAGCAGTTCTGGGTCGAGGGCCATCTCACAGAGGTCCTCAGACGCCTCACCCCGGGGCTTCTCCTCTTCCTCTCCCCCAGAAGATGGGGGTTTGGGCAAAAGCCCATCTTCCTTCTAGGAGAAGCAGACCAAGACAATGAGATCTGTCACCTCTAATTACTAAAAATAATAATGGCTAACGTGAGTATCAACCACGTTCAGGCACTGTGTGAAGGGCTTCAAATACAGCGTCGTATTCAATACATTTCATTACATGGGGTTCAGAGCAGACCAGGGCGATTTCAGGACACCTGGGATTTTCCTTAGGAGTCTATCTCAATCCCATAAGACATTACGTTTACTTGGTAGTACTTAGGCAAGAAGTAGACGCTTGTGCTTTTGAACGGGTTAGGGAAAGGCAGTGTTCTAGTTAACCATGAGGTAATCAAAACACCTATACTCCTCAAAGCATTCTGATTAACAGATTTCTGTGCTGCCATGGTGTGTCAACCACATTTCCTTTCCCTCTTCCAGGCCCACTGCCCTTATCCTAGGCGCCCCTCTTACTAGCTGGATGGCCATTTGCACCTGAGTACACACCAGGGTCACAAGGCACATGAGTTGAGAGGAGTAGGAGAGAAGACCCATCAAGTGCCCAGAGCAGCACCAGGTACCACACGGCACACGAGTCCTGGTCAGCCTTACTACGTGTAGCCCCAAGTGCCCACGCAGGGGGCAGAGGTACTCACCGGCGGGGCGTCTGCCTCGGCAGCTGTGCCCTCACTCTGTACCTCATCCTTGGACTCCTTGGCCGCCTCCTCCTTAACCACCTCTTCTTCCTTGGCTGCCTCCTCCTTCTCAGGTTCAGGTGGGGCCACAACCTTTTCAGGAAGGCTCAGCAGCATCTTATAAATCCTATAGCCAAAATCCCTCTGCAACATCTCCAGAAACAGCTCGGCCAACACCATCACCTGGTGGAAGAGGCGGCAGGGGTCCATGAACATGAGGAGAAGGGAGCGTTCCAAGCTCTGCCACCCCCAGACTCCTCCACCCACCTCAAAAGAGATCCTTTCTTTTGGCCTCCGGTCTTCCACAATACCATGGAGGGACAGGTTTACACAGCCAGCGTGTGCCACAACAGCAGGTTCCAGAGGGGGTGGAGGGGCCTCTGGGAGATCGGTGTCCATTTCCTGCTGTACAGTGACTTCTGGATTCTCTGCATTCTGTTTAGAGGTGTCTGCTGCTTGCTCCGATGCATCAGCCACCTGTTCTGTAGACTCTGTTTCCTGTGACAAAAGCCAAGAGCTATCACCACCTGGGTCCAGGGGTCAGGGCACCTACCTGCCCCACTTGCTCGTAAGGTGCAGCCTTACCACTGGCACCTCCTGGGGTGGGGGTGCTGCCTCTGCAGCTTTCTGCTGACACACAGCCTCCCATTCTTCCAAAGTAGGCATGATGGTCCCGACATCTGGCAGGTACACCACCACAGTCTGGAGCCGCCTTGGGGGTCCCGGCTGTAGGTACTGAAACTCAGCAAAGCGCCACCTGCTCACAGAAGGAAAAAAATGAAGTACTGACCCATAACATTCACAAGCAAGTGCTTCAGTTTCTAATCAACGTTTAATGAGCACATACTACATGCCAAGCTTTGAAAGTACAAAAATAAAAGATATAGACCAAGTCCTCAAGAAATGGTTAGTCAATGCGCAGATACAAGTAAGCAGACAATTACTATCCAAGGCGCTAAGGCAACAGGAAAGAACACTGAACAGCTGCGGGGGGTGGGGGTGGGGGGCAGGCGGGGTGTCGTCACATCTGACAGGCTTTGCAGGGTCAGCTGGCCTTCAACACACATATGCATCCCTAGGCATGCTCATGACCAAGGCAACCATTTGTGAGGGCTGGAGGGAGGATGCGCTGGCACTCGGGAACAAAAGAGAACAGGTCAGAAAGGCACAAAAGCTTGGCCTCCTGAACGGTCTCATCAACTCAGTGGGCTGGCCACAGACAGGAGCTCAGGGCAGCCACTCACCACTTTGTGCAGGCGCTTAAGTCGATGCCAGTCTGGGCTTGCGCACAGCGGATGGCAGTGCGGACTAGCACCTGTGGGTCGCCCTTGGGGTCGAGGCCATCCAGGGAAGGAGACCACTCACCCCCAACCAGCACTGCCTCCTCTTCTTTCCGACCCAGTAAAAACTACAAAAAGAGATCAGGGATAAGAAAGGAAAAACCAATTACCTGGGTCTCCCACTACCCTGGGGAATGAGAGCAACAGGATGTGGTGAGGAGTGCTCTACACGAGGAAGGGGGTTTCTCTACCCACAAATATGAACCAGCTACGTAACTCTTTCTGCCAAGTAATAAGATCTCTAAGCCACACTGTCCTGGTAAAATGAGTGGTATTCCAGCTCTGAAATTCCTTGTTTCTGTGAGTTCACAAATAGGAGCTGAGCTACTGAAAACCTGACAGGGACTGGATGTCATCAATGAATGCACCTTGCCTCCTGGACTCCAACTCTTACCTTAATCTGCTTCAAAGGATGTTCTGGCGTTTCCCTTGGCTCAGCCATGTCATCCACAAAGAGCATGCAACAGCGATACAATTCCTCCAGTCCCGGGGAGGAGAGCAGCAGTACCTGTGCAGGGGCAGCATGAAGGAGGCGCTCGAGAGCTTTTTCACTTCCTGTTAACAATGGGCTAAAGCAGCAGGGCCCCAGTCAGCTCACCTTGGAACTGTATGCAGGGTCACTGTCTGCGAGGATCGGCTCAGCCCCGGTGTCTGGAGCTGACTCCTTCTCAGAAGATACCTGGATACGGCTTGGATGATGGAGGGAAAAGGGCTGGCTCAGGGGGAAGGCTGACAGCCAGCTCAGGTGCACAGTCAGAAAATCTGAGGGAACCAGGAGGCTGCGGTAACGGCGCTGGAGTTCTAAGAAGTCACAGGTGGGGCTGTAGGAAGAAAGCAAGGGAATCCAGATTGAGCAAAGACTAAATTATTTTAAAAATGGTACAGTAAAAGACTTGGGGAAAAAAGGCAAATTATTTTATAATCTGGGAAAGAAGAACTTTCTAAGTAAGATATCTCTGGAAAAGGAAAAGATGGATGAGATTTGACCACTAAGATGTTACAACCTCTAAAGGCAAAATAAAGTCAAACTGGGGAAGGAAAAAAAGGGAAACATTTGCAATATATGACAGAGAAAAGGGTCACTGTCTTAATAGGAAAGGAACCCACAAATCAGTAAGAGAAAGGTCACAAGTCTAAGAGAAAACTGAGAAAAGAGACATCAACAGGTACTTAGAAAAAGAAATGAGACGTATGAAAACATGCTCAATCTCACTTAAAATTAAAGAAATGCAAATCAGAGTATCACTTTTCACCTATCAGACGAATGAAGATCAAAAAGGCTCATAAGACAGTGTTGGCAAAGGCAGGGGAAACAAGTACTTCTTGCCCTCTGATGGGAATGCAAACCGATACAGCTCCTGAGAGAACTGGCAAGATCTATCAAGGTTTAAGCCAGCTTCTCCATTTCTAAGAACTGATCTCAAGACAATGCTTGCACCTGTCCACAGAGATGTATGTAGAAAGATGTTTGTTACAACAATATTTAGGATAATTAAAGACTGAAAGTAAAGAACTAATTAAGTTACAGTCCATCCACTCTGTGGAATACTATGTAGTTGCTTAAAAGAATGAGTTCCATCGCGCAAACGTTAACATGGAACAAATTCTAAGATATATTAAGTGAAAAAGCAAAGTAGCAAGCAGCATGTAGCACGGCTTCCTTGGCCGTAAATAAATGCAATTGTGCGCACAGCTCATGGCCAGCAGCCCAGCTCCGACTCAATGTGAGCCGGCTCTACATCCAGCCCTCTACATGCTGTGGGCACCAATGTATTGTGAGATCAACCTTAGGAGGCAGGCGGGTCATCACTGAACAAGAGGCCCTACCTGGGCCCAGAGAGGGGAACCAGTGACACGGGGAAGAGCAGTGGCAGCCCTCCTTCTCTTCCATCTTGAATGTGGAGGTGCAAGGAGGCTGCCCCTGACCTCAGCTCAGGCTTGGGTGGACTCTGCTTTTGGGGCCTGTCTCCAATACACAGCAGCTGGAGCCCTCCCTCTCCAGTGCTAGATGGAACCTGGAATCACTCATCTTACCTCTTAGTCCATCAGTTTCTGAGAGTGAGAAGTAAGCTTACAGGCTAGTGTCCTCAGACCTGCTGGAGCACTTAAAAGATAATTCAGAGAGCTAGCCCTGATGGCCTGGTGGTTAAAGTATGGCATGCTCTGCCTCCACAGCCCTGGTTCAGTTGCCGGGCGCAAAACCACACCACTCATCTGGCAGTAGCCATGCTGTGGCAGTATAGCTCACAAGAAGAACTAGAAGGACCTACAACTAGAATATACAACTATGAACTGGGACTTTGGGGAGGAAAAAAAGAGAGGAAGATTGGCAACAGATGTTAGCTCAGGGCAAACCTTTCCCTGCAAAAAATAATAATTCAGAGATTCCCTGGAAGAACAGTTCCAGGGTTCTTATGATCTATAATTTCTACCTGAATTATAACTGCTGTTGGGTAGCTGGATTTTGACTGGTTCGCCTTAATTATACCCAGCATAACAATTTCTGGTGAGCAAATCATAAAGTTCCATCAGGGCACCTGTGTCAATGACACTATGCTGGTCAAAATTTGAGATTTTCAAATAAAAAACTTGTCACATTGAAAAAAAAAAGGTCATAAGAACACACACACACACTTATTCTCACACGACTTTGTCTCATTTACACAAGGAACTGTTAGCAGCTTCGAGTCTCACCACCCCCCAGCCCCGCCACTCACCTGTCCACAGTATAGGGAGTGAGATGGACTCGGTAAGGAGGCAGGTCATGCCTTGGTTTCTTAGCACCCCAAGGCTCTCCACCAGCCCGCTGTTTGCGTTTCTTGGAGTCATAGTCATCACTGGAGGGTGATCCATCGCCAGAAGGAAGAAACCACACTTACATACAGATTCAATACATACTGGCCTAAAAAGAAACAATCTGAATCCCCAACGTTAAGGAAACGGATAAAGAAGCCACACTAATAGTCATGTACCAATTATAAAGGTATTAAAAACTGCTTCTAATAACATAGAAAACCACTCACATTAAGCAAAAAGAATAGTATGCCACACTATATATACAGTAGTTCCTCAACTGTGCAACACCTTAAAAGCTGAAGAGAAAAAAAAAATAGCAGATACCTCTGACTGATAAAGCTTATAATTCTTTTTTATATTTTCCTGAACTTTATAAATTATAGTTAACGTAATTTTTTTGAAACGAGAAAAACTTAACTGATTTGTTTTAACAAAAGACATTATGGCACCATGCTAAAGGTTCTATAAAATAAGTTTTATTAAAAGAGATAGTTCGGGGCCAGCCCCGTGGCCGCGTGGTTAAGTTCTCGTGCTCCGCTACGGTGGCCCAGGGTTTCGCTGGTTCGGATCCTGGGCGCCGACATGGCACCACTCATCAGGCCACTTTGAGGCGGCATCCCATGTGCCACAGCTAGAAGGACCCACAACTAAAATATATACAACTATGTACTGGGGGTATTTGGGGAGAAAAAGCAGAAAAAAAAAAAGATTGGCAACAGTTGTTAGCTCAGGTGCCAATCAAAAAAAAAAAACGAGATAGTTCTTGTAATAAACCTCTGGCAGTACACATGGAAGTCATAAAAATACTCAAACCCTTTGATCCAATAATTCCATTTTAAAAAATATATCCCAAGGAAGTTAATTGAAAAGAAGAAAAAAGATTATATATAGTAGAAAAAAATTCAAGCTGAAAGTAAGAAAACCACATTCATATCCAGCAATACCTGAATTTTTATAGTAAATAAATACAGGCCTCATACAACCATTAAAACAAGAGGATTACCTTGCAATATGGAAAAAAATGTTTAATAAGAATGCATAAAAATAATTTGAATTCTTAAGATTAAAATTATAAAAAGTATGCACATACACAAAGACTAGAAAAGAACACAGGAAAAAAGCAGCAGTAATTTTCCTTTTCACGATTATTTTAGAAAAGTCTTCAAGAAAGCTTACCTTAAAGGGAAAGGGAACGATACATCTTTACAGCATTTAAACTTTATATAACAGCATGTACTACTTTATACATTTTTGTAATAAATTACTTATTATAGTATCAATATGTTATGGGTTCAATAAAATAAAAATAGAAGAGAAAAAAACCTTTAACCCATTATAAAATGCCAGATTGATAGGGGAAAACCCTCCTTTGTCTCATGAGACAAATAAAATCCACTGTCACTTCTTCATGCGAGGTAACTGAGTTGACATTTACCAGACAGTCCCTGCTCTTTCCCTTCAGCCCTGCCTGGCTGGTTTCCCTAGTCATTACACCCCTGCGTAACTAAGTTGATTATATTTAACCCAAAGTTTTTCTTCTTTTCTCTTCTATCTGCTTGGTTAATTTCCCCAGGCATCTCCATCCAATAGCCGCCTTCTAATCCTGCCTTTATGGATGTCAACCCTTCCATGTTTCTAACAGAAGAACTGTTCCAGTCATTTTGACAACTCTCTTCAGCTCACCCATGACTGAAGTGAACTCTTCAGTAAATGCTGTCAACTTCTAGTTAAACTGGACATTCCACTGAATCCCGTGAATTCAACGGCCAGTTTTCTCTCGCTATTGTGAATTGTCAGGAATAGGTTATAAGGCAGTACCAGTGGAAGAAATCTCAGTAACCTCAGCAGGATACTGAGATGTATATCCACCTGGATATACCCATCTTAAAACCTCAGTAGTTCAGCCTCAGCAGTCCAATGGAGACATTGTTTCCTGCATCCCAAAGCCTGAAATTCAAAATAAAACTTGGCTTCCAGCCAAAATGCTAATGTGGCTGACTCCTTTATAAATTGTTGTTTCCTCAGAGTGATCTAATTCTTACTGCCGCCTTTCCTACTCTGCAAATTTTCTCTACTGCCTAATGGTGATATCTCCCTGCCAAAGGTAATGGCTCCTTTCTCTGGAAGCCATGACACTGAAGCATTATGGTCAAAGGAATATAACACTGGACTCGGCATGTCCAGGACAATCAAAAGCAACTGACTGCACAGAAAGGCTGAATTTGAACCTAAAGCAGAAAGTCAACAGCAGCCATTGATTTCCACCCACGCAACATTATCCCGGAGAACACTTGCTGTGATTTTGTAATGAAACCTTCAATAAACTCACAGAATGTGAAAGGTGGAAAGTCCTTGGAAACTGAAGACCAGGAAGATGCACAGGACAAGAGGTGTGGTTGTATGCAAAATATATGCCAGTAAACTGAGATTGGGACCAGGTGTTTCAAGTAGTGGAGACACTGTGGAAAACAATCCTAGACAATCAAAGCGTCCCCGTAGTTAGAATTCACAGCGACCTATCCCGACGCAACAAACACTAGTTGCAGCACAGAGCCTGGCTACATCACGTGGCCTCAACTTTTCCTCTGAGTTACTTCACCCTCCTTTTAAGTGTGCGCATGGACCACACCTTCAGCCCTGACGATGGAATAACCTACTGGCATCTGGGATAGGGAGTTGTTTCCTTCTCAGGACAGTTCTCATTTCAAGAGAACTACAACATGAGAGAACTTGCTGGAGTGATGAAAATGTTCTATATCTTAATAGGAACAAGGATTACATGGGACCGTCCATCTGTCAAAATTGTCCAGTTAAGATTTTTGTATTTCAACCTGTACAAATTTTATCTTAAAAAAATTTTTACCTTAAAAAAATCAAGTACAAAGCAGAGAGTAGATGGAAGGATAAATGAAAAAGAATGGCAGATGTTGGTACTTGTTGAAGCTGGGTGACGGCTATATGAGAGTTCAGCATCCTTTTCTGTTTACTCTGCTTGTACGTGAAATTTTCCATAATAAAAAGTTAAAATGAATACTGACAGACAGAACTAGAATAAGCCTTAGGCAAACTAGTCTGGAGCTTAATTCCGAGGGACGTAAGCAAAAACCTTCAGAGAGAAAGGCAGGATAAGGAACACACGAGCCAGGGAGAACAGGCAGCACGCTCCTGGCAGGCCCTGACGTTCACAGATGATAGATGGACTCGGGTGCCCAGAGGCCCAGATTCACCTGTGTGCTCACATAGGGCTAAGGAGCTGTCCACAGAGCCAAGGCTCAGGCCTGGATCTCCTAGCAGAATGCAACAGACATTCTAACACCACACGAATGTGTACTGATATAAAGAAACCTGTTTTATACGAGGAATTAAAACATACACTGCAAAGTTACTTTTTTTGGACAATTACTATTTTCTTGATAGTTATGATTCTTGGTATCTCAATCTTAGGAACTAGAAATAAAAGGGAAAATTATCTATTAAAAAAATGTCAGTATGGAGCCAGCTCCATGACCTAGTGGTTAAGTTTGGTGCACTCAGCTTCAGCAGCCCAGGTTCTCGGGTTTGGATCCTGGGGGTGGACCTACACCACTCGTCAGTCATGCTGTGGCAGCAACCAATGTACAGAATAGAGGAAGACTGGCACAGATGTTAGCTCAGGGTGAATCTTCCTCAGGGAAAAAGAAAATTCAACGTGACATTTTAAAAGATGAACTACATCAAATTCCTGCTTGCTGAACCAGTAGATAAATTTCCAATGCTTGTACATACATCTATCTCAATAAGTCTGACTATTTCAGAATAAAGGACCTAGGATCTAGCTGCAGAAAGAGAATGTTCATGTCAACAGATGGCAAAGAAAGGGACATTGCTCCTCGAGGCAAATAAATAAAATAAAACATCTTTCCCGCTTGATCATCCTCTTACCTTCGGCCCTGATCCAATCGTCCGTGAGGGCCCCGAGCAGGAAATCTGTTCAGGTGGCTCAGATGAAGTGTGTGGGACGTTTGGAAGAGACTCAGAGCTGCAGAAAAGAAATGGCTGGTGACTCAAAACCCTAAATATCTGTCCAACTTCCCTGTCCCTTCCTTCAAGTGCACAGAAGTCCCCAGTTGTTCTGAGAGCAGCAACCTGATGGTTACAAGTCCATTCATCCAGCGTACCCCATAAAGCCACACCCCAACATCCATGCCACTGGTACTCACGCTTCTGAGGAAAGAGAGGGGGAATCCGGTGAGGCTGGAAGATCAACTGGGGCTGAGCTCCCAGAATCCCTTGCTTCTGGCCCAGGGCTGCTACATGTAGAAGGGGAGGTGCTGGGGATTTCAGTAGGGGCTGCAGGACAGTAACCAAGAAATTCAGGGCATCCCGTGATTGATGTGCTCACTACCTTGGAAAGATGCTGCCCCACCCCCTCGACAGAAGCACAGTTCTTGCCCAGCTTTCACAGCAGAGGGGCATCCCTCCCTCCCCTTTCTGATGCACATGCTAAGGAGCAACGAATACCTGGTTGGAGAGCGTTTGCACCTTGACAGCATTCCAGGGCACTGCCTGGCCTGGGTTGTACGCAGCCTTCACCAGCACCTTCTCACCCAACTGGGGCAGCCGGCCCTTCACCACACTGCCAGCACACAAGCCAGGAGGCCCAGTCAGGAGAGAAACCCTGGCCAAGCCACCCTGACTGCCCCTCCGAGGTCCTTCCCATTAAGATTTTTCACACCTTGCATAAAAATAGCAAAGCAATGGCTTCAGAGGAGCCCCACCAGCATGGTGACAGAACTGAATCCAACAAGCATTTATTTCCAGAAGGGGACCAGCTCAAGCGTACCTCAGCTGAAAAAAGACCTCTTCATCCACCACCCCAAAGTAATCGTGTAAGCTGGTAACAATGCCAGTGAAGACCCGCTGCTTCTCCCCACCCTATAAGAGAAGAGTGCAGTTTAAAAGTAATAGGGAACATTTGTCCACACTCTGCCATTAGCATCTGTAACGCACCCCCCTGCTCAATCAGAGTATTGCATCCAGATTCACATGGAGGCAAGCATACGCATATAGTGCACATACTCAACCCCTGGGGAGGGGAAAACGGTGCTCATTCTTGGGTCACAATCTTGTTCTAGGGTTTCCAGTTTGTCTTTAATTCCAAGAAACAGCCTAAAGATTTCCCTAGAGCCAGAACTTAGAACTCCCCAGGCAAAGGTGTCTAGTCACCTCCAGGACTGGCCCAGGACGGGAGTGTGAGGAAGGATGAACACTGTGGTGTAAGAACCAAAGCACCGGGCCTCCACACACGCTGGGGCAGTCGCGAGTGCTGAAACCAGAAAGAACGCCCAACCTACCTGAAGGTGCCTGGCATTCTGGGACAGGTCTGTGGCCACAGGAGGAGTGAGCAAACCAGGAGGAGGACCCAGAAGAGATGTTGAAGCTGTGCCTACGGGACAGAGAAGCCATCTCCAGGAACAGCACCTATCTCTCAAACACTAGACTCAGCTGGAGGACATGGCAAACCCAAAGGGCAAAGTGGCTCCAAGCAACCCCTGCACAGGGTTTCACTGGCGACTATGGGGGTCATCTCCTAGTTTCCTAAGAAACATCAGCAGCAAATTGCACTCCACCAGGGAAACCCCAAAAGTCACATTTTTAAAGACTAACTCCAAGGCACACACTTCCGAGTATGAGGCCAGGTAGGGATCAAGGTGATCACCTGAGAAGTTCCGTCCCCCTGGAAGCGGGTTGATCCGCTGGCGCTTAAACTGGGACATTGGGAATGCTGTCCTCTTTCAGAGTCTTGGGAAAAACCTTTAATCAGAAAAGAAATAAGTTAACAAGCTCATAGGGAAAATTTCCACCTACCCCAAAAAATGAACCAAGGATCTTACAGAAAGTGGGGAGGTGGGTACCGAGAATGAATGGAGGCTAGGGAGATGCGCAGGAAATGAGGAAATTACATTGTCCCAGTTTGCCTTCACAATAACCTAGCGGTGGGCGATACTGTCATGCGATTTTAAAGAAAAGGAAACTGAAGCTCGGAGACATTAAGCGACTTGCCCGAGGCCACATAACCAGTTGGGGCCAAAACTAGGACTCACACCCAGGTCTCCGGACAACTTAGCGCTCCTCTCACTAGGCCACGCCACCCCCGGATGGTTGGGGAGAGTTGGGGGTTGGAAAGAGCCCCGGCGACATTCATTCATTCGAATACATCCGCCAAAATGCTCCAAGCCAGGCCCGGAAAAATGGAGGCTGGTGCCGGAGAGGAGATGGTGTGGGCCCTCTCCCCGGAAGCCCGGCCCGTTGTTCCCGGACGGGCGGGGGGGAAGGCAGCTCGGCGGCCCGGCCGAACGCGAATCCGGCAGCGCGCCCGCCCCCCCACCCCGCTCCCGCGCGACAGCCGTGGGCGCCGGGGCCGGGCCGGGCCGCGGAGGCCACCGCGGGAGGACGGCGGCGCGCGGTTCCTCCTCCTCTCGCCCGCCCCCAGGGCCCTGGCCGTTGCCAGGGAGACGGGACTTGCAGTCCGAGGGGGGCTCGGCCCCTTCCGCGCCCCGCGCATCTTCGCTGCCCGGCCCTCGCAGCCCCTCGGCCGGGGGAGGGGCGAAGGAGCAGAGGGGCGAAGGGGGGTCCCCCAACCCACCTGCGGGCCAGGGCCGCGACACCGGGGGGACAAAGACACCCGGAACCACCACAGCCGCTGCTGCCGCCGCCACCGGAAGTGCCTCTCCGGAAGCGCGACCACTGGTCGGAAGCTGCCACTCTCCCGGATATGGTCCCTCCCTCCTCTCCACCGACCTCTCCCTTCCCCCACGCCGGCCAACCATCCCACTCCGACTGGGGAACGGAAGTGCGCTTTCCCCGATCGGATGCGCGTTTAGGAAGCCGCGCCTCGATCGTGTCCTCGCTTAAGTGTCCCATTAGGAAAGTAGGCTTCAGAGAATTGGTTCCATTTCCAAAGACAGCTGGACCTGGAACCTCAAACATAGGGGAGCACCTACCACCCCCACCTTGCCTCATCCTGACAGACCCCAAGACTGCAGCAGCAAGAGTACCAGCCCCTCCTGACTGGAGGAGGAGGACGCCTGAACAGTAGCCATTTCCAAGAGACATTCCTGTGTCTGACTCAAGCCAAGGACCTCAGCCCTAGCTTGCCCTTCCATTGACAGCACTCCCACACACACCTCCCGTCCTCTGGGTACCTGCAGGAGACTGAACTTCTCCCCTGTCTCAATTAACAAGGAGCTAGGAACCTAACAGGCTATAGTAAGATAAACCACCACAATACCGGCCAACCCCGTGGCCGAGTTGTTAAGTTCGGGTTAAGTTCATGTGCTCCGCTTTGGCGGCCCAGGGTTTCACAGGTTGGAATCCTGGGCATGGACATGATACCGCTCATCAGGCCATGCTGAGGCAGCATCCCACGTGCCACAACTAGAAGGACCCACAACTAAAAACATACAACTATGTGCCCGGGGGCTTTGGGAGAAAAAGGAAAAATAAAATCTTTTTTAAAAATAAAAAACCCCACCACAATATTCAAGTAGACATTTCCTTTAGTCCTCACAACAACGCTGTGGGGTAAGCAGGTCAGCAGTTAGTGCCCTAATTCTCAGATAAGAGACCTCAGTGAAATGGCTTGCTCAAAGCTAATCACCGGCCATTTTAGCCCTGATTAGCAATCCCAGCCCCCTCTTATCTGCTGACCTTCCCATCATCCCTCCAGCTAGCCTCCCTCCGACATCCATACCCTCTCGTTTCCTATTCATTTAACATTCACAAAGCACTTTGTGACATTTAATCTCATTTTATCTTCATAAGCCTGTGAGGCAGGTGGGGCAGGCACCATTATACCATTTGGGAGATTAAGTGGGAAGCTACGGCTCAGAAAAGTCAAGGGATTTGGTCAAGGTCCAAAAGCTAGTATGGACCTCTGGTTTCAGCTCCAATGTGTAAAGGCTAGTGTGGAGCCAAGCAGCTGAGAACAAACCTTGAAGGCTACTCTGCTCTTTCCCATGTTGTCCCTGACCCTTCCATTCTTAGTGCAGTCTTCAGGAGCTCTTGCTCCGTGGGCAGAGTCCATGCAAAAGCAGCCAAGATAGTGCCCTTCTCTGTCCTGGGGCTGCCCATGCAGCTATGAGGGGGAAAGCAGGACTCCAGATCAGTAACTGCCCACTGAGGAACAAAGGTCAGTTTCATCCTTCTGCAGTTACCTCACCCAGAAGACCAATCCTTTGAGTGCATGATTCAGGAGAGACAGATCCAGCCAGTTCACAACACTGACAGTCTCACAGAGAGATATATATCATTTTGCATAAATACACATCTGCAACACGCTGGACCCTGACAGATCACCACGCCAAACACACTCCATGGACGCCTGATAAGTAAGTTGGTCCATATTGTCTAAGCCCAGGGATTTCTGACAACCAGGGAGGAGCTGAGGAGCTGCAGCACCTTGGGGCCTCTCAGGGGACCAGGCTCCTCTGCCAAGCTGCTCAAAGGAGAGACTCAGCCCTTGCCTCAGAGAAAAGGGCGAGCGTCGGCAGCTTTTCCTGCCAGTGCCCAGAAGCAGCGAGAGGGCAAAGGGCAAGACTTCACTGCACACCCCTCCACCCAGGGTCACGTCCCTGCGCCAGGAGGTCTCAGCAGGCAGACAGGTTTTTTGCTCGCTGCTTCTTAACAACTAATGATGGCATAAAGGTCTTCCGGAGCGGGTGGCAAGAAGGCCTTGCAGGGAGGTGTCTCGACTCAGTCCTGTGAAATGGAAAGGAGGCATGAGGTTGGGAGGAGGAAACAAAGGTAGCAACGGCCCCAGAGTGGATGAAGCATTGCTCATCTGCCGTAGGGAGCCTGGGATATTCATTAACATGGTACTTTAACTCCCTGGAAAACTCTTCAGTATGATCCCCCATCATTCACTGTGGAATCCTTTGTCACTGTCCCTATCTTGCTTCCCCAGCAAACCCAGAGAGGTGGCCTAAGTTTCAGCGTCGAGGGGTGAGAGCTTGCTGGGCTGGTGTGAAGAGATTTCTCATGCTCTGGTCCTGGCTCTGCCATTGACTCACCATGTGGCCTCAGGAAAACAACTTCCCTTCCCAGCCCAGCCCCAGCCTCCTCATCTATAAGTGGACTGCTTTAACTACCTTCTGTTTCTTCCAGCACCCTCTCTGAGACTGTCTAAGTCTCTCAGACTTCACAGGGACAAAGACAACTGGCAGTCCAATATCAGCATCCTGGCCATCAGACTCCGCCTTCTGCCCTAACCTGGGCTGGGCCACAGGACTCACCTGGGGGCAGGGCGAGCAGGAGAGGCAGGGGGCTCAGGGTGTCGAGGGCTCCTCCGGTGGATCCGGTTGAGCAGGACCTTGACCTTGTTCCAGTGGGAGAGATCCCGCTAAACAGAAGGTAGGGGGTTACCACGGTGCCCCTCCCCACAATATACCCCCAACCAAGCTCCCGGAGACAGCTGTCACCACAGCCGGGTCAAATCACCCGCTCCAAACAGGAATCCTGTCATTTCCTCAGAGTTTCTGGGCTTCTGTGTATCTACACATCCCAACCACCCCCACCCCCACCCCACACATATCCATCACCCACCTTGTGTCCCTGTGAGGATGAAAAGGAGTGAGCTGGCTCTGCTGGGGCCTCTGACAGCCTGGGAGGGTTGACGCTGGGCACTCCTACCTTAGAGGGTGAAGCTGTTTTTGCCCCTTCAGAAAGAGAAACAGGTGACCCAGGGCCGGGAACAGGAAGCCACTCATCAAGCCCAGGGCTCAGAGGTCTGCCTGTGGGGCCCTGGGCAGGCAGGACACAGAGGGAGACACAAATCTCCCTCACCTGTATCCTCTGTCTGGCTGAGCAGCTCCCATGGCCCGCTGGCATCATTGCCTGGGGCACGAGAGGGTGGCACTGACGAGGTCAGGACCGGCCATTCCTCCTCTTCTGGATCCTACGCACAGGACAGATGCACACTCAGGGCCTGACCAGAGGGCTGAGGCCGGGCTGAAGGAGCCCTGGTTCAGGGGTCCCACCCCTCCTCTGCCTCCCCCACTCACCTGCCCTCCCCTCCTGACCCCACTTGCCACTGGCCTGCCTGCCCATGGCTCACTCACCCCAAGGGGCCTCTGGGTCTGCAGCTGCAAGTGGAGCTGCTGGAGCCTGGCCATCTGCTCCAGCACCTGGCACAGGTGTTCCAGGTAGTGAAGACCCTGTCCTGGAAGGCAGGCCCAGGCTCCAGGCCCTGAGCCCCCCACCTGTGGGACACAGTGAGGTAGGGGAGACTTCTGAACTCAACCAGATACCCACCCTAAAGGGCCAACAGATGGGGCAGAACAGGCAAGAAGAGGAGAAACACACACCCGGCTGGCCTCTCAATGCCTAGCCAGGCAGGCTTGTCCCTGCCCACCTCTTCTGGGAGTGGGTGAGGCAAGAAGCTGTGACACGACCCGTCAATTAGGGACAAGGAATGCTCCACCCAGAGAGAGCTCCAGGGAAAACAAGTGGGGAGCCCCCCACCCCTGGGGAAAAGAGCCACCTCCATCCCCCTCTTCACCAGCCTGTGACCTAGAACTCACCACCTCTGCTTCCTCCAGGCCTGCCCCTAGGCCAGCTTCTGCCTCAGTGGCCTGCTGTTCCCCTGCTCCAAAAAGGAGCATTTCACACCCAGGCTTGCCTGGTGGCTTTGGGGAGCGGTGGTGTTGTGACAAGCTGGCAGGGGAAGTCCGGAGATGGCGGGACCGCTCCAGCACCTGCTCCAGCTTACAGCTGGCTAAGAGCTGGCCCAGGTGGGCAGGAGGTACGAGAGCAGCAAGAGCCAGGGGCTCCGGGCTCCCCACGGGCTCAAGGGCCAGAGAGTCCTGAGGAAGACCTGGGGAGGGGGCCAACGGGCTGTCCCCAACCACCATCTCCACTCCTGAGTCCCAGGAGGCCAGCTTGAGAAGAGGAATCTGCCTCCCGAGACTTCTCAGCTCTCCACCCCTGGTCCAAGAGTCTGACGGGCACCCTTGAGCAGCGTCCGGGATCCGTCTGTAGGTGCTGGTGACTCCAGGCACTACACAACCGTGTGCCAGGTCCTCACCAGCCCCATCTGCAAAGAGAGTCAGTATCAGGCTGGGCAGGCTGCCCCCACGCCCCCAGCATTCCTGGTAGCTGGCAGCATTTCCCAGGGAGGAGTGTCCTGGGCCAGAGGTAAAAGGAGGAGACCAGACAGGCACAGCCCTGCCCAGATCTCTCTGGAACCCTGGCGGACACATTAGGATGGAGTTCCCTTTACAACAGTAATTGTTAGCAATCACAAACCCATGACATAGGCTGTGGTAGGCAAAGCCTTGCCGTCACATTCATCAGCTCCTTCAACGGCCTGGCTTCCTGAGGGCGTAAGGGCTTTCCCCAGGGAGCCCTTGTACTCCCACTCCTGGGGTGGGCCTGAGGCCTCCAAGTCATAGGTGGGGAGCTGCAGCCTCTTCGGCTGCTCCCCAAAGGGGAATGTGACTCTGCTCCTCCCCAGGGAGAGGGTGAGGGGCACAAAGAAGGAAGCCTGGGGTCCAAACTGCCATCAGGATGCGAGATGAAGTCTCTCCGGAGCTTCTGGGGGAGGGTAACACAGAGACAACAGCTATAACCTTTGGGGCTTTTGATCTTTTAAGTGAGAAACAAGGAAGATTTTGTGCAGATTGAAAAGAAACAACTTAAACGGAAGAAAGGGAACTATGGGGTAGGAGAAGCAGCTACCGCCCATCTGCCGTCACCTCTGTGCCAGGCCCCCTGCGCTCTGGGTGCCCCAACTGTACTGATGCGAAAACTGAGGAGAGAGGATGGAAGGCCGCCCACGTCTCAGAGTGGGCCACGCGGGAAAGCTGGATGCAAACCAGGCCCCTCTGGGCAAGGAAGTCGACCAGGAAGGCCCCCTGCGTGGCTCCTTCGGAAAGGGGTCCGCCGCCATGGAGGGGGCTTTTCGCGGCTACTAACTGTGGCAGAGACCGGGCGGAGAAGCATCCAGATCAGGAATTACAGGGAAGTGGACCCGGAGAAAGCAGGATGGAGGTGGTGGCTGGTTTAACGCCAAAAACCAAAGGGTCCTCAATGTGCAAGGCACAATGACGGCCCTCCAAAGGGAGGGGGCGAGGAGGACGCCTCGGGCAGGCGTGCCGGGTGTGCCGGGCAGCGCAAACAGGGGCCCAGGCGCCGGGGTCGGCTCCAGGGCCGGAGGACCCTGCCGGCCTGAGGGTGGGCAACTCACCCCGGCCGCCGAGCGGCTCCACGGCGAAGACGCGCCGCCGGCTCAGCATGGCCCCGCTCCCGGCCCCGACGCGGCGTCCCAGCCGCGGCCACCGCAGCCGGACCGAGCGATCCGGACCCAGCCGTCGGGCGGGCGGCTGAGCGGGCGCGGCCAGACCCCGTGCGCGCGGCCCCCGGACACTCCCCGCGGCGGGGACGGGGGAAGGGGCGGGGCGGGGCGCAGGTGGCAGGGGCGGGGGCGGGGCGGAGGTGGCGCGCCGGGAGGGGCAGCGAGGCGAGGGCTGGGCAGCTCCCCGCGCTGGCAGGGCGGGGATGAAGGTCGCCGTCCGCAGCCCTTGGGGCCCGGGCAGCGCCGTGCCCCGGCCTGGTTATGCCGTGCGGCTCGAGGCGCCGGGTCAGCCGGCCCCCGGTTCCCACGCCCGCTCTGTCTTCCTGCCGCCGAAGTGAAGCCGAGCGCGGGGCGGGGGCCTGCACGGGAGCGCGGAAGGAAATGAAGTCCACGTGCAGTCCGTGGGCAGAGGGGGCCCGCGCTCGGGCGTCCCGGCGCTCCCACCTGCGCGCCTCGGGGCGAGTACCGGCGCGGTAAAAGGGGAAAAGGATTCCTGCCCACAAGGAAATCCTTCCCAGCAACGGCAGAAGGCCTTGTGTCCGGGGCTTGATCTGAATCCTCTCCTCATCCCATTCTTCTTCCTCACCCGGGTACCCTAAAGCTGGGGAAGGAGGGAGCCAGGGGGACAGGGGAGCAGCCTGGAGGTGTAAGAAGTGTACCTGCTTCCCTGTCTCCACGCCAACCCTCTTGGTCCACGGAATTCTACCCCCACACCCTAAAAGGGGGCTTGGAGCCCAGGCCGCTGCTGAAGGTGACATAGTCTGATGACCAGCCGGGCAGGTGGCCTTTAAGGAAACTTCCTCCTCCTGAGGAAGGTCATCAGGCTGGGAAAAAAGTGCCAGCAGGACCCAAATCCCCTGGAAGCAGATAAGGGGGCTGGCGGACGTGCAGACTTGCCCCTAAGCCTTGGGGGAGGAGGTTGGGGCTGGAGCCAGTGGGAGGAAGTGACTGTTCACTGGAAGGGAGAACACAGTCTGACCGCCCCCCCCCCCCCCGCCCCGCCCCCGTCTGCTCCTTGCTCCTTCCTCCCCTTCCTGAGCCAGCCTAGCAGGAGCCCCCATCAGAGAGCCACAAACAATGTTTCTAACTTTTTTTTTTTTTTGAGGAAGATTAGCCCTGAGCTAACTGCTGCCAATCCTCCTCTTTTTGCTGAGGAAGACTGGCCCTGAGCTAACATCCATGCCCATTTTCCTCTACTTTATATGTGTGACGCCTACCACAGCATGGTGTGCCAAGTGGTGCCATGTCCGCACCTGGGATCCGAACCAGTGAACCCCGGGCTGCGGAAGCAGAACATGCACATTTAACCGCTGCCGCACCAGGCCACCCCACAAGTTTCTAACTTTATAAGATGGGGAAATCAAGGCATACAGCCAGGCCCAGGCAGGAAGAAAGACCAAGTGCCTGAGTTACCTGCCATCACTTAATACCTTGACTTTTAGGCCAGTCCCTTTCTCGCTTATCATGAGTCCTCTTGGTTGCCCCCTCCCGGCCCTATGCTCCTGGACAGCACCCCCACCCCATTCCTCTTTCCCAAATACAGAGAGGGAGACAGAATGTTAGGCCTGGCAGGAGCCGCTCTATGCCAGTCCAACAGGATGTGTGGCACCTCACCCCCCAGGCCCTGCCAGACGCCATCCCAGCCCTCCCTGGGCAGGGGGGTAGGAGGGCTGGCCAGTCAGGTGGCTTCCTCCCTCCAAAGTGAGAGGGTGGGGAGGTAAAGGGAGGGAACCTTCACCAGATCTCGCCCTGAATTTGGAGAATGTGGGGCCAGATTCCAAGCAGTCTCTGTGGTGACTCTGGGGCAGGAATGCATCTGGAACAGGAAGCCCAGCCAGCAGGAATGCAGTGTCTCAGCACAAGGCTTTATGTGGGCTCAAAAGAACGCCCTCCACACAGACCCCAATGCACACTCCCTTCCAGGCCATGTTCACCCCCACCGCATGCAGCTATGCTGGAGCCCTTGGTGACTGGAAATGGGGGGGGGGGGGCACACCTCCCTCCCATCTGCCTTCTGCTGCCCTGACTCTGGCAGCCCTGTGCCCAGAGCTGAGCTAGGCCTTCACCACCCAGAAAGGCTCTGTGGCCTTGCATGGTCCCCTCTGCAGTCTCTTGTTCACCCACCTCCTACCTACCACCTGAGGAGACTCCTCTCCCTTTGAGTGATGCTTGAAGAATGGGAGGGGCAGCACAGCCTCGCCTTGCTGCCCGCCTCAGGGCTGAGCAGCTACCCTGAGTCCCAGCAGTCATCCCTCCAGCTGAGGCCCGCGCTGCCCCATGCCCCTCCGTGGGGAGTTCCCAGCTTCAGGGAGTGCATTTCCTACAAGCTCAGCACTGATCTAGGTCTTGCGGGAAGAAGGGCAAAGCCAAGAGCCTGGGGGAGCTCCTGCCAGACTAGAGATGGCTCGGAGCCTTGGAGACCTCCCTCATGGTGAAGGAGGGGCCAGAGCAGCCCCAGGCAAGCCAGACACCCGGCAGTCAGGCTCCAGGTTCCATCCCCAGCGCCCTTCCCTTGCCAGCGAGGCGTCATTGGACCAGTCACTATCCTCTCTGCCCTCAGTTTCTTCATCTCTAGGACAAGGCTGACAGTACCTGTCTCACAATTGTGAGGAGTAGAGTTAAGGCACTTAAGTTGCTCCTGGCACTTTGGAATCACCTGGCTGTGTAACTTTGGGAAAGTCGCTTCTCATCTCCAACTCAAGGGGGCTGTGTTAGATGCCGTCTCCAGCCACTTCTAACTCAAATCTGTCATCATTTCTGAAGTTATTCCCCAAAATGCAGAAAAGAGTAAAGAGGGCCGTGCTCTGGACAGCCTGCAATCGCATGATTGGGCGGCCTCCCCCACCGTGTCTGGGTGCTCGCAGCTGGCTGGCCGGGGTTGAGGGCAGGGTGGAGATCAAAGACTGCTCCCAGCTGGCCCTGCTGACCAACTGGTTTGGCCAATAACTCCATCTTCCAAAGAAGCTCGCCGCCAAGCTCAGGCTCGGCTCACCGTGCGGCTTCAGCGAGCTCTAGAATGGAAACCCTAGGGCCCCTGGGAGGAGAGCTGGCTGCCACAACTAACGAGATAGATTTTAGCTTGAACCCATCTGGCCTTGGCCTTCAAAAGGCCACCAACTCACTGGCACTCCCATTTCACAAGTGTCCCTACTCCCCAGCTGTTCACCTCCACTCCTGAGAACACTACGGGCCCAGCATGGTTCATTACAGGAGGGAGCTGACCACAAGACTATTCCAACCCACCCCTCCCAACCTGTCACTTCCCTGCTTAAAATTTTCAGTGTCCCCAGAGCCTCAAGGTGAAGTTCAAACCATTTCTTCTGGCATTCAAAGCTCCCTTTCCAGTCTTATCTTGGTATCCCCTTCAGCAATGGCCCTAAACTGAGCATTCCACTTGCACTCACCCACTTCCCTTGGCATTTCTCTCCTGCGCCTGGTCATCTTTTCACACAGATGGTCCTGCCCTGAACTCACTGGGCTCCTGTGTGCCCACATTAGCTCTCAGCACTCACTGCCTGTAGCATTATTTCACTCATGCCAGCTCAGTCACTGCCACTGGACTATTATCTTCAAGAAAGCAAGAAAAATGCTCTGTCTTTCTGTATCCCCACTGTCCAGAACCCAAGTATTTACCGAGGGCAGGTTCCCCTTTTGTGAGCATTCTCTCCGCATGGGCTGGCACTAGGTGGTGCCACAGAGGCTGCCCTATTTCTGACTAGCCTGCTGGCCTGAGGTTCTCCTGAGTCGCAGAAAGCCTTGATCTTCCCATGAAAAGAAAGGCAGCCATCCAGGTAAAAGGTGAGACAATTATATCAAGGTGTAAATTATATCAGGTGCCTGAGGAGGAAACACAAACGGTCTCTGCCAAGATTCCTTCCAAAGAGAGCCAGAGAGCACCAAACCCCCTCACAGCCGGCTTTGATCTTTCCTGTGGAGATAAAGCCAAGGCTGCCGCCAGCCCTCAGGCTGACTGGGACAGGGTGGGTGTGGAGCACCCGGCAGCACCCTCATATTTCTGAAATGTCCTCATTTCAGTAATACAGTACTGGGGTGGTAGGTGAGTCAGGCAAAACTCTGGCAGGGGACCACTGCTGCCCGCCTCACTCACCCATTCCCCAAGGGCAGACACGCCTAGCACTGGCAAGCATCCTGGTGTTTTCAAATCCACCACCAATGAAACCAGCAGGGTCTCTGGCGGGGTGCGGTGGCGGGGGATGGCCAAACCAGCAGGGCTGGGAGGTGTGGCTCTTGGTGGGTGCTGGTCTCTCAGGGTGAGGGCTCTGCTGTGTTGTCCCTCCCAGGCAACCCAGCAGAGGCCTGCAACCCTGTCCAAGGTTATTTCTGGTGATGATCTTTCTCAAATAGGTGCACACAGCCTCAGGCAAATGCAGGAGGTACTCCAGCTGTTGTCCCCTCTCTAGCCCACCCAGCCCCTCTGGGTAAGTCTAGTGGGTAAGCTTCCACGCGAAGTAGAGTGAGAGGCACAGAGTGCCAGCCCAGCCGGGGCCGGCAGAGCCTAAGACTGTCACAGAGACAGGCCTGGGCACAACGGCTCTGGGGCCTGCCTCCTGTTTCTCTGTTGCCCATCCTCCAGGCTCCCAGTGAGAAACTCATTCCTCTAGAGTACCAGGGATGGTCCCAGTGGAACAGGCATCTTTACCAAAGGGTCCAGGAGGAGGAGGACCCTGACTAAAGAAGCCGGCCTCTTCAGTAGGGTGGGTGGGGCTTTGAGAGGGGGAAAATTCTGTAAATAAAGACTCTCCACCCAGTGGTGGAGAGAAGCTCACCCCCAGGGGCCGGGGCAAGGAAGGGGAGGAAAGAGGGGCGTCTACTCTATTTTGTCCATGTATAGATATTTATAGAGCGCATATGTCAGAAACTTGACACAGTGAATACCGTTCGCCTCCAGCCCACCCCTCCCCTTCTAGGTGCTTATCCATGTCCTCCCCCATCTAACCCCTGCTGTGCAAACATGTCCAGTGCAGCGCCCACCTCCAACTTTGGTGCAGAGCCCGTCCGACAGGGGCAAACGACAGAGGCCTGGGAAGGGAGCTGCCCTCGCCCACAGCCCAAGACAGGTCCCAGCCTCTGGCCGCACCCAGCAAGGAAGAAGGGGCCCACCACCCACCATTGCCATCCCATGCCCACTTGTTACTGTCATGGCCCTGGCACGGAGGTACCCGCGGAGCTGAGGGCGGGCTGAGAGCACTGCAGGCACTCAGGCCTGGGAGTGGAGCGGGGGCGCTGCAGAGAAGCGCTGGCGGGCATGCTTCTCGCAGTACAGCTCGTCCCCCACCCAGAAGTGTCCGCGCATCTTGAGGTTCAGCCCGCAGTCTGCACAGGTGTAGCAGCCCGGGTGGCGATACCGTCCCTCCTGGATGCGCACGGCCTGGTTCCTGCAAGGACAGAGAGGGGAGAGCCATTAGCCTGGGCAGGGGAAGGGGAGTCCCAGACGGCAGGGGGGCGGGGGGGGGGCGGGGGGGGGGCCAGGCCGCCATTCCCATTCCCGGCAGCCTAGTTCCTAGCCCAGAGTCAGGACCTGGGAAGAGTCCAAAATCTGACACTTGACCCCCAAGCCTGCCCTCAGGAATCTCACTTCAACAACCCCCCCAGTCCCCACCCTCAGGACCCCTAATCAAAAAAAAAGTCATTCCTCCCACACACGAAAGCAGCTAAATTCCATCCTGAATCTTCTGGATTGTTAAAGGAGCAGTGCTTCTCAAAGTGTGGTCCCATCACCTGGAGACAAGCTAGAAACCACAGTTCTGGGGCCAGGGCCTCCGGGAGCGGAGACTGGGGCTGCAGACCAGCACTCCCTCCAGCCAGCCCTCAGGGCTCTGCACCCTTTGAGGATCGCCATACGGACACTGTCCTGTGTCTGCCCCGCAGGGGTGGACAGTACTCCATTCTGCAGAGAAACACTGAAGCCCAGAGGCTAAGGGGTTTGCCTAAAGTGACTTATCTGACCCTCAACTCTGAGCATGTAAGAAATTTATCGGGGGAGGGCTTTCAGCAATTTCCCAGAGAATGTGGCTGCCTTATAATGCCACCCACTGAGAAAAATAAGCCTACCTCTGGAAAATTCATGCTGTTCCGAAAGGGATGAGGAAGGGGGTAAGAGCAAGATTTCCAGGAGGACGCACCTCATCTAGAGGTAGATCTCCAGAGGCTGTGAGCTTATGGGAGAGACGTCAAAAGCAGGAGCATCCCATCAACCCATCACAGTCCCACTGTGGCAATGCTCCCCTCAGGGTCCCTGACTGCTTGTTGGCTGCAGGCCCCTGGTGGGCCCCGCCCCTCCTGAGAGCATCCTGCCCCCACCCACGAGCATGTGCCCTGCCTCCCTGGCCCCACACTCACGCAATGCTGGTACCGCACTTCTCACACGTGTGGAGCTTGGGCGGGGTGGCCAGGGCCCTGGAGGTGGGCAGGGAGGACTGGGGGCTCAGCGAGCTGGGCAGGAAGGCAGGCGGGCCACCTGGGAGGGGTGGGGGCGACAGACACATCAGCGCACATCCACAGCAGCAGCATCCAGGCTGGATTTACTTATGTATACTCTGCTTCAGCACAGCTCCAGGGAGAGTCGTAAAAGGCACACTTACAAGCGGACCTCTAAAGGAACACGGGGCATGAGCGCAGGTAACGAGGAAGGAAGTGGTCGCGCCAGGTCCTGGGCTGAGGCTGGTCAAGTGCCCCTGGAGGCCGAGTTGGCTCAAGCTAAGGCAACTGAGGAGAGTCTGTGCTCAGGGTCTGACACGTCAGGCCAAGCAGTGTGTCCTCTCTAGTGACCCAGTCATGACGACATTAATGGATGGTAATAATAGATAACAGCACCAAAATACCTTGGTACAGTGTTCAAAGGTCGCATGTGCATTGCTGCTGCCTCTGTGCCTGGGAACAATGCTAAGATGAAGCACAGATGTTATCGGGCAGGTCTGGTCCCTGTTGCAGCCGAGGACACCAAGACTCCAGTGGTGAAGGCACCATCCGTCTGCGCTCTCCTCACCCCACCGCATCTCCCTGTGCCCTCTCCCAGGGCCTGCTGAGGCCTCAGGGTCATGATGGATGAGATTTGCTCCGAACCTTCTCACCCTGTCCCGCTTCCCTGTGTGAACACTCACAGGAGCTAACATCAGAGTTGGAGCCAGCCCCCAGGTGCTCGTGACTCTGCAGACCCAGTACTCCTCCTGTCTGCCCCCTTCTCTCCGCCTGAGGGCACTGCCCAGCCAGGCCTCCTCACCACCCCCTGGACTAGGGCAGTGCCCCGTGCACACACACACACACTCCTGAGCACTGTCTGCTTCCTTGGTTGCTGGGCAGGCCGTGTGGCCCAATAAACAGAGCTCCTCCAAGGCGGGCGTGGGTCCTGGTGGCCCTCGACCTCCACACGGCACGTCTCTGGCCCGTTGATGGGCGATGGGCACAGTGAGCGTCTGTAGAATGGACTCCTACACAGCGCGCGAGCTCGTGCCTCTGCGGGACTCACCTCCACTCTCAGTGGAGCTGGTGAGGGTGCTCCTCAGCCCGGCACGCGAGGCTCACAGCCAAGACTCAACCTCCACAGCCACACTCCATGCTGCCAGACCCAGCTATTCTCCTGCTCCCACTTCCAGAAGGCCTCCAGCCGCCAGCCTCCACATTCCATCTCAAGGCTGTGTGTTAAAGTCTTGATCTTTTTTCAAGGGCCAAGTCAAATCCCTCTTCCTCCATGAAGCCCTCACTGGAGACCCAGCCCCACGGCCCCACTGCCTGCCTTTATGGTTCCCTTGACATTTTCCTGATCCCATACCCTGGGAGCCCCTTGCAGAACACACGCTCCTCTCGTGCAGGGCCTGGGGCTTCTGCAAGCCAGTGCCTACTCCCGTGATGAGCACTTAAGAAATACCAGTTCAACAACATGTCCAGTCAGGGTCCTGGGGGGGCCCGGGGAACTTCCTTCTCCTACCTGAGCCCCCCGGGGTCCTCACCTCTCTCCTCGGCCTCCAGGGCTTCCTGCAAGAGCCGAAAAGAGCTAGACTGCCGGGGAGCCACCCGCCCCTCGCGATTTTCCTGCAGCATCTTGAAGACTTCTGAATCCTCTCTCAGGAGGTGGCTTCCCCCTTCTGAGTCCACACTGCAGGGATGGGAGGTAACAGGAGTGAGTCCCGTTCCCAAGCTTGGGGGCAGAGAAAGAGTGTCCCAGGGGGAAAGGATTCTAGAGGCCAGAGGAAAGCCGACTGGGCTTAGGCGGGGACGCCCCCCCTTCCTCTCCAGGAAGCCAGTCTGTCTCCTGGCCCTCCCAGACCCTCCAAGACCCCAGCCCACCCTCCAGCGCCCACTGTACCTGAGCCTGGGGCCGGAGGAACAGGGACGCGGGGAAGGCGGCAGCACCAGCACGGCCGAGTCGCCAGCGAGGCTGAGGCTGGCCTGTGGGAAGGAGAGGCACCAGGGGAGGAGTCAGCAGCCAGAGCCTTGGGCCAGCACACCCATCTGGCCGCCAAGCCCAGCTGTTCCCCAGGCCCAACACCAGAGGGCTCCTGGCCCTCGCTGACCAGCAGGCCCCTAGGAGGGGCAATCACCTTGACCCTGCCCTCAAAGCCAGGGCACCAGGGACTGTCCTGCTCAGTCCCAGAAGGGGAGGGAGGCCAGCACCCAGTGAAGGAGGTGTGAGGGCTCCACAAGGGGATTGGGCAAGAAGCAGAACGAAGACCAGCAGGTGACAGCTGAGCACGGAAACCATGCACATTCCTCTGTTATCTCATGCTACATGTTTGCAAAGATGTGGCACGTTGGAGCCTGGCTCTGATCCACAGAACAAACTGAGAGGAAGTAAGCTGACCCTCTGCAGTGAGGAAAAGGAAACCTAAAGGGGCAAAGTGAAGGGGCAAGACCCTCCTTGGAGTCAGGGCCGGGGCAGCACAAAGGACCTCTCCCCCACACATGCTGGGCCCTCTCTTAAGAGGGCAGGGTCCTCTCCTGGCCACCCCAGGAGGTCTTGTCCTGTCCCACGGAGCCCTGGGGAGCCAGGCCCACTCATGGCCCGCACCCCGGCCGCAGAGCCCCTCTCCGGGGTGTGCCGCCCACCTTGGGCTCTCACACTTGCTCTTCACACAGAAATCTTGCCTTCAGTTCACTGTTGCTTTGCTCTCTGGCCTGCACCTCTGCAGCCTCCCCTACTCTACTCCCTCTCCGTGGCCACCCCCAGGAAAGGAGAGCCTCAGAGACCACCAGGCAGGCTGGTGCACCGGCTGAGAGCAGTTTCCTAGAAAACTAAATTCCCTTAAAATTCTAAGCCAGGGACAAATTATGAAGTCAAATGAGAAAACTGCACAAATTCTGAGTCTAAAAGCAGAAACTTCAGAGTCTTGAGAAGACAGCCCCAGACGCTCGCCGGTGGCCCACTCCACCAGCCTGCGTTCCTCTGCTCCTGGGGTTCTTTGGGAAAATGTTCTACAGCTAAGGAGGCTGAGGGTCAGAGAGGCAAAGCGGCTGGTCCAAGGCGCTGGGAAGTCGGAGGCAGGGCTGGGAGTCCACACCCAGGCTCCTGGGTGCCCGCCTGGTGCCGTGCGGTCACCTGACAGCCGGCCAGAGAGTTTCCTCAGGAATGACAGCCACACCAGTTACTCAAGAACAATGTCCCATCTCACTGTCCTGGACAGCAGGCATGTGCCCTGCACAGGGGTTTTGGCCCGCGGGGAGGGAGGGCTGAAACCCAGCCCAGACTTCCTTTGCCAGCCAAGTTCCCGAGCCAGCCAGAGGGAGGGGTGCTGTTTTCACTTCACAGCTGCTCACCAAGGCAGGTGGCAACCCGGAGAGGGCAGCTTCTGGTTTCCAGAAGGGCTCCATAAAGGCTGGTGGTGTCCTGTGCTTGGGCTCAGTGAAGCCTCAGACCGCACAGGAGCCAGAGAAAGGCCGCAGCCACAGCAGACAGGGGCGGGGGCACCGCATCTACAGTCACCTCCGCCCCCTTCCTCCTGCCAGACCACCACGCCCTGGTAGATAGGAGCCCACTCCCTCCCTAGGAGCTGCACGGATTTCTCCTCCCCACTCCCAGTCAGTGGGGACACCTGCAGTCTCAGAGGGACCTTTCATCTCCAAGTCCAGAAACGCTGCTCACCTACCCATCAAGAGCTCATCTGTGGCCAAGACCTCTCAAAATGTGTCTTGGGGAATACAGGGATGTTAATAAGTGAGAAGCAGGGGAAGGGAGACGCCCGGAGAGATTCTGCGGTTAAACAAGTTTAAGAAGTTAATAAAATTCAATATATTTCTTTCTCATGGGACTTCTTAGAGCCTTTAAGGGGCTAAAGTATAGAGCGACTCCCAAGAGGGAGCTGGTGGCCCCTGCGACCCCCACACTGACTGACTGCTGCTTCATTAGTAGAACAGAACGCGAGCTTCGTCGGGTTAGGAGTTCCTCTGGTTTTCCACCAACACATCCCCAGAGTCTAGCAGGGTCCTGACACAAAGCAGCTGCTCCATAAATATCTGTTGAAGGAATGACCAGGGGCCGCAGGGTCAGAGAAGGGAACTCAGTGCATCGAGTCTGACTCTGAGGCCGAAAGGTCAGAGGCTTGTCCAAGGTCACTCAGTTCAGGGGGGACCAACACAGGTCTCCTCACCACCAGCCCAGGGCTCTTTACACTGCACGGGTGGTCCTCCAATCTTTGCGTGTATCAGATCCCTGAGGGCGCCCCTACCCCAGCCCATCACCCTGGTGTCTGACCCAGGAGGGCCAGGCCAGGCCCCGAGAATTTGCATTTCGAACCAGTTTCCAGGTGCTGCTGCTGTTTTGAGGGCCACTCCCTGTACCACCCGCGTCTCCCCTCTGCCCGGGGGGAGGACATCACGAGGAAGCAGGCCAGGATGGACGGGCCCTCTCTGGCCATGCCCTAGGCCAAGCTTATGCCTGGCTGGTCTCAGCCAAAAGTCTCCCGGAGAAGGCCCCCCAGGCCCGAACATGCCAGGCCTTGCCTGTACCACTGTTTTCCATCTCATCATTCTCTAACCTAAACCCACTCGGTTCCACCTCCAATTCCACCAGTGAAATTCCTGACACAGCCTTCTCAGGCCACCCCAGCCCACTCATCGCTCCCCTCCCGGAACGCCTCCTGCCTTCATAATTAAGACCACACTGTTTAGAGCTTAATTGCTCCCAAATTGTTTTGCATGTTTGTCTTATCTCCACAACTACATTTTAAATTCTTTAAAGGCGAGGATCTCATCAAATATATCTCTAGGAGCACATTACCTGGAGGCCACTGGGCGAGCCTAGAGAGGGTCAGCAGGGAGCCCCTGCTGTGCAGCCCACAGAGAACCCCACTCCTTCCTTCTCCAGAGCCCCCAGTTTCTAGTACCCTCCCCCAGCTGTCTCCAAAAGCTCTGCTTTCTGGAATGCAGACTCAACCAGAGGTAGGATTCCAGCAGCTGGGCCTCATCCTCTTCACCCCAAAGGCTGGACATGCTTCCCCACCCCTGTCCCCAGCAGCTGTGGCCCAGGACTGTTGGCTGCCTCACTCCCTCACCTCCCCACCACTGCCCTTAGAGAGGAGAAATGCCACCAAGGGGGCTGCCGCTAGTGGACAGTGGGCCCGTGGGGGTGTTGGTCCGGGGGAGAAAGGCAGGAGGGGAGGCAGACAGAGAGTAAGCCAAGTACAACTTGAGGCAGAACCACAGTCCTGCTGGTGGTTCTCTGCGCTGAGTCAGAGGAGGAAGAAGGGGGCTGGGGGAGGGGACCTGGGGGCGGGCATGGGGCTTGGAATGAGGAGGAATGTGTTCGAGAGATGCCGCGAGAGCCAAAGGGAATCATCCCAACAACAGCAGCAAAGCTATTTCAGCCCCGGCCCAAGAGAAACACTAGAGAACGGAGGAGGCCAGCAGGAAGGGGCGGCAGCGACGGGGCGGAGTGCAGGATTGGGGAGGCCACGGGGCACCGCTGGGCAGGGCCGGGCACAGCAGGTATGACCCACCACCAGAAGCCATGGTCTCCCAGCTCAGGAGAGGATGGAACCTGCTGCTAGTAGATGGAGTCGCTGGATGCCCAGGTGGGCCCAGCCATCTGCAACCCCACGGCACCACGGGCAACCAGAGGGATGGGAGGCTCTCTCCTTCCCCCAGGTGCCCTTACCTGGCGACTTCCTGGGCGGCCCCCACAGGACAAGCGGTCAGCAGCAGCGAGTCCCGGAGAGTGTGCTAGGCTCTGGAAACTGAAATGGGGGAAATGGACAGTGTGAGTGCCAGGGCCCCACCCAGGCTGCCCCAGGGAAACAGGATGCCCCCAGGATCCCCCAAACCCAGCTACTGAGATGCTGAGTGGCCTGGCATGGACCTGGTGGCCAGGGGGCCCACGCTGCGCTCACCTGCGGCTCACCACTGCCTCTCCAGCGAGGGTGTGGGGGCTGGGGTGGGGTGGTGTGGAGAAGGGGCTGTCTGGCCGGGGGCTGAGGGAGGCAGGGCTGGAGCAGGAGGACCGCAGGGAGGACTGGCTGTCCGTGTGGGTCCTCACGGAGTCCTGTGGAAAGCGGGGCCAGAAAAGCAGGAAGGGGGATGCTCATCCCCCAGCAGCCCTGCCCCTCAGGACCCCCTCACTGCAGGGCGCTGGGCCTCCCAACAGAAGGCACCTTCTCACCTGGAAGCGTGTCGCCAGCACTTCCATGGGGTTTTCCCCGTTGGTCTGCCCGGGAGAGGCAGCCCGAGACCTGAGTAGAGGACAGAGGGAAGGTAGTGTCACAGGGGTCCTGGAGCTCCTGCAGAGCTGGGAGGGGCTGCATATTTCAGCTGTTCCCACAGTGGGTTCTCAAGACTATTAAAATGTCCAGAACACCTAGACATTGGGTTGTCAAGTTTTAACCTTGCCAAATCCAAAAGAGACAACTAGCATCAATGGCCACCATCATCTCACAAAAGAAAGGACAGTTCAGCTCCAAAAAGTAGAAAGGACATAATTTCAGAGAAAAGTTTAATAAATTCAATTTTATTAAAAACTCCTTACATTATCCTCTTCCCACCTGCTCTTTTCTTTCCTTTTTCCTTTTTTTTGGCATTTCATCCAGACTTTGTCACTGGCCAGCATCAGTTTGTAGATCACTTTGCGGGGAGATGGCTGCCTTCATATAAATAACCCTTTATCTTTCACCCACGGAGAAAGTGAAGTGCAGAGAGAGGAAGCGAGGCGCCCAAGTCCTACAGCCCAGCTACGGCTGGGCCAGCTGCCCACAAGTGGCCCTGATGGCTGGAGCGCCCTTGAGAGGCTCACTCCCGTCCTTTCTGCAGGGGAGGAAGCTTCTGCTCCATAAAACAAAGGGTGGGGCCAGCCCCTCTTCCCACCAGACAGGAGTGGCAGGGCCTAGAGAGCCAGAGCAACAAGCAGGCCTAGCTCCCCCACTGATGCAGCCAGTGAGAGGGGCTCTGCCACCCTGGCTCCCCGTGGACCCCCTCCAAAGCCCTTCCCAGTGGAGGCTGGCTAGAACCTTGAGCAGGAGGCTACTGTAGGGCTGGCTGGCTGCTGGCTGAGGGTGAGGAGAGAGACCACCATGTCCCATCCCAACTACACCATTCCTGGTGTCTGGCAGTTCTAGAGTGGTCAGCAAGAACCTCAGTCACCAGCCACCACGCAGGCCTCAGCCTCCCTGGGGAGGTCTGTGGGGTCAGAGCCAGGGGGCCTGGGCTTTGGCTCCAGCCAGAGCACTGCTTCCTGCCACAGGGCTTCTGATGCCTGAGAGGCCGGGGGTGGCGGTGGGGTGGGGTGGGAGGTGTGGCTAGGAGGGGTTAGAAGGGGTCTGGGCAAAAGAAAGAAGCGACAGACAGCCTTGACCTGCCCAACATGAAGCTGGAGGCCTCGGGGTGCTCAGCCAGGCCCACCTCCCTCATGGGGCTGGGTCCCTCCAAGGGGGACCTGAGAGGAAGTGGTGGTGTCAGCCGCTCCCTGCTGCCCCTCCCCCACCCCACTCTGCAGCCTCTTGCAGATTTTGGTCCCCTTCCCAGACGCAGTGAGGTACTCTCCACCCTCCTCCTCTGGGTCCCATTCCTGCAAACACTTGTGAGCTAGGGTGGCACGAAGAGTCCCTAAAGGGGTGGGGTCTTGAGAGCACCATGGGAGCCAGCCTCTGCAGCCCTGAGGGGCAGCAGGCGTGAGGGGAGGGCACAGAGCCAGGGGCCAGAGGGAGCCTGGCGGTGCAGGCAGTGGTGCAGAGGCAGGAGTACCTGAGTCAGATTCAAGGCCCGCCCAGAGGGCTCTCCTGGCTGGGGGATCTCCCAGCATTCCTGCCCCATGACTCACGGCAATGCCTCACCCCAGGGAGCCAGCTGCTCCCCCCAGCCCCCAGGCCTCCAGGCTGAAAACCCCACAAGCCTGGGACTCCAGAGGTAATGGGGACGGAGGAAGGGCTCTGTGGGGAGTGAGCCCCCAAACTCCTCACCCTACTCTGGGATCTGAACAAAAGGGGGCAGAGGCCATGGAAACCCAGTCTAAGGCACACCTTTCCCCTCCTCAACCCACTTCATGCCCACGCCCTGAACCCCACACACTCAGGAACCAGTCAAACCCGGGCATCCAGGTGGCTGAGGCCAGCCTGCCCTGCCTGTGGCTGCACGCCCAGCTGGGCACAGGGACACCCCTCGCCCACCCTGCTACTGCAGCACTGCTACTACAGGCCCAGAGCTGAGACCTTCTCGCAGACAAGATGAGCTGAAAGGGCCGGGGAAGGCCGTGCTGGCACTGAGGGGGGGCGGGGGGAGGGTGGCCACCGCGAGGTGGGCTGGCAGAGGGGTGAAGAATGCTGGCGGGCACAGCAGAGGTAGAGGGCCTACCGGTCCAGCTGTAGGCGCAGGGGCGAGGGGCTCTGGCGGATCTTGCTCTGGGCCTCTGCATGAAGCATGCCCTCGGCACTCTCCCCGTTGATGGCCACGATGATGTCGCCAGGACGGAGGTCAGCAGCCTCGGCCTTGCCCCGCTCGGTTACCTGCAGGGGATGAGGAACGGGTAGCCTGAAGTACCCCTACTCAGATCAGACAGTGGTGACACTCAGGGAGGGATGGAGAAGACCAGATTCCCAAGAAACGCAGAAGCTGGTTTGAACCAGGCTGGCCTGAGTCCCCTTGAACCCCTCCCTCCCTGCCCATCCGTGTCTGCCCAGCTAATCAGCTAATCCCCTCTACAGGTGGAGTGGCAGCACCCCTACCCCCAGCACTGGCATTCTAATAGGGGCCTCCCAAAGAACGTGCAGTGGCAGAGTTTTGGGAACTGTGCTTAGAAATACTTTTGGACAGAGAGCCCTGCCCGTGCAAACCGCACCACACAGGTGGCTGCCTGCACACAGGGCCTCTGCATGAACACTCCCCAGCCGGGGCCCGGCTCAAGGGAAAACTGCCGAGAACTCAGGGGCTCCTGATCTAGTAACCACCCAAAATGGCTGCCAGCAGGCATGGGGTTGGGGACCTCGGAGAAAAGAGCAGGCCCTCCACTCGGCTCAGCTCCCTTTCCCCCTAGAAGCCTGTTCCTGAAGTGGCCCCCTCGCTGGCTAACACTCCCAGAAGCAAGACTGGCTCTAGACCAAAAGTGAAAGTTGTCTGTGGGGACCAGGTAGACAGGGCAGACTCTAACTTTGGGGGCACCTCCTTGTCTCCTGGAACTAGCCCTTACCTTAGTCACCATGATGGGTGTGTGGAAATCCCTGCCCCCGGTGATGCGGAAGCCCCAGGGCCCCGGCCCCACCACATCCACTGTCAGCGCCATACCTGAAGAAGAAAGGATGGAGGGGTGGAGCCTGTCCCCAGTCCCCAAGGGGCGCGGTAGGGTGGCAGGAGAGACGCAAAGGGGAGGAGAGGGGATGACAGGTCCCTAGAGCCACCAGTCAGGGGCTGGGGTGGGTGGGGAGGGTATAGGAAGTGACTACCTCCCTCAACCCCAGTCTCACTTCCCCCACCCTGGGAAGCCAGGACTCTGAGTTCCCTCTTCTCGTCTTTAGCGAGTGGCTCCCTAGAGGCAGACTGTCCGGGTGCCAGACAGGGGCTTGCTGGAGAATGGGTGAGCAGGGGCTGGCAGGTGGGAGGAGGTGTCAGCATTTCCTCTCTCCCCCTCCTCCACCATCAGGGCTAAGTCTCACTAGTGCTTGCTTCCTGTCCCCAAAACCGACAGCACAAGGTACTTCCTCCCTGCTCTGGGGGAGGGCAGCGCTCTGGGAACAGGAGTGACAGCAAGGAAGGGGGTGGCACCACCACAGACTGCTCAAGTAGTTGGCTGGGTGGGGACTGGCTGAGGTGACGTGAGTGTCTTCAGAGGGGCCTCCTGGCTGCCTGCCTGGCCCCTGGCAATGTGGTCCAGATAGGCAAGACTGGGCTTCCAACCCCCCACCCCCACCCCAGGGGCCTGCTGCCCTCTGACCAGCCCTGCAAGAAGGACGGGCTCATCTGCCAAACTGGTACACCCACCCCCTGGCGCTGGCCAGCAGAGGAGCTAACAGATGCTGCCTGCTAGCTGGGGCCACAGGCCTCCCATCGCCAGCCCCTTCCACTGGCAAGGGAGTGTCCTTGCAGACCCTGCCCTTGTAGGATTTCCTGAGCCTCTGGTTCTGGAGTCAGGAGCCAACCGACGCAGGAAGCCGCAGTGACAGGCTGGGCCAGCACCCTCCCTGGGGCTGCGCCTGGGGAGGCCCAGAGACTGCAGCACTGCCCGAACCTTTCAGGGACACTGGCACCCCTTCTGAGTCTAGGAGCCTGGGGAGGGGTCGCCCAGGCAAGCCGGCTGCCTGCCCTCTTCCTGGCCTTTGGCTGCCCCTTTCGCCCAGGCCCAGGCTGGTGCTCCCCAGGCTCCCAGGTACACGCTGGCGCCTCGCAGACGGCTTAGATTCTCAGACCTTTGAGCCGGTCAGTGGACTCCGCGCCGGGGGCCGCCGACAGGTGCCCAGCCCGTCGTCCCGGCTCTCCCAGTTCTGGGGCCTTCTACGCTCCGAGGCCAAAGTACCCGCGGGCCAGGGCCTGGAGGAGGAGCGCCGGGAACCGGGAAAGCCCAGCCCGCGGGGGGCGCCAGCCGCGAGGGAGGCAGCAGAGAGAGGGGCTGCGGACGGAGGCAAGGTCCGGGCGCGGAGAGGGGCGCCGAGGGAGCCCCGGGCCAGGCAGGGCGCCCTCACCTGGCTCCGGCTCACCTGTCGGGCTGAGCGGCCGGGCCCGGGAGGGAAGGGAAGGAAAGAAGGAGGGCGAGGAGACGCCGCCGCTCCCGCTGCCGCTGCCGCCGCCGCCGCCGCCTGCCCGACTCTGGGGAGAGCCCGCCCGGGGCTCCGGGACCTGCCTCCGCCCATGTGATCCCAGGGCCGCCCCTGCCACCGCCCCTGGCGGAGAAGCCGCCTCCTCCGCGCAGCCCAGCCCAGGCGCTGCCACCTGGGCCGCGCCCGCTGGGGGGCGGGGGTCACTCTCCCTAGAGCCCTCGAGAGGCTGTGGCCATCCTCCCCGAGGTGCCGCGTCCTCCCGACTGCCCCCTGAGTGCATGGGAGGCCTTCTGGGGACCGTCCCGCGCCCCACTTGGCAGACAGCTGAGGCTGCCGTCTTAAAGCTCTCCCGGGCCGGCCGCGCCCACCCCCTTCAAAGGGGCCCTCGGGCACCCCACCCCGAGGGCCGGGACGGGGAGCGCCGGCTTGGGCGGTCTGCAGGCCGCCTGGCTCCCCCGCCCGCTCCAGGCTCCCACGCTGGCGCAGATGCAGCCCCGACACCCACAAAGCCCAACCCGGGGGCGCCCCTCGCCTCTCTGAAGGGCACGCCCGCTCTCTGGGCTCTCTGGTCGGCGGCCGCAGACGGCGGCGGTCCTTTCGGCCACGTGGAGCTGCCCTGCTTGAGATGCCCCCCAAATCGGCTCCACTCAGGGCGACCTGCCAGGCCCAGGAGGAGAGAAGAGACTCGCGACTGGAGGTCAGGAGCACCCTCCTGGGCCACACCATCCCTCACTCTTCTGAGCTGATGCTTTTTCCATTCCTTGCTGCCCTCCCCATCTCCCTCTGCTGCCCTGCCTGGGGCCGACCAGCCCAACACCACTGCTGGTCCTCTCCCCCCATGCCCTCAGCTCTCTGCCAACCACCTGGAACCCAGGCTCCAGGGATCAGGAGACGACAGCCAAAGAGAGGCCCCAGATCAGAACCATCTGGCAAATGATTCCCCCAGAGCCATACCTGGCAACCCTCTCCCTGGGGAACTCAGGGCCCACTGGAGCCTGCTCTTGCATCTCCCATTGGTCTCCACTCTGTGCTCTCTGTTGGACTGGCCTGTTTTCAGGGGGGGCCCACCTGTGGGCACAGCTGTAACTTGCCTGCCTCAGGTGTGAGTCATTCACCCCAATTCCCTCTGCAAGGAGTGCTGTCACCACCCCTCATCTACCTGTGCCCGTGCATCCTCCCTGCACTCACAGACCAGCCTGGCTCCAGCCCTGCTGCCTCCCTGCCCCCAGCCTTCCCAGCCTCTGTCCTCAGTGTGTAAACCGCTCTCTCAGTAACGAGTCCCGGGCCTCCGGGTGTGGCCGCTCTGATGCACCCGTTGTCTCCCCAACAAGACTGGAAGCCCCTGAGGGGGCAGGAGACTGCAGGTAGGGCAAACACAGCTTTGAGGCCACACAGACCTAGCCCAGATGCCAGATCTGCCTCTCACTAGCTGTGTGACCTTGGGCAATTTCCTCAGCTCCTCTGGGCCTCAGTTTCCCTGGTGTAAAATGGGAATAGTGCATAGCTTACCCTCCTGTTGTGCAGATTGCCCTCCCATACAAAGCTGCCTGCACACAGGTTCCTCCGAGGGCAGGGTGGCTTTTGTTTGGTTCACTGCTCCATTCCCGGCACCTACCAAAGCACCCGGCCCACAGTGGCATTCAATCAGTATTTATTGAATGAATACTGTGTGAATGATTGAGCGGATTCGTTTCCCTTCCTTCACCCCCCACCCCCGCAATTTGTGGCAGGGACTCTCTTTTACACCTCTTCGAGCTCCTGACTTGGCGTTGGACAGGCTTTAGAAACATCCACAGGTCAATTTGTAGGATTTCTGCTCCGTGGGTTGTGTATTCACAAAAGTCACAACCAAGACGAAGTTGGCCAACCCCCAGGCATGACCCCGTGGAACAGAAGGAAGTGCTGTCCACTCTCAGCAACTCGGTGGCCCCGGGCAATCACTCTCCTGACCTCTGTGATGGGATGAGCATCCCCAGTGGCCTAAGGTCCTTTCTGGCTCTGACCCTCAGGGTCCCCCTAGCCCCTCACCTCCCCCTCATGCCAGGTCCAGGTACAGAAGTGGTCAGCGTGCCACCAAGGCTGTCATGGGAGGCGGCCCAGGTCCAGGCAGAGAAGTGGTCAGCGTCCCAGCAGGGCTGTCATGGGAGGCGGCCCAGGGGCATAGGGTTGGCTTGCAGAGGTTTCAGGGCCCGTCAGAGAGGGTCTGGATTTGCTTTCTGCCCCAGGGAAAGGAAGTCTCAAGCCTGATGCCTTTTCCCAGGGCATCAGGGAATGGGAAAGAGCTGGGATGGGGGATCAGGAACAGGCCAGTGGGTCCTGAAGAATGGTCGTTTCCACAGGACGGGCTGCATCTGCCAACTAAGAAGCAGACCGTGGTGAGGACCAGAGTGGATGGAATGGATGAAGGAGTTCACGCAGGTCTTGCTCTTCCAGCTGCTGTTTAACCACCCCTTGAGCCCAGGCCGCACCCAGGCTCAAGGAACCTGCCAGGGCCAGGCCACGGCCCTGTCATTCACAGGCCCTCCCACCTGTCCTGACAGAACCAGGCACCACCACCTCTACCCACCCACCTAGGGTGGGGGTGCCTTAAGTGACAGGCCTAGAAGACAGGATTGCCAGGAAGAATGTAAAAGTGGCCCAGCCGGGCCACGCCAAGGAAGTCCTTAACCGCTTGCGTGCCCTCCTTCCCCAGGGCCTCTGCACAAGGAACACCTGGGCATTTGGTAGACTTTGTACAGAGGTGGCAACAATCATTGGGCCTGACGTTAGCATTTTATAATGATGTGACCCAGCCAACTGAATTTCTCAGCCTCAGTCTCTCCTCCTATGGAATGGAATCATAACCTGCCTGTTGGAACCCTTCTATCAGATAACACCTTATGCCCTACTCAACTGCCAGCAGCTGCCAAGGAATGGAGCTTTCATTCCTTGGCAGAGCAGCCAGGCCCAGACTGTGCCACCGCTGTTGCCCCACAGGAACCACCAAGCCCCAGGACTCTGAAACCTTGGGCAGGAAGAGCCGCCTTGGCTAGCTGTGCCCCACCACTGCCAGCTTCCCGCACTGACTGCTCAAAACCCAAGCCGGGAGAAGAAAGTAAACAAATACCCAGGAGCTTCAGGTGGAAGTGGAGCACAGAGAAGGAAAACATTAGGAGCCAAAGAGCTAGAAATGTCATCTAGTTCAGCAACCCCACAGCGGCTCCACATTCAAAACAGCCTGCAAACAAGGCCACTTCCGCTCCAGCTCTGGTTTCTCCCGAGGCGGGCCTGGCCCTGGTCCCCAGGACATTGCTTCTCTCCACACTGCTTGTCAGACGGCTGCCCCATCCTGGGGGCTGCAATTCTGCCTGAGACCTGAGATCTTCAGATAACAATGGTGCTTTTCCAGCCTCCCCTTACACATGCTCACATCCCACTTGACTCCCAGCACAGCCCACTGCAGAGAGGCTCCCGTAATCCTAAGCAGGAGGAGCCCTCTCCCACCTCAAAGGAAAAGGACTGCACGGCGAGGTCGTGGCATCCAGATTTATTTTACATTCTCCTCCAGAGGGGACTTGCGGGAGCTGGGGAGGCAGGAGGGCAGCATACATCAGTCTCCCTGGAAAACATTTGGGATGGGCCGGTTCTCTGAGGTCCTGGCCTTGCTGGTCACTGCAGCAGCAGGACAAGGCATGGCCCAGGCCCAGGGCTTGGCAGCCTTTGGGAAGGGGGGCCTTTGGGTAAGACCTCCTGCCAGGCTTCGAATGCTAAGGAGATGCTGCATCCACCCCCCCACCTCACTCCCAGGCCCAGCTGGAGGCCGGAAGGCACAAGGGACAGAAGGCAGGCTGGAGTGACAGGGGCGGAGTGCCCCCTGGGGTGGAGGCTGCCTTTGGTCTCTGTGAGGTTAGGAAGCTGGTCCTTGTTAGAGGAACCCCATGGGGGTGAAGCTGGGAGCCGTCCCCGTTAGAGGAAAAGCCATAGCAGGGTGGGGGTGGGGTCCTTGGGGGTCTGGTCGCAATAAGGTCTGGAAACAGTCTCCACGTCAAAGCAGACCTCTGTATCTGGGGAGTAGGGTAAGGGAAGAAATAAAAGGCTGTTGGAGGAATGCTTGTGAGTTGTGGGTGGGAATCAGTCCAGGGGCTTCGAGGGGGCTCCAAGGGCAAGGCTGATGGGGTTGTCTGCAGATGCCAGCAGTTCAGGGCCTGGGGAGGAGCACCTGGGAGAGGGGTCTTCTCTCCCTCCCGTAAGTGCTACTGCTCCCTACCCCATCCTGGCTGGGCTCTGAGTTGCGTCGGAGACCATCACACTGGGGCTACGTAATTTCCAGGGAATGTCCCAAATTTCTGGGTCCTCCGGGACACACCTGAAAGAGGAAAAACAGAAAGAGCATTCCCCATTAAATTCCCATTAAAATAGGAATGTAGGGGTGAGGGCCGCGTCCCCTACTGGCAGTGCCAGGAACTGCAGGTGCTGGGCGGAGGGGTGGGGAGGATGATTTGCTTTCCTCCTTCCTGCCCCCTAGTGGCAGAAGCTTAGTGGGCAAAGCTACGCTTCCTCAATTCAGTAAGGATCAAGGAATCCAGTACTCAACTGTGTCTAACTTTGTAGCATTGAATAGCTGCACGCTTCCTCAGGAAAGCAGGAAGCAGGAGGATGAAGCACAGAACTTAAACGAGGAGAAATTCACTGGTCTCACCTGCATGAGAAACCCAGGCCTCTGGTTGCTACGACCCCAAGGAGCTGTGTCCAGCGTGCAGGAGGGGGTGCTAGAACATGCGCCTTCTCTTCCCTCCCAGCAGGCTGGCACCCTGACTTCTCCATGAGCAGCCATGCTCATCCTGCCCCCAGGCCTGGCTGATGTTTGCCCCCCACCCCGGCCCCCAGGGCCTCTCTTTTCCCCTCTGCCTCCCAAAATCCTTTGCCTGCCCCTTAAGGCCCAGCTCCTCCACTTCCTCCAGGAAGCCTTCCCTGACCTGCACTGTCCAAAATTATAACCACGAGCCCTATGTGGCTACCGAGCACTTGAAATGTGTGAGATCACTGAGAAACTGAACTTTCTATACTCTTCCTCTAAAAGCACTTGCGGCTTATCCCACAAAAATGCTGCTTTTTCTTCTTGTCTAGATACATTTGCAAAACCTTCTTAATAGTTGTAAAAAATTCAAAAGCAGAAGTGTACAGAGTAAAATTAGGATGTGCCCCCAAGCGCACCCCTCCGAGGCAAGGACTGTTAACAAGCTAGTGCTTCCCAATCACTTGATCACTCACACGCCCGAAGCCCGGTCGGCAGCGAGGTGCTGCGATATAGATGAGAAAGGGCAGGCTGCCAGGTCAAGGGACTGTCTCTGTGGCCACCCCTGCCCAGGCAGCCCCTCAACCCTCAGGCCATGCAGACTGCTGCTTCTGGCTGCTCACTGCCCTCTGACGCCCTGTCCTCTGAAGCCCCTCGCACAGGGCCCGCCCACTCTGGGGAAACGGGCCATGCAAGTGAAGCCTGCTGGGTCAGTCCCCTGGACCCAAGCCAAGGCCAACCTGAGGCTTCCTGCTTTAGTCCTTAGCCTGAGCTGCCCTTGGGCAGTCCTGAGGGACAGGACCTTTCTCTACTTCCTCCTCGGGGGTAGGGATGGGGGGCGGAGCTGGATGCTAGCTGGGGATGGGGAAAACACAGGTGTGAGACTCAGTCCTTTCCATCAGGAGCTTGGTGTCTCAGGAGACAGAACCTCTCCCCCAGGACTGCTCCAGAGGAAGATGGGTGTAGTGGGAAGGAGCAGGGGCCTGGGGTTCAGGCACCCTGCCGCCCTGAGTCCACAATGTCTTCACCAGTGACCTTGCGCTGGTCCAGTTTCCTCCCAGGCCTAACCCCTCCTCAGGGCATGAAATCAGACAACAGAAATGCTGGCTTTGGGGAAGCATCCCATACCAGGCCTTCCCAGTAGCCAGGCTGGAAGTGGTGTGGGGGAGTGGGGGGGCGTGTTTGCTCAGGTCATGAATCTTTGCTGAACCAGCACTGCCAGGCAGTAGCAGCCCACCCAGATCCCCCTTGGGACCCCAGGATATCCCCTTCTGGCCTGCCCCCCACCCCACATACCCACAAACCAGCCATCATCACACTGCTGCATGACATCCACCCGATCCCCCTCCTGCAGCTCCAGCTCGTCCTCATTCTGGGGCCTGTACTGGTACATCGCCCGGTACCTGCAGGAGACATCGTCATGGCAACCACCAGAGCCTCGCCCCTTCCCCAGCCCAGGCCCAGAGAGTCTAAACATAACACTGCCACATCCATTGAATTTCCTAGGGTCCCTCTCTGCTCCCGTTAGCCCCTGGCCCAGCTCCTGGAATGGCAACTCCATCTAGGTTCTGTGCATTCTTCCCCGGGCCTGGTCCCTACCCTCCAAGCCCTACTCATCCAAACCCTGCCTCCTCTGAGCTCCCACTGCCTTCAAGTCTGTTCCACCGGTTCCCATGCTTCACGCATACATACACTGACCTCAGCGCTGGAAACCCAAAGAGGAGACTGAGGCCGAGGGCCAAGTGTGGGAGGCTCGCGTTAAGGCCACAGGCCTGGGTCAGGAACACCGCAGACAAGCACCCCCCAACCCTCAGTCACCCACACACACTGCAAGGACAAGCACTACCTAGTAGGAGCTTACTAAATCCATCTGGGGGGAAGGGGCCTCCTATGGGGGTCGGTGTGCTCAGCACTGCCCTGGGCAGCCCTCACCCCTGACCACGCACCCCTGGACGGTACTCACGGGGTCCAGTGTATCTGAGTAGTGCTGGGGGAGGAGGTCCCCAGGTCCAGGGGACGGCTGGAGCCTCCAGGATGGGACGGAGCTGGCCCAGGGGTGCCGAGATTCTAGGGGTGCACAGGAGGAAAGGTGGGCACATGCAGGCATGTCGGGGAGTGAAGCAGGCTGCCCAGATTCCCGCAGCAGATTCCCCAGCAGCAGTGCCCACACGGCCTCATCCCGTCCGCTCAGGCCCCACGGCACAGGCAGAGCAGTCGGACCACTTCACATCCCAGGAGCTGGGAGTGGGGCCCAGGTGGGGCAGGCAGCTGATTTCCGAATGACAGCAGGACAAAGCTGGGGAAGGAGGAGTCCTGGGGACTGGCTGTGCCTGGGCATGCTGGTTAGCTGGGTGAAGGGACGAACACAGGAGCAAGTGCCCCTGACTGGGGGCTATGGCAGCACAAGGACCAGTGATGACCTCACCATCAGCTACTATAAACTTTAGTTCAAACCCAACCACCCTCTGCAGTGGGAACTACTACCCCCATTCTACAGGAGAGAAAAGCCAAACCCAGAGAATGTAAGTCATCTGCCCAAGGTCACACAGCAGGTCAATGACAGATCCCCAACTCCTAGCACCACCCTGTCCCAGGGGCTGACACAGGCCGATCGCAGGGTCAGGAGACCCGGGCTGGCTTTGGGTCCCACCTAGAGCTGGGTGGCTGCCCCATGCCTCCCTGGGCCACAGCTCAAGGGCTACAACTCGAGGAGTCTGAGGGCCACCAGGCCAGGGTCGGGCTGCAGGGCAAGGTCCTGCCCAGTCGCCACACTAGTCTGCCCGGGGGCAGTCTGCAAAGGATTCCCAAGTGCAGACCCATTGCAGGAATGGGGGATATGGCGTGGGGGCCACGGGTCAGCTCTCCAGTACCAGGCAGGTCACCTTACCTGGGTCTGGGGTCTGGGCTCCTGGGTGGAGATGGAGCAGCCAGCGTGGCGTGGGGAGGTCTGGCCCCGCCAATCGGTGGGATCAGCTGGGCCGCGTGGTGCTAACGGAGAGCTGGGGTGACGGGCCAGGCGGGGGGACGCAGGGGGCTGGGGGCCATCGTCGCAGACGCGGCCCCGGGGCTCACGGCACACCTGCACGTAGCTGACAGGGAAGATGCCCTGGCGCCCCGTGCCCGAGATGCGGCCCTCGTACCAGTTCTCGTTCACCTTGCGGATCAGGCAGATGCGCTCCCCCTGGGGGAGGAAGGAGGTGGTGTCTGCGGGGCGCTCCTGGGCACCACGCACCCAGGGCACCCACGCGGCGGTCTCATTTAAACCGACGCCCTGCACAGAGGAATCAGGCTCGGAGGGGGTCACCGGCCATGTGGAGGTCGCATGGCTAGGAAGTGGTGGGGTCAGGAGCCAAACCCAGGCCGCCTGAGGGAGTGAGCAGAAGTCTGAGCTCTTCCCACAACATGCATCACGAGGTGTGGATCAAGTCCTGCCTCTTCAGGAAGCCGACCGACAATGCCTGCGCATCTCCCTCCAAGGTCACATCGCTTTCTCGCCCCGGAGTTCCAGTCACAGGGGAGAGTGGCGCCTAATAACACAGGTCCAAACCAGGCTCTGCCAATTCAGGCTGTGTGGCCTTGCGCAAGTTACTCTGCCTCTCTGAGCCCTGGTTTCCTCACACGTTAAGTGAGCATAACAACACTGTTGCTGTGAGGAGCAAAGGAGATCAATGGCAGACTGGCAACAAGCACTGGGCAGGCGCCACCACTTCCATGATGGAGGCCTGTCCCTGCCTCAACACGGGGTGATCCTGTCACCATTACATCAGAAAACAAACTCCCTGAGGGCAGCCAGTGCATCCTCCAGCCCACAGGCTGACTGACGTTAGGGGCTGCCCTGGGGAGGATGGTCTCCAGCCCTCTCTTGCCCCACCTCTCTCCCTCCAGCCTCCTCCACCCCTACCTCCCGGGCTGGCTCTTCTGGGGGACATTCAGCAGGCGCCTTTGTGGCCCCGCCCCAAAACCAGCCATGGGGAGACTAGTTCCCCACTTTCTAGGACAACATGCTTCAAGCTTTCTCGGCACAATCCATAGTAAAAAATATGTTTTACTAACAATCCAGTACACACAAACAAACACACATACATATGCACATAACTGCCTAAAGTTTGATAAAATACCTTTCTACATTCAAGATATTTTAATATTTGTATTCTATTCTTTTAAAAATGCTAATTGTGATCCTCACAACCTACTAACCTGCAACTGAAAAAAAGCACAGCTACTCTAGAAGTTCCTAGAAGCTTTTTAAAAATGGGTTAAATTGGGGCCAGCCTGGTGGCACAGCAGTTAAGTTCACATGTTCTGCTTCAGTGGCCCGGGGTTCACCAGTTCAGATCCTGGGTGCGGACATGGCACTGCTTGGCAAGCCATGCTGTGGCAGGCGTTCCACAGATAGAGAAAGATGGGCACGGATGTTAGGTCAGGGCCAGTCTTCCTCAGCGGAAAAAAAAAAAAAAGCAGAGGATTGGCAGCAGATGTTAGCTCAGGGCTAATCTTCCTCAATAAAAAGGGCTAAATTAAGGGAAACATATCCAAAGAGATTGGGAAAAAAAGTTGAAATACTGGGACGGGTGCACCTGAATCTAAAAAATTGTTCCTACCGCACACATTTACCTGTGTCTCCACGCCACTCCCCTCCCCCCAACGTGGCCTGGCCGCACCTTGCGGAAGGACAGCTCCACCTCCAGATCCCCCTTGAAGGTGTACTGGGCCACAGCTTCTCCGTACTCCAGCACCTGGTAGGTCGGGGGCTTGATGGGCTTGGGGACCTCATCTGCAGGCAGCACCTGAAGGAAGAAGGGCCATGAGAAAGCTCACCTGGGCATCAACTGGGCACGGACCGGGGGTTCTGGGAGGGTGAGGCAACCAAGAGAAGGTGGTATGGGCAAGACCTGCCCCCAGGTCAGACGGGAGTCACAAGCCTGGGGGTGGCCAAGAGTGTGCACAACCAAGGAGGTTGGTCCCAGAAGGCTCCTGGACAGAGAATTTCCACTAGAGGTATATGGAGTGGGCACGACCGGAGTGGGCAGTGGCAGCGCAGAGACGGAAGCCAGTCCAGTGAGAATTTAAACTGCAGCACAGAAGGAAATGAGAGTTCCAACGAGCAGAGAACAGTGATGACCTGTTCTGAAAGTGAGGGCCGAAAATTTTATCACCGCTAAGAACCAGGAGGCCCTCCCCTCCTCCCCTTCCACCTCGCCAGACGTCCAGATCCCCATGCCCTCTTCACTTCACCCTGCTCATAAAAATCAAGACGCTAATAAACTATTTCACCCTAACGTGTAAATGACTGATGATGCAGAATACTGTATATACTTTGTGGAATTTCAGGATCTGAGAGGTCGTTCTGAGGGTAAGGGGGCCTACCAAGGCCTAGAAAATCAAGAGCCTCAATTAAGCAACAACTCAACCCATGGGTCAAAGAGGAAGTCACAAAGGAAGTGAGAAAATAGTTCAAGTTGAATGAAAAAACAAAATATCAAAATCTGTGGGATGTAGTTAAAGCAGTGCTTAGAGGGAAATTTATAGCATGAAACACTTATTTTAGGGAAAAAGTTTCAAGTCAATCATCTAAACTACTACCCTAAAAAACTAGAAAAAGGAGAAAATTGAGCCTAAAGCAAGTAGAAGGAAGGAAATAACAAAGACGCAGAAATCAATGAAACTGAAAACAAAAATAGAGAAAAATCGATGAAATCAAAAGTTAATTCTCTGAAAAGATCAATAAAACTAACAAATCTAGCCAGAACAAGAGAAAACACAAATTACCAATATCAGGAATGAAAGAAAAGACATCACTACAGATCTTACTGACACTAAAAGGATAATAAAGAAATCTTATGAACAACTTTATGCCAATAAATTAGATAACTTGAAATTCCTTAAAAGACACCAAAGATAACCTACACTAGTCCTATATCTATCAAATCCAGAACCTGTCTTTGGATTCAGATTCTGGATCCTCTACGTGTCTCTGAACCTTGGCAAGGGCATCTGTAAAATGGGGATAATCCATCACTTTCCCAGTGACTGAGAGGAATGAGGGAGAGAGCAAAGCGAAGGAGATGATGCATGCGTATGTAACGTGTAAACCGCGTGCTTCGCACTCTTGCCAGTTGCAATTAGGATTCTTCCCAAAGAGAGCTGGAGATAGACGGACTCTGAGTGGTCTGGGACAACGTCTGGGACACTGACAGGGCTGGTGGCTGGTGCAGGAGCCAGCTGGTCTGGGCTGAGCTCCATCATCAGCCTTCATTTAAGAAACGTTTCCTGAGTCCATGCAAAGCACAGGGCCAGTCCCTGTGGGGACCGAGGGCATGAATGAGGCTGACTCTTGGGCCCTGCCCCTGGGATTCACAGTTTCAGATCTCGAGAAACCTGAGATGAGAGGGAGCAGCCAGCTCCAGGGAGGGCCGTGGATGGATAAAGGTGTTTGCACTCTAAGTCTCTGCCAAACGAGTGGGGCTCCTCCTGCTCCCATCCCTCTCTGCTCACCTCCACATAATTGGCAGGAAAGATGCCCAGCCTGCCGTGGTGCTCCCCCTCCAGCCAGTTCTTGTCCACCTCCTTGTGGATGTAGACAATGTCACCCTTCTTCAGAGTCAGCTCCCTGCAGGCCAGAACAAGGACAACCGCAAGCTGAGGTCCTCCCGTTCTTCCGCGCGTCAGACCCCGTCCAGCACACCCAGAGTCCCCTGCACCCTCTGAGGACGCCCACTGCAGCCCCGTCCTCCTCTCCGCCCCAGAGTGCAGAGACGGCCCCAGGAGGAGGCGAGAGGTGGGTACTTACTTGGGGGACTGTGCCTGGAAGTCAAACTTGAGTCGGGCAGCCTTCCTCTAGGCAGGAGGAGGAAACAGAGGGCGTTACTTCAGCCAAGCAGGTGGCAGGTCTGGACCAGCAGTCACTGGACCCAGCCCAGGCCCTCCTTGCACCCTGACCCTATGCTCCCACCCCCCTTACCTTCTTCTCTTCCTTCCTGGCTGGGCTGCCCCCTCGTTCAGAGGCACTAGGGTCTGTGGAGAAGCACTGCCTCAGCTTGGGAAAGCCATGTCTGGGGGGGTGAGGGTGGGATGGGGTTGTGCCCCCCACCCCAGGACAGGCACCAGTGGGAGCAGGGGGATCTATGACCTTCCTGCCACCTCCGGGGGGCAACGAGCGTATCTGGTGCATGGTGGTGGGCGTCTGGATGAGAAAAAGAGCAGGATCGGGTCCTTACCTCGGGCGGTGGAAGGGTAGACAAAGTCCCTACGACCTAGGAAGGGGCTTCCTCCATCCGCCATTCTGTGGGGGCTCAGGGGCCGGGAGGGACACAGGTAAAGTGCATTCGGCGCGCTGGAGCTCCAGGCGGAGGCCGGGCTGCGCGAGGACACCCGAGTGAGCCACCTGTCTGGGCCTCACACCCTGCGCGCTCAGCCCTGCTGCCCAGGCGTCCCGCTCCCAGGTCCCAGCTCCCTACAGGAAAGGGCGCGGCCTGCGCCCCTCGCCCGCTCCGCCGCCCCTCCTGCCTGGGGCAGGTGGCGCTCCGAACCAGGGGACTGCCGGCCCCCCGCGGGCGCGCCTCCCCGCCGCCGCCACGTCCCCGCCGCCCCGCACTCACCCGGCGGGGGGCCGCGTCTCCCGCGACCGTCGGGGCGACCGGGAGCCCTGCGGGGAGACGGGCGCGGTCAGGCCGGACGCGTCCGCAGCCAGGCCGCCGCCTCCGGAAAACTTTGCAGCTGGGACGGGAAGGAGGCGGAGGCGCTGGACGCGGGGTCCTAGAGGCCCGGCTGCGGGCGGCGGGCGGGGCGAGGAGCGGGCGAGGCGGGGCGGTCGGAGCCCCAGGGCGGTGACGTGGCCGCAGCCGCGGAGCACTCACGCCCCGGGTCCTCTGCCGAGCCGGAGCCGGGACGGGGCCGCAGTCCGCCCGAGGGGCGCGCAGGCCTGGCGGCGGACCTCTGCTCGGCCGGCGCCTCCCACCCGAGCCCGGCGGCTGCGGCTCGGCTCCAGCGGCCGTACCTTCGGGGACGGCTGCCGGGTCTCAATTGCCCGCAGGTCCTTGTCCAGCTCCGCGCTCAGCTTGGCCAGCTCTCTCTCCAGCAGGACCTGGGGGCAGGTGACCGGGAGAGACTTGGGCAGTGCACAGTGGGCGGGTGCCGGTCAAAGGTCAGATGAGCAGCTCAGAGGGCAGCAGGACAAAGCCCTGCTTGGGTAAAGGGCAGGCTCAGGGCTCAGGGCACAGGGCCAGGACAGGCCCTCTGGCAGGAGGTGTGTCTCAGGGTGTCAGGAGGGCGCCCGTCCCAGCCGCTCACTGACCCTCCCTCCTGACCCAGCTCACCCGTCTGGTCCTCCCATGACGGCGCCTCAGTACCGTTTTTGTCACGTTATTTCTCCGCTCAAGAGCCTTCCGGCCTCCCTGTTTCTCTCCCATCCAGTCTTCCATGGCCTTCTCCAGTCTGGCCTCACTGTACCCAACCTGCTTTCCCTCCTTCTGCCTGGCCCAGCCGGCTGAGTGTTACCCACACACAAGGCCCTCCAGCCTTTGCCTCTGTGTCTCCTGCGCCCTGAGCACCTTCTCTCTGCCTGGCCAAGCCCTCGTGAGTCTTTAGAGCCCAGCGCCACCTCTAAGAATTCTTCCTGACAGTTCCAGTCCACGCTAACCACTCCCTTCTCTGCTCCTGCTGTGGTCAACACACATCTACTCAACACATGTTTGAGTGCGTGCTGTATGCCAGGCACTGTCCCTGTAAACTGTATGGGCTGGAGAGGGTCAGAGCTTTGGGTTGGTGGCCTTTGCCCCTGGTCACTGGGGCTAACGCTGCCCAGAATCTCCCTCATTTGTCCCCCAACACTGTGGTCTCCCCTCCCCACCACCTGCCCTGCAGCACTCACCTCGATGGGCTGGGAGGGCTGCTCAACAGGCTCATCCACCAGTGGTTTCTTGGGCTAAGGGTGGGAAAGGTGAGTCAGAGCAGGTGAACTCGCTTTCCAAAATGCACTAGCTGAGGGGTGCATCCACTTGGAGAGGACCAGGCCAATACTCACCTTCTGCCCAGTCTCCAGTTCTTGCAGAAACTGGTTCCAAGAATCTTCCGTCCAGATGTTGTCCACTTTCTCTCGGCGTCTGGGCACCTGCATGGAGGTGGGTGGGCATCAGCTTGAATGGAGGACTACTGGGACACTGGCCAGGCTCACAGAGCAGGCTTTCAGGTTACTGCCCCACCCCTATGCCTCCCAGTGCCCTCCCAAGGATTCGGGCTCTCCTGGCTGCAGCACATGCCGAGGGGCGCTGTGGGGAGGAGGCCGGGCTGGCTACCTGGTTTGGGGTCTGGAGCAGGGAGGAGGGCGCTCCAGGATTATGACTGAAGGTGCTTCTAGGAAACTCCTCAGCGAGGTCCCAGCTTCTTCTGCAGAAAGGGAAGGACATCTCTTCAGCTTCCTTTGAGGGAGACTGAGGCATAAGTAAGCACACAGCCCTCGTAGAGGGAGCTGCACTCGTCTCCGCACCTGCTCTGGACTGTGGGAAGTGTTCAATAGTGGGAAGTTATGAGCCCCAAGTTCAAACCCCAGCTCTGCCACTTAGCTGTGTGACCTTCTGGCAGGTTACTGAGCTCTCAGAGCCTCAGATTCAATGCCTGTAATAGGAGGGTCCCACCTTCGTAAGGGTGTGGTGAAAGTGAGGTGAGGGAACACACGACGCCACCCAAGGGAATGCCTGACATGAGCATCTGCTCCACGGGTGGCCAGTCCCTTTCCTGCTGGCCTTGGTGAAATAGCCTGCATTTGTGTTCAGATCTGTGTGTTTGTGCAGCTTCGATGAAGCTGGTCTTTCTGGCTGCCATGGCTGACGTGGTCTTGCACCCTTGCCCACGGGTGTGGTTCTACATCCTAGTTCAAGGAAAACCCAGGGCAGGGGACCACGCCTGCAGCCCTGACCCAGGAGCTCTGGGCAAGTTATTTCTGCTCCCTGGGCCTCTGTTCCCTGAGGGTGCCGGATTCAGTGACACCACCTGTGAGAGCCACTCCAGCCACTGAGGCGCTGCTCTGTCCCATTTGCCCTGGTTCCCCTTGGGGGCTCCCTTCTTGGCTAGCTTGAACGTTCCAGCCTCTGTTGAGTTTGAAGGTTTCCACCATATGGAAACACTGTACCAAGCTTATCAAACGATGGAATGTCTGACCAGAGGGTCAGGATTTGCTGGCTGTAATTATGACTCCATTCTCTATTTTAGAAATAATATTAGTAATAACAGTAATAATGACAATGGAATATGTCGTTCCTAACTTGAGGAAGCTCTGGTTATAATTAAGCCTGTATACTAATAATGCTTGTGGAGCCTTGCTATGTGCCTTAATCCTCACAACCACCCTGTGATCCCCACTTAGCAGACGGCGAGACCGAGGCTTAGACTGGTTAAGTTGCCCAAGGTCACATGGCTAGTGGCAGCACACCAGCGTGAATCCAGAGCTCTGGGTCCACATCTTGAGCTGTTAGCCTCTATCTTATTGATGATGCCGAGAGCCTCGATACGGCTACGCTAATGAGGTTATTCCTCCCTGTGAAGGAATAAGGAACTCATTGTTTCACTCAGAGCGAAGCTCCTGACTCGCGAGGGTGGAGCCCTCCAGGGCCCCAACAGCCCAGCTGGGCCTGTGGGCTTTGCGCAGAGGAAAGGGACTGCAGCATTCACCTATCTGGAGGGGCATGCGGGAGGAAACTTGGGGTCCTCTACACCCCTCGTTTTCTCTCAGGCTTCCCAGGGGATGGGCACAGGTCCACGCCCAGCTGTGGCCCCTGCTCTACACTCGACATGAACTGTGGATCTGTGGGGTGATGAGTTCCTGCTGCTGACCACAGAAGCATTGCAAACATTTCTGACCAGGAGTGGGTGCAGAGCCCACCCCTGCCCGCCACCCCCCATCCCCCCTGTCCCAGAGAGGAGTATCTGGTTTGGGGGGGGGGGGTGGGGCGCGGCCTGAGAAAGGGCAGGGCCATGGGGGAGTCAGACCCCAACCTGGCTGCTCCGAGTCTGTGCCGGCCATGCCCACCAGGGGGTGCCAGCAGTCTCCACAAGGAAGCCAGCACCCCTCTGCAGCCCTGGGGATGCCCTTCTCCGCCATGGCTCACCCGCTCAGACACGAAGCTTGGCCTGGCCTGGTAGCAGGTCTTTGCTGGAGCCCTGGACGCCTTGAGTCTGTAGAGGGGACACATGAGGAAGCCATTGCAGGTGAGAGAAGACAGGGCCGGGGGAGGTAAGAGCTAGAGTTGAAGGCATCTGGGTGACCACTGAAGGTTCTGGCACCCAGGCCCACCCACATTCCTGGGTGGCTCGTGGGAACAGGGGTGGTGCTCCCAACTACTAACTGTGGGCTTCGTGCCAAGAAGCCTCTTTGCTAAATCTTCAAAATAACTCTGGGGTGAGTGGTGCCCCCGTTTTACAGATGAGGAAAGAGAAATCACGGCCAGGACCAGGCATTCGCCGGACAGTAAGACTGAGGCTCTTAATGACCACCTACCAGGGAATTTGGAGCTCACAGGAAATGGGCTCTAAAAACTCAGGTTGAACTAAGCCAACTGGGGAGCCCCAAAGCCAGGCATGGCTGCAGGGAGAGGCAAATGAGCTGGGGCCCACTACCTGCACCCCCTCACCTTTGGGTGCTTCCTCCAAGGTCCAGTCCAGCTGCAGGTCTGCGGGAGCAGAAAGGAGCAGGTCAGGCTGGGGCAGCAAGCGAGGATGGAGAACTCTGTGAGGCTGCCTCAGCCACTCCCAGGCCCCCTCCTGCCTAGTGCAGGGGCCAAGGGGCTGAGTCAGGGCCTAAAGAATGTCCCGAGGGAGGTAAGGAATTGGGACGGCATTTCTCAGGAGGGCTTGACATGCCTCTGGCCGACTTAGGGCCTGAGCAAGCCAACTGGGCAGTGGACCTGCCCAAACCCTCCTGCTCCTCCCTGCTGTGTTCCCACACACACCCTCTCCCTGACCTCTGGGGACCTGCCCTTACCGTGTCAGGTGGGGGAAAATCACTTCCTCTGCTCCCGCTTTCCTTTTCTGCACCCTTTTCTAAATGCTTGTCCCTCCCCCTTTGCCCAGACCCACTCCTCAGCTCGTGACTTTCTGGGGCCTCTTAGGAAAAGCCACTGACCAGCCAGCCCATCTGATCCCCTTGACACGCGGACGTGCTGCGACAGCTCCCACCTTGAACACAAAGTGAAACACCCCTCTCCGATCTCACATCTTCCTCCAGCTCCTGGATTTTTCTGGTTGGCCATAACTAACTCACTGTCTCCAATTCCCCTTCTCACTAAGCAGGCTTTCAGCCTGAACCGCTCTCATCAAGGCTCCCGGTGACCTCCGCGTCACCAAATCCAATGGTCAGTCGTGCTGGCCCGTCAGCAGCCTCTGTCACAGGGAACACTTCCTCCTTTTGAAATTCCAGTTTCACTTGGCTTCAGGGAGACCACTCTGGTCTTCCTCCCATCTTTCTGGCTGCACTTCTCAGGCTGCATGGCTGCCTCCTGCTCAGCTATCGAACCTCGAAACATCCGAGAGCCTCAGGCTCAGACCTCGGGCTGCTGTCTCTTTATCTCCCTGGGTGATCTTGTCTAGTCTTTTGGCTTAAAAAGCACCATCTATTGCAGGGCTTCACAACCTTGGCTGCACAGTAGAATTACTTAGGGAGCTTTAAACCAAAATTTCTTTGAGTGAGTCCCAGGTATTTCTATCTGCAGCTTAGGCCTCACTCCTAACTACAGACTTGTGTACTAACGGCCTGCTCGACATCTCCACGCGGATGTACCGGATCTAAAACTGACTGACTCTTACACTTGCACCTCCCACAGTCTTGCCTGTATTTACAAATGACAACTCCATCCTCCAGCTTGCTCAGGTTTAAAGTCATCCTTGACCCCTCTCAGTAGCCCGCTGCTACAGCCCTGGTCTGAGACACTGTCATCTCCAGCCTGGATTAAAGCCAGGCCTCCTAACTGGTCCCCTGCTTCCACCCCTGCCCCACCATCTCTTCCCCACCTGGCAGCCAGAGCGAGCCTTTTCAGCCATTACTTGTCAGAGCACGTCACGCTTCTGCTCAGAATTTCCCAGTGGCTCCTCAGCTCTCGCAAAGTAAAAGCCAAAGTCCTTATTATGGCCCCAAAGGCCCTGCATGACCCAATCCTGTCCCCTCTCTGACTCCATCTCCCACCACACGCCCCCTCTCACTCCAGCCCAGCCCCTCCTTGCTGCTCCAGAACATGCCAGGCCTGCTTCTGCCCCCGGGTCTCTGCTGCCCCCTGCTGCCCCGCTCTTCCCAAGCCCTGCAGCGCTAACCCCTTCACGCCCAGCTCCCCGCCCAGCTGCCCCTCCTCAGGCCCTGCCTGACTGGCCCACAGCGGCTGGCAGCCTCCCTGTGCTGGGCCCTGGCCTTGCTTTCCCTGGCCCTCACCACCGTTTGCCACGTGAGACACGCCTCTGCTGATTCTGTCTGCTCTGTCTCGGCTTCCCCAGGGCAGGGAGAGTCTTTTCCGTTCCCTGTTTTATCTTCAGCACCTAGGATAGTGTTCGGCACCCAGTCTGGGCTCAACTGATGGTCCAGGGACTGCCTGAATCAGCGACTGACCTCATGGCTTCCCAGTATCCTCAGAGGATACCGGGGACAATGTTGGTCATTGTCCCCCAAGGACGGTGAGCGGGGGAGACTGGAGGCTCCTTTTGGTCTGTTTCAGGGACCACTCACCACAGAGCCTGGGGTGGGTGGAGAAGCCCCCCCTTGAGTAGATGAGTTCCCTTTTCTGCCCCCACTGCCACCCCAGCCCCAGGGGCCTGAGTCCACTCAGGCAGAGAGAAGGCCCTGGGAGGGGGTCTCACCTGGCATTTTCCGGTGAATCTGCTGGAACATTCTCCGGTACCAGTCCCTGGGGCTGTCAACGCTCTGGGATCACAAAAGGCAAAGTCAGGCCACCCTCCCAATATGGAGTCACAGAAGCTCTTCCTTACTGAGTCCTTTCTCTGGCCACCCTTGCAGCCCAGTGGGTGGGCTGTGTGATATTTTTAACAACAATAACTTCACGCAGCGTGTTCCATATGAACAAGATACATGGGGGGCCAGCCCAGTGGTGTAGCAGTTAAGTTTGCATGCTCTGCTTTGGCACCCGGGGGTTCGCCAGTTTGGATCCCGGGCATGGACCTAGCACCACTTATCAAGCCATGCTGTGGCAAGTGTCCCACACATAAAACAGAGGAAGATGGGCACAGATGTTAGCTCAAGGCCAATCTTCCTCAAAAAAAAAAATCAGGGGAAAAAAAAAGATACATGGAAGCATCTCCATCACTGATGATCCCTGAGTTGTGAGACTGGGTGCTTTACGTTTTTTCTCCTTGCTTTTCTCTGTTTCTGATGTTTCCACAGAGAACATGTGTTTCTAGGTCATGAAAAATAAATGCAATGATACAGGGGAATGCTTTCTCACATCCCCTGCTCACCTGAGACTCAGCACAGCCCTGGGAGGCAGGAAGGGCATGCTACCAACTGCAAGTTCAGATGAGGAGGTGGAGAACCAGAGGCAGGTGGCTGGCTCACCACAGGCATGGAGGCGGAAGTGGGCAGAGCCCCCCAAAGCCTGGGCCCCGCGTCCTTCCACGCCTGCCACAGTGTGAGGCCTCTCACTCAGGACTCCCACTCACTCATTCAGCCAGTCATTCATTCAGCAACTATTTCACGAGCGCCCGTGCAGGGCCCTGGGGCTACGAGACTAAGAGTGTCCCTGCCAGGGTCGGCCCTCCCAACAGTGGCTCTCCACCAGAGGCTCTCCACCTGGGGCATTCTATGTCCCCCTCCCCCCAACAAATCACTTGTGCAACTCACACACACAAGAGTGCCCATAACTTTACGGGGCTTATGACCTCCCAAAACCCATCATGGTTGAACCCCTGCTTTAGTCTGGAATGGTTTGGGTACAGCTCTTATGGCACCCACTTTAGTTCACACAAGTAAATCATCTCAGTGGCCCCCAGCCCTGGACTCACAGATCGGGGGGCAATAGGCATGCCGCTCTCATCCACAGGCCCGATTCCCTCATACTTGACCCAGCGCTTGTCTCGGCGTTTGCTGTCCTTGGTCCATGTGGCTGACCAGTCCTGAGGATGCTGGGAGGCTGGGGTCTTCTGGCTCCCAGAGGGCCGGCTCCCAGGCCCTGGCCAGGTCTGATACCAAGCAGGGTCTGTGGGGCATGTGCAGGAGAGCATTAGCAAAGGGCAGGGGCCCCACCTGAACTTATTTGTCCCTTAGCTCCTCAGAACACTGACCCCTGTGGGTTCAAAAGTTTCAGCATCTCCTTTGTTGGAGTTGATGACGCAAACTACTAATCTCCCCATCCCCAGCAGGACTGCAGGCCTCTGTTTATTTTTCACTAAAAGTGAATGAAAATGGATTTTGCCTTGAGAAATCTGTGCCTACCCCCGCCCAACACTGCTTTCCTGGGGCTGTCCTAAGAGTTTTCAGAACAAGGGCTGGGAATCATTACTTGCAGAGAATGCTGGGGTCATCCTAGGCGGGGAGACAGCAGGATGTGGCAGAGAAGATGCTTGGCTTGGAGGGGACAGACCTGAATTCAGACCCCGGCTCTGCCACCTAAACTGGCTCTGTGACCTTGAGCATAGCAATCAACCTCTCAGGGCCTCAGCTGCCACTTCTGTAAAATGAGGGGAACCGTGCCAAAGATTCAGTGTGATCTAGTGTGTGACCAGCACACTGCTTCACACACAGTCAAGAGGCCCCAATAAGGGACAGAAACACATTCACCAGACGTGGCTACTGTGCCCTCAACTTTCCCAGAACCTTCAGCCCCCAGGTCACCAGGGTAGCAGCGTAAGGGCTTCCGGGCCGGACGAACAAAGGTTTGACTCTCAGCTCAGCCTCTGCGACTGAACATCTCTGAAACTCAGACTTGTCACTGAGAAGATCCTGATAACTGTGACTTACCCTGCCAGTATACCAAGGGATTAAATGAGAAAAGGCTTGTAAAGTGTCCTTACAGTGTCCGGCATGCTCTAAGTGTTCAACAATTATTTGTTAAATGAACAAACTACTTGACATAGTGCCTGCCTCAAGGGAATGCTCAATACAGGATGCCACCCTCCTTAGGAGAGAGGCCTTCAGGGTGGGCCCACACCCAGGAGGTCCCAGGATCTCCCAGACCACATGGGCCAGGCTGGGGTGATTCACAGGAGCCTAGGAGCTGACAGGCTCTCAGAGCTGCCTCTCCAAGTTTCTGCTGGGCCGGTGAGTACAGACCTTAAGGTGCAGCTCCCACCCCTTCTACAGCCAGCTTATGCTCACATTCCTCCACCCTTCCATCCCTGACCCAAGCTATTCCCTGGCCTGCCGGAGGTCCCCCTGGGCCCCAAAGGCTGTGTTCCCTGCACACTTCCTTCCCTGGCACTGGTGGGGGGGTGGGTATCTGCCTGTTCTCTCCCACCGAGAATTTCACTCCCACAGGCCAGCATGCCCACACAGGGAGGGGCAGTTAGCTGAGCTCAGAGACCTCCCATCCTTTTCCTGCCCCTCCTGCCAGACCCAGGGTGGTACCAGATGGCAGAGCCCAGGAGGTCCTGATCCCTCAACCCCCACATGGGATCCCTGAGCAGACCCACCTGGGTGCCGGGAAGCATCTCTCCTCGGTGGGAAGTACCCATTGCATACAGTCCTGGGCGCAGGATCATGGAACTGGAAATTAAGGGTGTTGGAGCCACCATTCCGGATCACGGGCACCTGTGGGGAGGGGCCAGGAGCAGCAGCTCAGGCCCAGAGGGTTCTGCAGAAGGCGGGAGGGATGGCTACCAGGGTACAGCCAGAGCCCGTGCTGAGGGCTGGAGGGACAGCGTGACCCTTTTGTGGGAAGCCAGCAAGGCTCTCTAGAGCTTCCTCCAGATCCTTCCCTCCCTCCATTCCTTTAATCCTCCTGCCCCTACCTGTCCTGCGAGGTTCCCACCAACTGTGGGTCCACAGTACCCCCTCTCCCTCACTGTCTCACTCACCTGTGTTCCCCGGGAAGATGACCCTAGGTGGGCCCAGAGGTGGCCCGGGATGAAGTCGTCCAGGCTGAGCCCAGTGGGAAGGCTGCAGGGTGGGGCCTGCATCCTTGGGTCAAGGTCGGAGGACTCCGGGTGTGCCAGCTGCTCCACTGTGTGTCCTCTGTGGGGAAAGAAGGAGGAAGGAAAAGTCCTTCTGAGCCCAGGCTGCCGTGGCCCCTGGGCTTGACCTCCAGGTGGGGAGGAGGGGACGGCTGTGGGAGGGGTCAGGGCCAGCTGGGTGGGAGCTGACGGACCCAGGAAACAGCCAGAGCGGGCACCCGCCTGCAGGCTGCCCGTGCCGGCTCCCAGAGGCACAATGGGCTGCTTGTTGGGCCCTGGGCAGGAGCTCTGGGTGGGAGTGGGGGAGGGGAAGGCCTGGGCAAGGAGGAGGAGAGGCTGGCCAGGAGCAGACCTGCTGGACAAAGCCTGGGGCACATGGGCCTGCTGGCCAGCCCCTTTGGGGCTCTCACTGTACAGTGCAGCCCGCTCCCCCAGAGGGAAGGCACAGGGAACTGGGGCAGCTGGCAAAGACAGGCCTGGGCACTCAGGACTTTGTTTCCATTCCCTCTGCCTCCCCCAGGCCCTGTGTGAGCATCTGCTCGCCAGCGGGCACAAGGGGTTACTCAGACCAGGGAAGAAGCCCTGGACAACAGCAAGGCCACCGGCCTCCTGCCCAAAGGGGCCAAGGTTCCAGGGACTGGGAGAGCGTGGGGGCACTTCCAGGCAGCAGGAACCACTCCTGGGCTCAGAGTTTCATCTCCCTTCTTTGGCATCCTTTGCTTGCTAGGACTGAAGCCTCAGAGGGCTCAGGGTGCCGATAAGGGGTGGGAGCGGAGAGGGAAGAAGTAGCTGAGGGCAAAGCTGGACTTGTTCATGGAAGAGTGCTGCTGAGGGCTGTGCACGCACCGCCTTCCCTTACCCCTCCAGGCTGCTTTTTGAGCAAAAGATCTTCCTGGGCGCACCATGCTTGACTGGCCAGCTAGGTTCCTCTGCCCTATGCAAAGGCTGGGTCAGGGTATGGGGCTCCCGGCACCCCAGAGATAGAGGCAGGATGGCTGTCCAACAGGGCTTTTCTACCCAGGCAGCTGAGGTCTGGAGCCTGTCCCTTCTCACCTGTGCTGTTGGACCGGGCCAGAAGCTGAGCCAACCTCCACCGCCTTCTGGGGCTGGGCCAATTCTGGCACTTTTGTTCAGTTAGGCTTGTGCGTGCCTCTGAGTTCTAGGGGTTCGCGGGAGGGCTGCAAGGTCCTTGTGAGGTGCTGTGTGCGTGTGTGTGGTGGAATGTAAGCGCAGTGCTGTGAATGTGACTTGTGGGGATACCACCAGGGGTCATGTGAGCAGCATGAGGGTTGTGGATACAGACAGCTAAGTAGTAGGTGGGGGAATGTGCAGGGGGGGGGGGGTCATATCAGCAGCACAAGAGTTATGGGGACCAGGGGGAAGGTAGAATAGGGGCTGTGATTACTCCTCTACCCAGTTCCTGCTCAGGCCATGGGGGGCTGGAGGGTACAGACAAGGCTGGCGGCAGTTCTGTCTCTGTTCTGAGTGGGGGTTCCTTCTGACATTCGAAAGACCTACGGGGACATAGCTTTTCCGTGCCCATCCCTGCCTGCGAGGGGAGTGGAGGGCTGGGGCTGGAGGAGAGCCAGCTCACCAGCTGGATCCAATTAGGACTCCTACCAAAAGCAAAACAGGCAGACACGCCCCAGTTCTGCTGCTCTCCCTCCCCTCGCAGGGAAATTGAGGCAAGGAAGAGCCTGAGATCTGGAGGCCGGTTCCTAGCAGCAACCCCTCCCTGCCCAGCTGACTGCTTGAGGCCAAACTGCAAGGTCAGCATCAGCAGTCTCAGCCATCAGCTGACCCCGGCCTCCTTCCCTCGCCTCCATCCCACCCTGCTGTGCTCAGTGAGAACTGCCCTCTATTAGGATGGGGAGAGCAGGAGGTCCCCCCACACCCCGATTTTTCAGGGGTTGCTGTTCCATGGTGGCTCAATCTGCCTCTCCCCAACACTGCTCCCCGGTGGCACCCCCCAGGGATATGCAGGGGTGGGTGAGCAAAGGTGGCTGAGTTTCTCTCCTGGCACCGTGCCAGGAGACTTGAGGACTTCTCATAGGGCAGATGGAGGCACGGTGGAATTGGTCCCACATCTGGCAGAAGACAGAGGGTGCCAGGAAATCTCCCGGGACCCCCAGAAATTCAGGCAGCCCTTCACCCCCGCAGCCAGCTCCAAAGGGCTGGAAGAGCTGAAGCAGCCCTGCTGGAGTGGGCAGACTCCTTCCCACCTCCAAGTACCGCCCTGACCTTGGCGCTTGGCTCCCGGCGCTTTCCCGGGTATTTTCCAGCTACAAGTCCACCTGGACAAGGACAGGTTTTCTCGAATTTTGCCTTTTTTGGATTGAGGGAAGACCTCTCACCTCTACCTCAGAGTTTGGGACAAGGACCCCAGGAGGAGGGGCCCTCTGCCTTCCCTTCGGGTCGGGCGCGGGACCCTCCGGGACTGCGGCCCCCGCCTCCTCTCCCTCCCGGCACCTACCTTCCCCGGAGAGCAGGTGGCGGGGCCCGGGGACGCCCTGCAGGGCAGGAGCATCTCTGCCCGGCTCCTGCCTGGCGCGGCCGCGGCGGGCCCTCGGGGAGGGAGGGCAGGCAGCAGTCTGGGCTGTGCCGGTCGCCCTCGTGACCGGGTCAGGGCGGGCTCCGCGGGGCCCGCGCCCGAGGGGGAAGCGGGGGACCGACGGGCCGAGGGCGCGCGCCGGGAGGACGGGCCGTGAGAGGCGCGGGCGGCGGCGGAGTGCCTCCCTCCCGTCCGGGCGGCGGGCCGCGGCGCTGGGGGCGGCGACTCCCTCTCCCGCCGCGGCCGGGGCGTGCGAGTGCCCTCCGTCGGGGCCGGGCCGGGCGGGGCGGAGACGCCGACGCCCCCGCCGAGGGGGCCGGGCCGGCGGGAGGCGGCGCCGGGAGGGGCCACCGAGGGTCCCCGGGGAGCCTGCTCGGGTTTCCCAGCTGCCTGTCCCGGCCCCCACCGCAGGGCTGGCGTCGGGGCGGGGCGGGGCGGGAGGACCGGCGCGCGCCGCTCAGAGTTTCCAGCGACATTTCCAGCGTGTGGGAAGCGAGCCTCGCGCGGCAGAGCCAGGACGGAGGGCCGGACTGACTCCAGAGGCCAAGCCAGCAACTGATACGGAGCCGGCAGCCTCGGAGACAGGGCCGGGATGCAGACAGCCTGGGGCCGAGATAAGGGCGCCACAGGCAGAGAGGCCTAGCGGGCCGAGTTCAGGTCCCGCCGTCCCTGGGGAGAGCGATTTCGTGCTTGCGTAAGCGCGCGCCCGGGCGTGTGCAAACACACAGGCGCACACGCGCGCGTGCACTGCAAACGGGCGGATGCTCACACACGTGCAAGCACCGCGGTGGGCAGCCCGGAAAGGAAATCTGCCGGAGGGAGCGGCCCCTCCCCGGGCGAGCCGCGCCCCTGAAGAGGATGAGGGCGGGGTCCCTTTGGCCGAGATGGGGTTACCAGGGTCTTGGTGTTCCCATACACGTATTTGTTTTGATCTTGCTGCTTTTCCGCTGTTCCCGCTGCTCTGACACCGGTCCCAAGAGCCCGCGCCCAATGGCTTCCCACCCGCCTGGTCATCCCTCTTCCTCTCCTCCCCCAAGCCTCTGTGTGGGCACCGGGCCTGTCGTAGAAAGTGAGGATGTTTACTGGATGTTTACTGCTGATAGACAGACTCTGGAGTACTTCTTAGCCCTTGGCTTGGTTCTGGGACCCCAAGCCCCAAGCCAACCAAAGAGCAAATAGTTATTGGGCAATTTCAGATCCATTTTGGGAGTGACCAATTATAAATTATGAAAATATGAAGACGTTTATTGCATACCTACTGGGTGTAATATTGGTGCCCTGAGGCCACCGTGTACTTTAGAGTGTTTTCCAAACACATCATTCAACCTTCAGAGGGGAGAAGGAAGGGAATGGAGAAAAGATGAATGTTTTCTTAAATTCCTACCATCATTGATGCTATTAGCTCTATCTTTTCTCAACTGAGTTAAAAAAAGGTCCCAGTCGTAGTGAACCAGCTTGAAACAATATCACACGTGAAAAGTGGAAGTTAAGGTTGAGAAGAAGCTTAAGAGAGAGGCATGCTGGCTCGCTCCCAGTGTCTTCAGGACTGCGTTTGCACAGACCCGGCTGCCCCGGCAGAAGAGGGACCATTGGGCACCCATTTGGAAGCAGATCCACGGTTTCCAAGGAAGAGCTTTTAAACGGTTACAGGAATTCTGTAATCTGCCAACCGTGGGGCACCTTTGTAAGGGCAATTATTACACTGAGAAGGGAGCTGAACAGATCTCCTTGGAGGCCGCCCTTCCAAGAATCAGTGATTCTCCAGGAGAGCTGAGGGGCTGGGGTGAGGGTAGGGGGGGGCCCTGCCCACGGAAGACAGCTGCAGAAAAGAGTGTGGGAGCTCTCCGACTTCCTGAGGGCAGGCAGAGTGCATTTTTCCTCCCCTAAAGCTTGGATACTTACTTACTCACCCCTAGGCACCATTTTCTTCCCTCCCGCAGGGACAAAATATGTACCCATTTCCCTTGTCACCAGTTTCTCCCACCTGTCAGGATCCTCACGACTAAGAAGGGCCACATCTCCTTCATGTTCTTCTTTGTTCTCCAAAGATGGTGAAGCTGAAGATCTTCCAACTCCAGGAATCCTGGCCATACCCTCTCTCACCAGCAGCGAGCGTCTTACTCTCTAGGGCTCTCACCTGGACTCCAAGATAAATATTTAATGTAGAGGGTGCAGCTGAGCTGACAAGGGGCCCAACTTCCTGTTTCTCACACAAGGAGGTGGCAGCCATGGGCAAGGAGCTGGGGACTGGCTACCCGTTTCATCTCTATGGGAATAGGGAGTCCAGTAAACAGCTTTGTAGGAGGAGGCGGGGTAGGCCCTGCTGGAGACCTGAGCCTTTCTCCTGGGCTTCTTGGACTTCTGCTTGTCTACTTGGGCCCGGGCTCTGCTGCGCTTATCCCCTTCTCTCTCAGGTCAGAAACCCCTTTGCCCTGGCACCAGTGGAAATCACCCTCCTTCCCAGAGTCTTAGGCTATGAGCTTGGACAGGAGCTCTAACAGGCTCCCTCCATCATGTTCTCTGGTGTCCATCCAGCCTCACAGAAGAGAGGAAGAGATTGGTGGAAGCATAGAGCATAAGGAACCTTGACTGACTTCTCTTTTTCTGCCCATATTTAAGGAGAATTCCTCCTCTTTGAAAAGTGGGAGATTAAGGGGGTACAGTAACAAAGTCCAGAGATTCATCCAAGAACAGGTGTCCGATTTCTCAGCTCCTCCCTGCAGCCTCAGCTCTACTTGCTGCTGGTGCAACCCGGAAGGCAGCTGGCATGGTTTAGGCAGAGGCTGAGGACAGGGAAGCCTGTCCTAGGTGACTTGGCTGGTGTCAATAACAAAGCAGATTCCTTTCATCCCAATCCACTATCTCCTCTGGTGACTCCCTTATTATCTAACAGGGACCTCCCTCCCTGTAGCTTTCCCCATCTCTGGCACTTTCTTTTGTCAGGGGGCTGCCTCTGTCTTCTTAGAGCCATTTCAGCCATAGTAAACAAAGTTATGTAACTGCTCTGTTTTTTGCCTAGCTATCTGGTTCTGGTCAGCAGGATGCCCCACACCCACCCTGCTCCTGAGGCTGCCACCTTGTACTTTATGGATTACTCCTCAATGGCACCCATGTCAACAGAAGTCTGTTCACACCCACCACCCTAAGGGATGATTAGCTAAGAGACTACCAATAGATGTTGTGGCTCTTCGCACAGAGTGGGGAGAAGAGGCTGGCTGCTCCTACAGGAATATGGGTCACTCTGAAAACCAACCTTGGTCACCAAGAGCACAGATAAATGGAAAAAGCACTTAAGTAGATTTTTTTTTGTAATTGAGTAGGGTGACCAGAGACTTCAGTTTTCTCAGATGGGAAAAAGAAAGCAAGGGATCCCAGAGAACATAAACCTGAACTCTTGTTTCTTGAGGAGTGTCTTTATCTAGTGCTGGGAGTCTGGCATTCGAATGACACACTCTGAGACTACCCTGAGCAGCCAAGTGGCTCCCTGGCTCTGTGCCTCAGTCTCCCCATATTAGAGAAAGGAAGGGCATTTGCTCTTGCTTCTCTCCTCCTCCCCAGGGATGAAGTCTGGTATATTTTTTAGTTTTTTATTTGTGCTCTCAGAAAAGAGTTTTCTTCTTGCCAGGAGAACTGAGGAAGCAGACCAGAATGGATTAGCAGAGAAAGCACTGTCCCTTCTGAGGAGTTTGGATTTCTCTAGAAGGGAAGACCACAGTGACCCATGGGAAGGAATTGAAACCAAGTCACATCAGACACACCAGTACAAATCTGGACCATGTTTCATCCCCTGGGCTCCATCTCTTTTTCTGGTCCTCTCCTGATTCCAGCTCCTGATGTTGCCAAATTCTACTGATGGCACTTGTCTATGCCAAACACTCATGGGAACAAGAACAACAGAAGAGGGACACAAGTGGCCCACTGCGGGGCTTGGAAGACTCTCCTAAGCTGACAATGGCATGACCTGGTCCCTCTGGAATCCAGGTTTTTTGGTTAAGTCACTCTAAAGTAAGGGATCTCTGTGAGTGCAAAAATACCCAGTACAGGTCAAGTGTGGTCAGTGCTGGGGCCGAGCAGCTAGGGTGAGCGGATCCCCATGGGAACAGAATGAGGCTTCCAGGCCTGCCATGCAAAATCTTTCCATAGCACACACATGATGTAACAGGCATCTATTCAGGGTTCTCAGAGTCGACTATACCCAAACCCCAAAGGCTGTGAGGGCACTCAGCCTTTTTTCCAGTTAGTCCTTCTTCAAGGAAGCCTCTACACTGACATCACATCAGCCACTGTTCTCTCTTTCCTTCTGTCTTTTTATAGATAAGCAAAAAGGACAAAGTGCAGATGGGGTGTCCTTGAGAAGAACTGAGCTGCATGAACCTCTTTTAGGTCTCAGGAAAGAAAGAGCAAAAGGCTGTCAGCTCTTTAGGAAGCAGATTTTTATAAGAGAAGGATAAATAAGTGATGAGCTCAGAGGGAAAACAGCCAAGTTAACTCAGCCACAAAGAAGGGCACACAGACCAGGACCTGGAAAACTGGGTCTGCATCAACCTTCTTTCCTAGCGCAGCTAAACGGAGCTCGGGGAGATACAAGGGCTGATTTCCTGGCCAGTGGACACTGCAAGGGGCTGCTTTGGCCTCCAAACAAAGAATAACCTTGTCTTCCCACCTCCTTCAATTCTTGGATGAACCTTCTCCTGAACTGCAGCAACCTTAAAAAGACGGCCTAATTTACCTTTAAGTTATTAATCCACTGTATCAAAATTAAACAGACTTTCTTTCTAAAACCTGAAAGTTGTGATAAAAAAACAAAAAGACCATGCAATTACATACAACAGGCAAGAAAGAGGGATTGGATCTAGACGTAGTAAGAGTCGAACATGGATTTGCATTTGAGTTCTTAAATTCCAGGCTTGTACAAAAATTTTTCACAACTCTGGAAATAAGGGCAGCTATTATCTCATTCTGCTGAAGGTTTAGCTGAGGTATAAGGACACTGCTAAGTCAGGACACTCTTCGGATAACAAGATCCCTGAATGCATCTCAGCTCTTTTGAAAGGAGAAATCTGGGCTCGCTCTCTGGCCTGCCTGTAAACTGCACTGTGGCCCTTATGTGGCTGTCCTTACAGTCAAATTGCTGGACTGAGGCCTGGCGGGGCTGAGATCGAGACTTCTCACCTCTACTGCCACAACCCACAGCAGTCCCTCCGATACATTCTCCTCCTCAAGGGCCCTGGGCACTTTCTCCACCCTCAATCCCCCACTGGACTAGAGGAGGTTATTTTTCCTTGTGAATACATAGCACTTCGTGATATTTCTGCTTTTCAGAGGAATCAAAAGGCTGGTCTGACACTTCCTTTTCTTGGTGGTCCAACTCCACATTCAACTCCTCTCGCTGGCTTCTTCGACTTCTCTCAAGATAGAATTCATCCATGTCTATTATTAGGATCACATGCAGACATTAAATTACTGTAATAAAAATTATTTTTATCTTTTGTAAAGACTGTATGTTTTCTGGGATGTCTGTCTTCCTTTCTTCAAGTAGCGGCCTCTGCCGGAGAAGCCACAGAAAGAGCTGGGACTTCAGCATGAATTAGTGGTGGGCAAAGTGCCAGGAAGGAGGCTGGAACAAGGGAATGGATTCTGGGTGGGAGAAATAGAAACACCACTATAGCCAGTAAAGCCAGTTTAAAACTGAAGGGCTGAAGAGGTGAAGGAAAGAGGTCCTTTTTATTGTGGTGGGATTCCTTTCCTTGACAGGGGAATTCTTTGGCATTATCAGAGACCAGACATCAAAGGTCAGGCTTTCTCTTGGCTTCTGAAATTACTACCTCCACCAGGAAATAAAGACACAGGGAGCCGATAAAGTTATCACTTAATTTTAAGAGTGTTTCCTTCTTTTTTTTAAAAGACGACTTCCAATTTACAGTAAGAAAGTTTCAACATTAATTTCTTGTTCACAAAAAAGACGTATTAATTGATTTCTGCCAATAAATAACATTTACACCATTTTCTTTAACATGATTCAAAGCATGAAAAAGCAAGTAATCTCTAAGCACAAGCAAATAATCCATCACTCAGAAAAGCCTTAAAAAAAATTACACCACCAGCTGGTCTCACATGTCTGACAACCTCAGTTAGGAAGCAAAACTAGATCGTTTCCTGGAAGATGCCCTGCTGACATTTCTATTAGGAAAAATAGCTATTGGTCACAGGGCACTGAGAAAGGAAAAGTGAGGCCTTCATGATGGCATCTTCAAGAAGGACATCTTTACTGCCTCAAATTAAAATCTATGGGAGGCCTCCTCCGCATTACACGGACTTCACTTTCACATGCCAAAAAAAAAAGTTATTTGGAGACAGCTATGTCAAAGGAGTGAAGGGGTTCTGGGCAAGAACTTACAGGAAAGGCAGTGTGCTTGGCCTTACTTTAGAGCTGCTCAGAGGGATGGTCCATGTCCACGTCCTCGCTTCTTGACCTTAAGCCACCTACACTTGTCATGAGGGTGTAGAAGAGAAGATGCATAACCCTGTCTCAGACAAAGGTGTTATTTCGCAAGTCTTGCTGGGGCTGCTGGGGCGTGAGGCCGAGGCCTCCCGGGAGGGAATACACTCTCCAGTATCATCTTTACCTTTGTGACTGCATAGATGAAGGTAGCTAACCCTGACCCCATTCACTCTGGCTGGCCAGACATAGGCATGTCAGGTCACAAGTCTCAAAGTAAAACAGGTCCCCTCTTTACACTCTGTCAATGGCACAAAGCTCTATTGTTAATAGTTCTCTGCTTGACTCAAGATAAGAGTAACAACCTTGTTTTTTGACTATGCAACTTTCTCCCTCTACACACATCTGCTCTTTCTCATGGCCTTCCCAGGAGCATTTGATCACAGCAGTGCTAAAGAGGGTCTGTGGCGACATGATGCTTCGGAACTTTCTTCCAGGTAATCCAAACCCTCCTCAAGCTATTGTTGGGGCTCCCGAGGCTGTCCTCTGCTCCCCCTCATAGCAGACTTCAGAAAAGATGCGGACAGGGTGCCGACAACGTGGTTATAACCACAAATGATTTAGGAAATCGGAGCCTCATCCCCACAACTGGGGCTCTGGGTTCACACTCCCTCTGAAACCTTTTCTGCCTGGGTGGAGAAATCTGAATAATGCTTTGAAAAAAACCCCTGGGTTCTACTGTTACTACAGCAACTGTAATAAGTACTGGGGATTCTAGAACGATATCTCAGTAAGTCTTTACGGGTTTGAAAATAATTTTCAACACAAAAACTGGGGAGAAAAACTTGATAATTAATACGAAGAAAAACTATCAATCAGTCAATCTGGGGCAAGTTCTTCCTAAACCATTTTAACTGACTGGTCACCCAGATTGGTTAGGTGGAACTTAATTCTCAAGAGCTTGAGTTTTGTTTATTTTGTTGTTGTTGTTGTTTTCTGAGGAAGCCTGGCCCTGACATCTGTGCCCATCTTCCTCTACTTTATATGTGGGACGCCTACCACGGCATGGCTTGCCAAGCAGTGCCATGTCTGCACCCGGGATCTGAACTGGCGAACCCCGGGCTGCCAAAGGGGAACGCGTGCACTTAACTGCTGTGCCACCGGGCCGGCCCCAAGAGCTTGAGTTTTATATTTATAGATAATACAGTCAAAAATTCTGGAGATCGGCTACAATAGTTACATAAAACAAAGCAGGGCAGAGGAGCAGATTCCAGCCTTACTCATTCTGAGAGGCTGGAGACTCTTGAGTAATGGCGCAGTAAGCCCAGCTGTATCTTGTGTAGACATGGTTTATATTTTTCATACAGAGAGCAGCTGCCTCAAACTGTGTGTTATAAAATGACTCAGAAGAGGATCTAAGGGACTAATGCCAAGGCTGAAAGGCCCCAAATTTATCCAATTTTAGGAAATCCCACCCTTGCTCCTTAGTGACATTAAATGATGATATACTGTTGACAAAACAAATCAGGGTTTTTCTTTCCTTGAGCAGTGTCAGGAAATCATGCCTAAAGTTATCAGGACAAAAAGCAAATCTTTGCTATTTAGAGAAACTTGCTTCACTCAACTGCAATTGTTCACTTAGGAACAGAAAAGGCAATGTAATTATAGATAAAAGGATGTGAAAAATACTGACACACCTGGAGAGGCTGATTCTTTTATCCCTAGGCAAGGAGCCAGATCAAGCCTATCAGAGTGTAATAAGCAGTTTACAATTTGCTGGTCTATATCTAGTCACAAAAGGCCAGCAAATCACCAATGTCTATACGCATAACCAGAGCATTACCTTGAATTCTGTTACTCAATGTTTTAAAGAACATCAAGGCTGCTTTTGTTTGAGCATCCTATTACACACACCCACACACCCACCCACACACTTGCACACACTCACACATATTCGCTCACATTCCCCCCACACTCACACACCCACATACCCACACATCCACACTCACACACACACCCCCCTGGCTGATTGCTTTGCTTTTGCTCTAAATATTCAGATCACAAAGATTAAAAAAGGATGTATGTTTTGAACTTGTGTTAGATGAGGTTTTAAATTTTTATTTAAAAAAACAGTCATCTGATCAATTTGAAATTTCACATAATGTGGATGTAAACAAAACTGGGAAAAGTGGTCCTTGGGAAGTGTCATTCTAAAATGGGGCCTCAGAAAAGTTCACAAAGGGGCCCTCTGACACGTCTAGGGAACTGATGTAAGATGTGGGTTCCCCCTCACCCCAGAGGAGAGAGAAGCTGAAGAAATAAGGTCCCTAAGGACCCTACAGTGAAGGCGAACGGGAGAAAACTATTTCAGTATCTTTAGAACACGCAGGGGAGAAGATCTAACAAAGAGAAGAGGCTTTGAAAGGGCCAGACTGCAGACCGCTGACAGCAGTTAAACGTCTGAAATGAGGGCCCTAGGCGGGAAGAGGAATCCTACGGCAAATTCAGGGCAGGCAGCCAGCCATCTTAGGAGCTACTGTTGAGAGTAAAACCTTCAAAAACATGTTAAAACCCTCCAATGAAGTCTAAAGTGAGAAGAAGTACTATTATTCCAGTATTTTCCTAAGGTTCATGCCTTCTACACTGTCTTGAGTCAGAGGGACAAATGCACATGTAGGTACACTAACTGACGGTCTCACTTTAAGAGGCTATCTGTATCATATAGACACACCATACGACTTTCTAAATTGTTGAAATACACACTCCACCTTTTTTGAAAGGTCGGTCCTCAGCTAACATCTGTTGCCAATCTGTTTTTTTCCTTCTCCCCTAAGCCCCCAGTGCATAGTTGTATATTCTAGTTGTAGGTCCTTCTAGTTGCGCTACGTGGGACGCTCCTTCAGCATGGCTTTTTTTTTTAAGATTGCCTTTTTTCCTTTTTCTCCCCAAAGCTTCCCGGTACATAGTTGTATGTTCTGGTTGTAGGTCCTTTTAGTTGTGGCATGTGGGATGCCGCCTCAGTGTGGCTCGATGAGCGGTGCCATGTCGTTGCCCAGGATCTGAACCTGTGAAACCCTGGGCTGCTGAAGAGGAGCATGCGAAGTTAACCACTTGGCCACAGGGTCGGCCTCTCTAGCTTTCTACAGAAGATAATACCTTTACCTTTAAAATTCAACAGAATTTTCAAAGCTAACTCCCTTGAACTTTCTTGAAGAGCTGTCGTTGCTCTATTTTAAACTCACTCTGATTTTCTTGAAACATGACCTCTTACCTCTCTACTCTGGCTGATCCTTTGGCAGCTCAAAGGGTATCTGTAAAATACATCTTTTTGTCATGCTTCTGTCAAGGAAACTTGCTTTATTGTACTACTTCCTTTTGAGAAGATAATAAACAAATTGGGAACTATTAGCAAAAGGTATAGAAAATAGAGATAGAAGGGCTAAATCCTCATTCTTCTTGTTTTTTTTTAAGGAAGATTAGCCTTGAGCTCACATCTGCTGCCAATCCTCCTCTTTTTTGCTGAGGAAGACTGGCCCTGAGCTAAGATCCGGGCCCATCTTCCACTACTTTATATGTGGGACACCTACCACAGCATGGCTTGCCAAGTGGTGCCATGTCTGCACCCGGGATCTGAACTGGCGAACCCCAGGCCACCAAAGCAGAATGTGTGAATTTAACCACTGTGCCACTGGGCCGGCCCCTAAGTCCTCATTCTTCTAATGAAATTATGCTTTTTTTTGAAAAAGGTTTCTTGTGTCTCTGAAGCTCCCAACATAAAGTACTACCGTCTGAGATAACTGCTTCAATGCTGGACTCCTACATCCCAAATGACATTAAGGAATTCCATAACTATGTGCTTTGGTGTAGTGTTGCCTATCCACTGCTAAGATGACCAGTGAGTATTATGACATGGCACTTGTCAGCAGGCTAAACTAAAAATGGGAGCCTAACGATCCCCCAAGTTTCCTTCACTAGTTGGTTGTGACTTGGAAAACTACAGGAAGATTATTTAAACATTATGTCTCAACACTAGTTTTTGTATTTCAAAATATCCTGACAGAGATTGACATGCAGTTCAACCTTATGCGTGCTGAAAGATGGAGAAACATCCCAGTAATTGACACCGAAGCTAGGAAATCCTCCCTCATCCAATGCCCTTCAGCAAGACTTCCAGTTCATAAGGGGATCATCCCACCTTCGTCAGTTCCCATTACCCTCATTGGTTTCAAAAATGCTGACATAAAACAACAGGAGGACGACAGGGAGGAGAGACGCAATAGCTGATGAAAACAGAGAGGCATGGGTGCTTTTTACCGCCACAGGGTCTACAGAGGGCATTTAGAAAATTTTTAGACATGCAGCTTCCTTTCTAGTTGGGCTAAATCACCTGGGGTTCAAAGACGAAAGCAAAGGGATCTGGCAAGAGTTAAGAAACCTCCAAAGTTCTAAGGGAAGTTTAAACCAATCACGTCCATGGTTCTATGAACAAATTTTAAGTAATTCCTAGAAAATCACTCATTACTTTTTATCTTGCCTTACTGGAACATGTTAAAAGGAACTGAGAGTCCAGAAGAAAGTAGGTTATTATGGAAAACCTTCCCCTTGGCCCTTAAAATCACTGGGTTTGAGTTATTCACTTAGAAATTCTCCTGTAATCAAGTTTTCTATCAGAAGAGAAGTTTTAGCCACTGAAATTTAAGAGATCTTCTTCACTGGTACCCTGTAGAAAGGGAAAAAAAAAGAAAAGAAAAAAAATCTCCTTGCATTTGAAAAGTTATTAGTCTGAAATAAAAGATATTACCTTCCAAAAACAAGAGAAAAGGCTGGCTAGTTCAAGTCAGAAACCCAGGGTGGAGGTTTCCAAGGCCCTTTTATTAGGGGAAAGTCCCATTTATAGCACAAGACTTCACATATGGATCAGACAATCAGAGCAGTTCCTAAAAATTCGGAAAAAATGGGAAAAACAAAACAGATGCAATTTTTATATATATTAAACATAAATAAAAGAATTTATAAAATCGTCACCTTTCTTACAGAATAAATGCAGAGTGTATTATGAATGCACCTCCAGGTTTAAGTTGTTTATGTTTTGTCTTCCAATAATAAATAAAATTTGTTAAGTTTTGGATCCACCAGTGCCACCACAGGACTCTGAGTTGTCACTGGCTTTTGTTCCCTTGTCGCTCCTGTGCGTGGCATTTGGTTGTGCAGGGGTTACTAATTTCACTGGCCCATCAGAGTGTTGGCTTTCTTTTCGGGGTGGCATCCGCTCATTAATTCGGTCCAGACCTCGGGCTTCTTCAAAACTCCGGATCCTGTGCTGAAGCGAAAACCCTCTGATGGCTACAGAAAAACAGGAAAGGGAGGAGCTCAATTAGACAGCAAAGCGAGAAGCTTCACGTTTCTTAGCACACAGCAATCTCCTAGAAAGAAACACAGAAGGGTGGCTACGGAGCATACGTCTGGTGAAGGGAAGAGGCAATATTGGATTTGAATTAGCCTTATCTGAAGCTACTGCTTCTTAAGGCCCAAAGGGCAGCTGAAACTGAAAGTAATTTTCAGAGCAGCTCAACAGAATTAATCACAGAAGTACATCTGACAAAAAACTAGGGTGTTCTTACTTAGCCCACATACATTTGAGAAAGAGTTTCTTATGGGCCAGACACGCACTCAATGCGAGAGAAAAAGCCAACACTAGAATAACAGAACAAGTTAAACAGAGTAGTTACTTTAGCACAAACATCACTGACCACAAAAAAAGTAACAAAAGAGCTAATCTTTTTGTTGAGAAGGACAGCTTTTTATCTTGCACAACCAGGAGCTGAACATAAGTTAAAACCCACCTAAAAAATAGCTTCTAGATACATTCTTTCTGATTGAACTTTTCTATCATCAAGGAAAGGCATTCCCATTTTAAACCACCTTACCTAACAAAACAAATTTATAGCACGTTTATTAATTCCAATGGTTTTCATCCTCAGATTCATAGACAATTTTTGTCACTTAAAATTTGTTTTCATAAAAACAAAGATAATTTAGCTTGATTGCCTTAAGGCAACTTCAGAAATGAATAAAACTAAATTCCTGCCTACCTTTGTGGCCACTCTTGAGGTCCCTTAGGATCCCTGGGTAAAGAGGCTGACCTGTTTGGATTTCTAGCGATCAAATGAATGTCCCTTGTATACGGAAGGGCTACAGGATTAAACCACTTGATCCCTCATGAGCAGCTGCTTAAGCTTCAGCCATTGCATTCAAACTTACAGAGCCCAGGAAGGACGTTAGCCATGGAGAGGGTCATTTAAATTAACACAGGAAACTCTCGGTGAGCATGCTTAGAAATATGTATTCCTTTTCTCATTGTTACAGTTCTGGTGATGCAATAATAAAAGATTTCAAATGCTGACAAAGTTTTTTAAAACCAGCAGACAGACACATGATTACATCCATCACAGGAATATGGCCATACCTTCCCGGGCCTCTACCGCTTCTACTGTGGCTGTAAGAGGCAGGAGCAGTGGCATGCAAAAATGAAGACAGAAACAGAGTGAGTAAACCAACAGCATTGCTGCCAGCACAGACATCCCAGGGTCCCACTTTTTAGCCTATTCTCATCCATAATAAAAGTTGGCTAGTTAGAGAAGTGAGAGGATTATTGCAAAAAACTGAGGGGAAATATGAGATGGGGAGAGTTTCTAATATTTTTAACATTCCAGGTGGCATGGGAACCTTTTAGCTAATGGCATCTATAGCTAAGACAATGGGGTCAGTCAGGCTGGCTCTAAGAGTTGTGTTGCTTTCCTCCTTTTAAACAGCCAGCGGCTAATTTATGTCTTGACATTTACTTATCAAAATAACTCACTGAGTCAAAGAATTTAACATTACAACTGTTCTTTAGTCTGAAATGGCTCAGATGGTATTAAATGAGCTGCTGCTGGGTCCTATTCAAAAAGTTATTTAAAACTACTTCTCAATGCTCTTAAGCAGCTTTTGTGGGGTCCAACTGTCCTTTTTAATTCCTTAATAAAAAAGAGTGGACTTTGACTAACAGACAGGCATTTGGAAGGAGAGAAAAATGAGTTATAAGTAGGGGGTTATTTCCTCTCTGGGGATGGAGTACTAAGCTGGCAAGGCATAAAACTATTCAAATCAGGACACACATTCACGTACCACCTGGGACTAGAGACACAGCAGAGGCTGACATTTCCAACCCACACGGCTTCCACTCACTGCAGGAGAGAGCAGGCCAATTACCAAGAAGGTGCTCTTCTTCGTGACAGAAAAGGAAGCAACTTAAAAATGAGTACCAACAGGTAAACTTCCTTGTATCCTCTTTTAAAGACAGTAAAAGCCCTAACATATGAAAAGGCTACAGCTTGTAGCAAGAAAGAGCCTATTAGGAGAAGAACCCTCTCAGCTCCTTCAACAGCAATTTTTTAAAAGAAGGCAGGGAAGAATAATGAACAGTAACAGTTTGCTGTTTCTGAGGCTTTACATATTATCAATAATAGAGGAGAAACTGGATGAACTGAAAGTTAACTTCCCAATGTGAAAAATGGAAACTTGGAATCAACTCATCGTGTGCTTACTTTGTCAACCACGTGTAGGCACGTGTTAAAGCAATGTCACACCCTCTCTAATCGCCTCAAACAGAACAAATAAACTTCCGCAAGAAAACAACAGTGCCTTCCAACAGTGCATCACTGATGCAACTATGAGGAAGTGGGAGAACAAAGCATTGCCTGGAATTGTACAGAGTGCTGCTCGAGAGTTTAAAAGCTATGTGGTAAAAGGTGTACTAATATTACATTGTTTTGGGCCTCCCTAGATAGAATTGCTTTTTCCATTGAGTATTAAGATATCAGCCTGCACTGAGGGGCATTATAAGAAATAGACATATAAAACTGAGAAATTGGTTTTTTTTCTTTACTGAAATATATTTTTCTTCACTGAAGTATATTTCATATATCATAAAACTCACTTGTTTAAAGTGTACAAGTCAATGATTTTAATATATTTAGAGTTGTGCAACCATGCCCACTATCTATGGTTAGAACATTTTCATCTTCCCAAAAACAAATCCATTTTCCTCCCTTATCCCTTCCCTTTAACCCTAGTGTCAACTACTAATCTACTGTCTGTCTCTATAGATTTGCCTGTTCTGGACATCTCATATAAATGAAATCACATACTATGTGCTTTTAGTGACCAGCTTCTTTCACTTAGCATAACGTTTTCAGGGTTTATTCATGATGAAGTATGTATCAGTGCCTCATTCCTTTTTATGACTGAATAGTATTCCATTGTATGGTCATACCACATTTTGTTTATCCACTCATCAATTGATGGACATTTGGGTTGTTTCCACTTTTTGGCTATTATGAAGAATGCTGCTATGAACATTCACGTACAACTTTTTGTGTGGATATGTTTTCATTTCTCTGGGGTATATAACCAGGAGTGGGAACTGCTGGGTCATATGGTAATTGTACGTTTAATCATTGAAGGAACTGCCAGACTGGTTTCCAAAGTGCTACAACATTTTACATCCCCACCAGCAGTGTAGGAGGGTCCCAATTTCTCTACATTCTCACCAACACTTATTATCATGTCTTTTTGATCACAGCCATCCTAACGGGTGGAGAGTGGTACCTCACTGTGGTTTTGATTTGTACTTCCTTAATGTTTAATGATGTCAAACATCTTTTCACATGCTTATGGGTCATTTGTGTGTCTTCGGAAAAATGTCTATTTAAATGTTTTACCCATTTTTTAATTGTTATCTTTTTATTCTTCAGACAGAGAGTTCTTTATATTTTCTAGATACCATCTCTTATCAGATATATGATTTGTAAGTATTTTCACCCATTCTTTGGGTTCCACTTTCTTGATGGTCCCATTTGCAGCACAAAAATTTTTAATTCTCATGTAGTTCAATTTATAACTGATCTGTTTTTTATATTATGGTCTTTATGACTCTTGTTCAGTTCTTGGCTTTCCTCTTTATTTTGGCTACTAGGAAGCTTGGAGTCTAATTTGTGGCTGACTATTGGCATTTTTTTTTGTTTTCTTTTGTGCTCCAATTTCCAAGCATATTTATTTGACTTCACTGTATTGAATGTATACTGTAACTTACTCAAATACCTCTTGGAACAAGATCGGGCATAAATGAATGTATGCTATAAAACCATACGAGGTATTGTTGGTTGAAAGTTCTCCAAATAAAGCTATATGAACAATAAAAGGTCTTTTGTGGCTAATGTTCCAGTTTGCCAATGAACCTGTAGAACTGAGACTCTGATAGGAAAATGACAAACTCAGTTTATATCAATCAATAAGAGAATAAGAAGCTCTAAAAAGTTGGCTCCAACTTTAGATTTGTTCTTCTTAAGCATTTCTAAAGATTTCTATCAATTTTGGAAGTATCAATAAACAATCCTATATTGATTAAAAACACTCATATTCAAATTAGGAATGAAGAGAAACTGGATATATTTGAAACTGAGAACAAAAGGTAGACCAAGGATTATAAACAAACAAATCTTCAAACAACACATCCATAAAATTCTCTTTGTTACTCATCCTAGATTTGCAGGTTTTCAAAGTCTAGAAAAAAACTGGTTCGGAGTAAAAGAACAACTTTGTGGATTAGTAAATTTTGAAAACTTTTCAAGTAAGATGCTTTAGGACATCCCCTTTCTTCTTTACCCATGGTGCTTCCTAGTAACTCAGAATCGCCTTGTCAGAGCTGCTCTCAGAACACCTCGCAAAACTCATTACCAAGCAAAGGAATGGTGGAAGGTATTTTGCTTACAAGAAACTGCACATTTATTTGAGAGGAAAAACTCAGTCTGAAATAGTTTATTGATCCTTTCTAGGAAACTACAGAAGTTAATTATATACTTCCAAGGAGAAAATGTTCATTCTTCTTTCCAAATAGCTAAACTCTAAGATTCCAGGATTCAATTTGAAAGAGAAGGAGGAATTCAATCCTATAAAAAGAAAGAGAAAGAAAGGGGCTCCTTCCTATCAGTCAACAGCACCGGGGTTCCCATAAGAAGCAGAGGGCTCCCATAAGTGGGGAGATGACAAGGAACAAGAAAAACTTAAGTAGAAACAAATCAATAAAACAAGGGAGCAAAAAGCAGCGGAACTAGTTCAAGTTGTTAGTGCTTCCACTCCAGTTTCCATGCCTGGAATTAGTCGTCCAACGATGTGATGTCGTGTCTCTTCCCCTTGTTGACCAGATCTACGTTTATTCTAACAAACATCAGTGTTTTCATTAGAGGGTTCCATAAAACCCTCTCCCTAGAAGTCAGCACCCATATAATTTTTAGAACTGACACTGGTTGTAGAGGTGACTGTGACACTGGAGTAGGATATGGCTTGCAGGCAGAGAGGCAAATTCTCCCTCTGATTGAGAAACTCTAACCAAAAAAAAACTAAGGTATAACACATAACAATTGAGGCATATCACGTGCACAAATCTGAACTGTACAGCTCAAGAGATTTTTATATACGTCTACACTTGTGTAACAACCACTCAGATAGTGATACAGAATGTTCCCACCACTGCAGAAGTCCCCTATGCCCCCTGGGTCAATATTCTCCCACTAGAGGAAGTGCCATTCTGACTTCTATTACCATTGATTAGTCTGCCTGTTCTTGAACATCATATAAATCAGACAGTCTGTGCTCTTTTGAGTCTAGCTTTTTTAGTTTACCATAATGTCTGTGAGATTCAACCATGTTTTTGCACGTATTCATAAAGTTATTTTTTTTATTGCTGATAGTATTCCATTGTACAAATATAAAAATTTATTTATCTATTCTAATATTGATGGACATTTGGGTTGTTTCCCATTCGGGGCTATTATGAATTAAAGCTAAGGTGAACATTCTTATGCACATCCTTTGCTGGACATATGCACTAATTTCTCTTTGATACATACCAGGTGTGGAATTGCTGGGCTATATGGTAGACATAAATTTTGCTTTACTGCCCCAAAGTTTTTCAAAGTGGCTGAATCAATTTACAAGCCCACTGGCAATGTGTGTAGTTCTAGTTCTCTACAAACTCACCAACACTTGGTACTGTCAGACTTTTTAATTTTAGCCATTCTGGCGAGTATGTAGTGGTATCTCACTGTGGTTTTAATATCCATTTCCCAGAAGAATAACTATATTAAGCATCTTTTCAGATGCTTATTGGCCATTTTGATACCCTCTTTTGTGAAGTGCCTGTGAAAATCTTTTGTCCATTTAAAAAAAATTGGTTGTTTATGTTTTTCTTACTGAACTGTAGTTCTTTTTATATTCTGAATACAAGTCCACTGTCAGACATAAGCATTGCAAAAATCTTCTCTCAGTTTATGGTCTGCCTTTGTGAATAGAAATTCTTAATTTAATGAAATTTACTTTAAGGTTAGTAATTTTTGTGTCTTATTTAAGGACCCTTTATCTACACCAATGCCTATTCTGCATACTTTCTTCTTGGGAGTTTTACTGTTTTACCTTTTACATTTAAGTTACAATGCATTCTGAATTAATTTTTGTGTAAGGAGAGAAGGGTCAAGATTCATTTTTCCCCCAAGATGAATATCCAATTGAAGGCTCAATTTTTAATTTTACATTGACTGCTAGGCAATGGGAGCACAGCTCCTGCGAGAGGAGCACTTCTCATACTCACCTGTCTCAATAGTCTGCTTTCCTCCCGAGAGGACACCCAGAGGGAGTGTGCCTGTAGGGGTCAGGCCCTTGAGGGTCAGCACACTCTCACTCTCTTCCCTGCAAAGGAAGATCAAAGCCCTGGGTTACTGCCAGGGTGTCTACCACTCAGCAATGCAAAGACATTTGAAGGCAGTTAAGACAAGATGCATAGAGATGGAGGACAGGTTCTCCTCACCACCCCTTCCCTGACCCAAAGGAAGGGACGTTTTCTGTAAATATTCCAATTTTAAACAATCGGTCAGGCCTTGCTTTTCAATTAGAGGCACTTAATAGCCAGGTGCTATCCTAATATTTACCATATTTTATCCCATCTAATCCTCCTAATAACTGTGTAAGGCAGGTCCTGTTATTATCACTCTTTTACAGACAAGGAAAACGAGGCACAAGATCACATGGCTAAGAAGAGGTACAGCAAGGATGTAAACATGGGTAGTCTGGTTCCAGAAGCCACACTACACCACTGCGTTCACTGCATCTAAGCTCATACCAAACAAATGCTTGCTACGACATTTCTAGTCACTGTAACATGTAGGTCTGATTCAATCTGCATGCAACCCGAACACCTACAATTCTAACACTAACTTCCAACTCTAAAAGACTGTTCTGAAATCAACTGCTAATTTGCTCTCAAAATGCTTTTACCCCACACTGTAATGACAGACTTATCCTTACCGAAGAACTGAAAAGACCCGGGCCATCTTCCCAATGGCTCTGATTTTATTCTTGATGATCTCCTTTCGAACTGTAGTGCCTCCTTAGAGAATACAAAGAACAAGTGAGTTAAAGGAATGTGTTAACAGGTTAGTTTGAAAAAATCCAAGATAAAGTATCTTTCTAAGTTTAAGAGTAGTTTGAAAAAAGGAAGTCAAGGCCTAAGTTTGCTTAAACAAAAATCCCAGGAAGTTCTAAGGAACAAGAGAAAAAACAACCCAGAAGAGAAAGAAAAAGATGAAGTAAAAAAATGGAGGGGCCACAAAAAAGACAGACGGAGCAAATCTATTAGAGGTGGGAACTTAACTGGGGTTCTGAAATGTGGAACACTGTGAAGGACGAAATAAACACATATAAACAAAGACTGTCACTACAGCAAAGATCTTTTGTGAGAATGCTGTGGGCCACCTTAGGATGCAGGGTTTGACCTGCCAAACGGCAAGTGATGATTCGAGCAGTTGTCTTCTGCAATGTAAACACAACTCACAGCTGGCTCACCTGAACTTAGTGAGGGCAGCTTCCATCCTATAATCCTCACTTACTCACAAACTGGTGAGTTATTTCCTATCACAGCAACTGTGCAGTACAAATTATGATGATGGATAAAGTATTTTATAAAGCAACACCAAAAAAGTTAACGCAGACTTTATGGCCTTTTCTCATCTAAGATTCAGGAAATAGCTCACACATGAGAAGCCAAGGTCCAGGCATGCACCAGATGAACACATTCAAAAGTCAGAAAAAGAAATATGGCCTCTCCTTCCTCACCCTTCCAGCTCTCAATATCCTGCAGGATCATATACGAGGTCCAGAGAAAACGTATACATTAAAATAGAAAGGGAGGGTGGAGGGCCTGTCTGAAATTATTCAGCTACAACTAAACAAGTCTAATTAATAGATTGTATGGGACAAACAGTGAGTATTAAGCTCTTAGCACATTTTAGTGGTATACCTTTCTGATAGCTTGAAATGTAGTGATCTTCAGGGAGAAGAGACACCAAGAAACAAGGAGATGAAGACAGAAATAGGAGAAGAGGAATTTAAGTTTACATGGAAGAGAGAAAAAAAAAATCAAAGTGAAATGCAATGAGAGAAGCAGGCTATTATATTTATCAGCTCAGAAGAGACGTCCTTTGTATCATGATAGAACGTTAAATTACAGATTTCTTGTCAGTTTTTCCATTTCTTAAAAGTTTATAGTTTTACATTAACTCACATCTATTATTATCTAACATGTTCTATCCTCACAGATCATGACAATAAAATTAGACAAAAAAAATGTTATTTGTTGAATAAATGATGCTGAAAACAAGGAATAAAAACAAAGGACAGAACCAAGAGCTTGCAAATCTCTTAGTAAGTGCATTATGTTTTTGTTTAATGGATTCAATATCTTCCCCTATCTTTCTGGGGATATTATAGTTTTTCCTTTTTTAAGTTTGTATTTTCTTCAGAATCTCAAGTTCACTCAAGGTGCTTTTTGCTGTTTTTTGTTGTTGTCTCTCTTGGAAACTTTCCTGAGGCGTCTGGTAGTGCTTGGTGTCTGCTCATGATTAAGACGGAGGGACCAAAAAGCTTTCAGAGTTGGCGGGTGACTGCTGACTTGGAGCTTCAGGCAGAGTGATCAGGGTGGGCTCTTGTTAGGGAAGTCTCTGTTTCAGTATCAAGCATGCATAGGCCACTTAATTCATCTGTTTTTGGCAAGGTATTGATGCCCTCAATTGTATCCCTGGTCCAGAAAATCTTTGGTTTACAATTTACTTAGAGATCAGCCTCCAGAACTGAAGAAGAGGTAGCTGCCTAGAGGCAACTGGGCCTTTACCTGCCTTTCCGACAGCTCTCACCGAGTCTACCCATTTTAGTTCAGTGCCCCTCTCTCCTCCCTCAACCCACAGTCCCCACCTCTAGCAACAGGTACTACCAATCTCTGCTTTTTGAGGATTCCATGCTGCAACTCAGCATTCTCCATTACTAAGTCAGGCTTTAGCTTTCTTGAATCGGCTAAGTCAGTAAACTAATTCATTCGTCTTCCAGCTTTCAAAAATCTATGCCTTTTTTAATCTTTCTTGTTGTGAAGTATGACAACATAGAGAAAAATACACAAAACAAATGTATAACTCAATGATTTATTAAAAAGCAAATGGCCACATAAGCACCACTCGGGTCAGTAAATAGCACCTTCCCAGCACCTCCAATGTCCCCCTTGGGCCCCTCCTAACAATAAGTCTCTCTCTTCCCAAAGCATCATTCTCTTGACTTTTATTGAAATCACTTTCTTGCTGTTCTCTATAGTTTTACCATGTAAGTGTGTATCCACTAGCACCATAGTTTTCATTGTACTTAAACTTTATGTAATTGGAACAAATATATATTCTTGTGTCTGGCTTCCTTTGCTCAACATTATGTTTGTAAGAGTCATCCATGTTTTCCCTGTTATTACTGTATACAATACAATAAAAAGTATATAACAATACAAGAAAAAGTGTACAATAATTGTACATTGTCATTACTGTATACAATTCTACTATATGAATACAAAACAATATATCCTTTTTACTGTCAATGGTCATTTGGGCTAATTCAAATGTTTGCCTATTTTGAATTAGGCTCCTATGAATATTCCTGTGCACTTCTCTTTGCTGCACATATTTCTGTTAAGTATATTCCTAGCATTAGAATGCTCAGTTACAGAGTAGATATATGTTCAACTTTGGATAACAGTTTGGCATTATCTACTACAGTGAACGTACCAATTTATACTTCAGTATATGAGCATTCCTGTTGCTACACATCCTGGCCGAAACTTGGTGTTATTCATCTTTAATTTTAGCCAATCTAGTGGCTGTGTAGAATCATCTATTGTGGTTTTAATTTGCATTTTCATGATTACAAATATGGTTGAATATATTTTCATATTTTTATTGGCCATTTGGATATCCCCTTTTGTTAAGTGCTTGCTCAAGTCTCATTACTGGGGCTGGCCCCGTGGCCAAGTGGTTAAGTTCGCGCGCTCCGCTGCAGGCGGCCCAGTGTTTCGTTGGTTCGAATCCTGGGCGCGGACATGGCACTGCTCTTCAAACCACGCTGAGGCAGCGTCCCACATGCCACAACTAGAAGGACCCACAACGAAGAATATACAACTATGTACTGGGGGGCTTTGGGGAGAAAAAGGAAGAAAAATAAAATCTTTAAAAAAAAAAAGTCTCATTACTAATCCGTAGTTCTTTATATATTCTGCAGGTGAGCCTTGTTGGTTGTGCTGCAAATATCCTCTCACTCTGTAGCTTGTCTTTTTCACACTGTTAACAGAGTCTTCCGATAAACACAAGTTCTTAATTTTAATGTAGTTCAATTTATTAATAGCTTCCTGTATGGTTAGTGCTTTTTGTGTCCTGTTTAAGAAACTTTTCTCTATCCTAAGGTCATGAGATATTCTGTACTATAAATACTAGAAGCTTTATTGTTTTGCCTTTCATGTATTAAGTCCATCTGGAATTTATTTTTGTGTTTGGAATATGATAGGGGTCAGGTTTAATTTTTTTCTCAAATAGATTAGATATTCCCAAACTATTTATTAAAAATACCATCATTTTCCTACTACTCTGCAGGGGCACCTCTGGTATAAATCAAGTGTCCATGTATATGTTCTGGACTATTACTGGATTCTCTGTTCTGTTTCAATGCTTGTCTGTCCTCACACTAATAATTCCAATTACTTTAGCTTTAAGGTAAGTCTTGATATCCTATAGAACAAGTCCTCTCTCCTTATACTTCTTCAAGAGTTAAGCTTTTTCCATGTGAATTTTAGAAGCTATCCTTAGCACTTCCATATAAATCTTAGAATCAAATTGTCTGTTAATATTTGACTTGTTTTTGAATCCGTAGATCAATTTGGGAATAATTTATATCTTTAAATTATTGAGTCTTCCAATAATTCATGAACATAATATTTCTTTCTATTCATTAGGTCTCCTTTAATTTCTCTAATAATGTTTTAGAGTTTGTTGCTTAGAGGTATCATGCATCATTTGTTAGATTTATTGTTAGGGATGATACTATAAATGGTATCTTTTTAAAAATTTCATTTTGTTTGTTGCTGGTAGATACAAATACAAATAGTTTCTGCTAATTGACTTTGTATCCAGAAGCTCTGCTACATGCACTTATTGATTCTAATAATGAATCTACAGAATCTTTTAAATTTCCATTGCACATAATCATATCATCTTTAAATAATGATAGTTTTGTTTCTTCCTTTCCAATCTTTATACTTTGCATTTCTTTTTCCTGCCTTATTGTATTGGATATAACTCCTAATACAATATTGTATAGAGGTTTTGATAGCCAGCATCCTTGTCTCTTCCCAGGCACTAAGGCAGCCTTCAACATTTCACCATATGATGTTTGCTATAGGCTTTTATAGGTATGTTTGTCAGATTAAAGAACTCCTTTCTAAACCTAGTTTAAGAGGTCTATTGTAGACGAAAGATGACTCTTACCTATCTGTTTCTGTATCTACTGAGATAATGATTTTTCTCCTTTTCTTTCTGTCAATGCAGTGAATTATACTGATTTTTTTTTTAAGATTTTATTTTTCCTTTTTTCTCCCCAAAGCCTCCAGGCATACATTTTTAGTTGTGGGTCCTTAATAGTTGTGGCATGTGGGATACTGCCTCAGCATGGCCTGATGAGTGGTGCCATGTCCTCACCCAGGATCCGAATGGGCGAAACCCTAGGCCGCCGAAGCGGAGCACGTGAACTTAACCACTTGGCCACAGGGCTGGCCCCACTGATTTTTTTTTTTTTAAAGAAAAGATTGGCACCTGAGCTAACATCTGTTGCCAATCTTCTTTTTCTTTTCTTCTTCTCCCCAAAGCCACCCAGTATATAGTTGTATATTCTCGTTGTAGGTCCTTCTGGTTCTGCTTTGTGGGACACAGCCTCAACACGGCTTGATGAGTGGTGCTAGGTTTGCACCCAGGATCTGAACCAGTGAAACCCTGGGCTGCCGAGGCAGAGCACATAAACTTAACCACTCAGCCACAGGGCCTATTCTTTTTACAGATTTTTTTTTTTTTGACGAAGATTAGCCCTGAGGTAACATCTGCCACCAATCCTCCTCTTTTTACTGAGGAAGACTGGCCCTGAGCTAACATCCATGCCCATCTTCCTCTACTTTATGTGTGGGATGCCTGCCACAGCATGGCTTGATAAGCAGTGTGTAGGTCTACACCCGAGATCCCAACCGGTGAACCCCAGGCCGCTGAAGCAGAATGTGTGAACTCAACCGCTGCGCCACTAGGCCAGCCTCCTGGCATTGGTTATTTTTGTCTTAAGTTTTTTACTTGGTAAGTCTTACCAGAGGTTTATCAACTTTATTAGTCTCTTGAAAACAGCACACTTTGTTCTTACTGCTCCTCTACATTGCATTTTGTTTTCTATTTAGTTAATATTGCTCTTAACTTTTTATTTCATTCTGTCTACTTTCTTTAGGTTTAATGTGCTATCCATTCTTTTGTTAATTTCCTGAGATGGATGTTGATTTTCCACCTTTCTTCTTTTCCCATATGTGCATTTAAGGCTACAAAATTTCCTCTAAGCATAGCTTTAGATGCATCCCTCAAATTTTGTTATTGTTTTTTCTCAAGTTTAAATCATTTTGTATTTAAGCACTGGTTTTACAAAATGTGGTATAAAAATAAGCCAAATTTACAACTTAATTTGTTTATGTAAATTGCTTTCAAAATACATTGCAGCTAAGATATGCATAAGATTTTATATGCATTTTGGAAGAAATCACACAGAAACAGCTGCTTTTTCAAAAAACTTGACCAATTTCACATTTCTTTTGGTCACTCCACCCCAGACATGCAAGGTGAAAGTTATCTGGACCTTGTAATGCCCATTGAACTATTCTGGGTGATGCTTTATCTTCTCTGCTTGTATGGTAACTTGGGAGATAAAGCCAAATGCCTGATT